AGAGTTGGACGGCAGGACTTTCACCTGGTGACTGAAGAGTTTCCATGACAACCAGCTGTCAGCATGACAATACAATTTTACTGTGCTAGCAACCTTATGAATGTATATGTAAGCAGAGTGTACTGGAGTTAAGAGAATAGGAGAAGAATAAGAAGAGTGGGACAGAGTGGGATTCATGCCTTTATGCAAACTGCTGTTGTAAAACAAAGATAAAAGATTGTTTCATAACTAATCCACTGAGTGTCCATGACACATATGCAGCTGGTTATGCACCAGCTCACATATCAATACGTGTACCTTAATGATCACTTCACCATATGCTTGGATTTCTGGTTTCAAAAGACCCTCTTTCCATCTTAACGTCTGACCCCTCTGCTTTGGAAAATAACACGTGTAAAGGACTTCAAGACTAAAAAAGACCCAACTGACCCACTTAGAATGTCTCCTTGAAAGCATTAGATATAGAATTACAAGTGATATTTAAGCCAAGCGCATCTTAGATATGAAATTATGGTTTATGCAAAGTTGTTAAGGGTTGTGGTTTAAATTAACAGCAGAGCAGTCCAGACCAAAACTGTCTTTGAAACTTAAATTCATACAAGTCTAATGTGTGTGGATTAATTCAGTCACAACTCAGACCAACAACGTCACATTGTGAAAATTTTGAACTGCTAGGACAGATGTATTGTACAAAGAATTGAACTGTAAAACTTCCAGTCAAGAAAAAAAAATTAAGAAAACTTAGAGACATCTTTTTAAATTTCCCTCCAAAAAATTGTATCTCTGAGTGAAAATGGGATGTTCAACAAAGACATTTTTTTTGGCATTGACTACAGAAGTTTACCTGAGGATGAAACTAAAACAATGTAATTCTGAAATGTAATAATTTACTGTTTAATTTACCGGAACGAGGAGCTGTTGAGGGTTTTAACAGCACTGTTGACAGAAAATTAAATGACAGTGATCCCACTTTCTGATAAAAGAGAAATTTGTCTAGATTTTTCAGCTGAACTGTCAGGTCCTGATAACCAAGTCAGTCTCATGAAAAGTGAAACAGTGTGTCAACGTTCCTCCCTTCTTACACTATATTCTGCAGGCTGACAACCTGCAGCCAGAAAGTTGACAGCAAACTCCCTCTAGTGGATTCTGTGAAGAAATTACACACAGAATGAAGAACGTGTTGCCACCAGTTTGGTGGCAATCTGGTCAACGTTATCTGCACCATTACAAATGAAATATTTGTTTCATGTTACCAGTGTGAGCAGCAAAAAACTGAAATATTCCACAGCATCCACCTTTCAGTGTTTCCAGCTTCACATTGTAAATTATAAACAATGAGGCTTTGAGTTTCGACATGTAGATCTCAAATAAAGATTTCTAAAGTGGTGTTTCGGTCACAGATATATTGAAGAGAGCAGGTATACACCATGAAAATAATGATCCCTGCATTTCATATTTTGCTGACTTGGTTCTGTACTAAAAGACTTTTTGCTTCACTGCCAGACTTAACCAAAAGGGGACATTGGATATATATGATAGAAAAAGGCCATGGTTAGTCTTCATTCTAAAACACTTGCTGTAGTCATACCTGTTTCTTTGCCTCAATTCGCAATTTGATCAAATCATGTTTCTGGTTACGCAGCAGCAGTCATCTTAAATGACTTAGCAGAGGTTCCCGTCGGGGACATAAAAATTATCTGTGGACACAGTAAGAGCTGTAAAACATTTTCAATAAACTTCATTAAACTGTTATTGTATTAGAAAGAAAGAGAGAGATGTTACCAGCTATCAGATAGTGTTAAGGTGTGAGTTGTCATATTTCACAGCAGAGTCAGAGAAACAAAAATACTGGAGAACAAAATACAAGCAAGACAAAGATAGATAGTGTTGCATTGTTGCATTCAAATAACACCTGCAAAGTATGACTCATCGATCCTATGACAGATGCTTCAGATATAGGACAGTGGTAAATAAAGAAATAGGCTAGCAGGCCAAAGCTTAGTCAGGGTTAGTTTGATGTTCAAATGGCAACAGACTGACGTGGGTCCGAGTATAAGACCCATCTGCTGCTCTTTGCTCTTCAGCCGCCACTAACTGGATTAAACCTGCAGCCCAAACTTGTCATGTTAGTGCGTATGTGTGTTTGAGGCAATGGTGGCTTTATGTCTTTGAGTAGATGCTCAAAAGGCAGTCTGCTGTGTTTCCGCTTCGCCAGCTGTAACAGTGTGAAATTTAGTCTACCTGCTGCTGTGTGCACCTGCTGTGGATTATTAAATCTATCAGTCTATAAGAACATCCTGTAAGGCTGCAAAAATAACCTCTGTGTGTTAAAGTCTAACTCTGCTGGAAGCTTAATGCTACAGGCATCCAAAATACGAACCCTAACCCTTTATAATGCAGACGTTGTATTGTATTCCTATTTTATTTTATTTTGTGATTGATAAACTACAACCAAACTTTTTATCGAGTAAATGTAGACAAAATAATATTTGCTTTAGCACAATGTTGCCACAAGTGACTAAGGAATTTTGTCTATCCACTTCTAAAAGTTAAAATTTAGGTTCATATTAGAGATGAAAATGAGAAAGTTGTGTACAACTCCACAATCACATCTAAAATACATCTAAGTTTTATTAGTTGGAAACATGATTTAGATGGATTTTTTTATTAATTCGTGACAAAGAAAAACAGTGGGTTTTGTTATGCTACATCTCAGAGTGTGGCTGATATTTATGTCAGAAGCATTATTATTTTTTATACAACATTAGAGAATCTACATGAAACTCTACCCAGTGACTGTTTTAGATTTGATATCCTGTAATGAAGGATGTGAAAAATGCGTTGCCATTTAGAAAAGATGATTGTAATTTCTGCCTCGAGAGGGCAGATGCCCATTATTTCAAAATGTCAGCAAGCTGCCCGTGTACCCAGCCGACTGATTAATTGGTCTATTTCTAGAGCGGGGCAGTCGTTCATTTGTCTAGCCTGATTTTCAGCGTCTAATCCAGAAAGCTCTGACCTCATGCCTTCATGAGGGAAACCCTGAGTCACTCAAGAGCAGTTTTATTACCCCAGACAATGCCATGCAATATAATCTGTACATCTTTGTTTGCTGTATCTAATTTTAAAAGCACCTAACCTCTTAACATACATTTGTAAGCCTGATTCTACATTTGGTGATTTAGACTTTCAAAGTGTCAAATAAACTGACCGAGCTTCATCCTTAACTTCTCCAGACTCTTAAATTCTTTTTATAAATCTACATAACTATATATATATATATATATATATATATATATATATATATATATATATATATATATATATATATATATATATACACACACACACACACACACACACACACACATATAGCATGGATTGCAGGGATTGAACGATGATTAAACTATGATCCATTGCTGTAGAATCAACCATCGAACATTGTGAAAGTACTTTTAATAGCTAAACCCCTGACAACCTAACCAACACACAAATAATTGCAGCAGTAGTTAGTCTCAATTACTGCATAAAAAAGGACAAGAACATTTTAACTGAGCATTAGTTACTTCTTCTCTTAAATCAATTTGTTTACATGCTTCTACTTAAAGTTTAAAATATCTGTTTTTTACTGGTTTTTAAAATATTTTCACTTTGAGGTATAGAAAGAATCCGCATAAAATTTCTATAATTTAAATAAAGTTTCAAAAACAACAAAAAAAGTCCACAACTTCTCTATTACACTTAACAAATCTATAGCTGTGTGACTGGGGGAATTAGTTTTACAGTGCAATGACACACAAAGGCCACAATCTGAGTCAACTGGTTTATATCTGACAATGTAATTGTGTTTTCTGTATTTGCGACTTTTGAAGAACTGCTTTATATTGACTTGTACAAAGTTTTAACTTTAATGCTTTAAGTTTTACATGTAATTTCCTAACTTTCTAAAGTGTTCTTGTGACCACTAAGAGATTTTCTTGAGATTCTGTTGGATTTCCTGCACTGACAATATAAAAAACTGAAGTTACTAGAATAAATCAAAATGTTTTTCCAGTTTCCAGCCAGATTTGTCAGTTCAATAGTTACCTGTATGCACACCTGAGAGGTTAAATCAAGGCCTTTTCAAGGTGAAGTGAATTTGTGTCAAAGTCTGACCCTTGGACTGTCCGATATCACCTGGTGAGTTCAGAGCAGGTATGGAAATTTTGTTGATATACCAAGTCAGCAGAAGGGTCAAGATTACAGAGCTGCAAGGTGCTGAATGTTTTGCAGTGAGCGACAGATGGCATGCTGGGATTAGACAGGTGACCTGCTCAGGACTTGGCTGAAGGTACTGACGCTTCACAGCAAAAAATAACAAGCTTTACCTAATATCCTACATTCAGTTATCACCAATATCTTAAAACAGGTCTAATGCTTGGTCATGGTTTGCATGCATTACAGTTGTTCCTGATACATATTTCAAGGCTGAATTTAAGGAGTATTTAAGTGTATCAAAAAGCATAGAAACTCTTTCAGCATCATGACAAGGGAAATAACTGATCTCGTACGATCACAGCTGCTGATTTTGCTTAGTCTTAAAGTGTCTTGAGATGTATGAAGAACTTCCCAGAGAAGATTTTTTTATTTTTTTTTATTTGTGATCTAGATGCTCTGCTTAATTCCTCCAAGGAAATCCAAGCCTGTCTCTGTGGGAATGCAGCAGCCTGAGGTCAGATTAAAACAGGAAGGGGCCAGTTGGCCACGTGTGAGTGAGCCAGGTTGGAGTTAAGGCTTAGAGAGAGATCAGTGCTGGAGGGTATATAAACCAGCTCAAACACATAGAGTGTCACACACAAAAAGCACTGCTGCTCTTCGGTTGTTTCTTACAGCACAAATAAGGAGAAAAAAAATCTGTTTGTGGAACTTGAGAGTTGAGGATCACTGCAAAAGGGACATCTGCCCCCCTGAATCTACTGCACGTCTTTCTTACTGCTGTGATCACGTCTGCATCTGCAGCCATGGTTCTGGAGGACAGCGAGACCGACTCTGTCTTTGAGCCTCAAATCACTGTGAGTATCCGATCACACAGAGCTTAAGCTAATCTTGAGGCTAGAATTGCTGTTTACAAGTGTAATCCTGCAAGGTTAAATGACTTTTATGTTCTACATGATTAAACACAAAGGCAATTTCTGAAACTGCATGAGTACTCGGGGTATCTGGTCTCATGCCACATTAATGAAGCCTGCTTCTGTAAAGTGTCTTAAAAGCAATGCACACCTATGTTAAGTCATGTTCACAAACATCATCATGTATTGTTCATTCAAGCAAGAGTCTGAATTTGTGTTTTTGTTTCCTTTTCTTTATTTTAGGAGGAGCATGTGGAGACTCAGTATGGAACCGTCCACTGCATCATGTCAGGAACTCCAAGGGCAAACCGCCCCGTCATCCTGACCTTTCATGATGTTGGATTGAACCGTAAGTCCAAACAAAGTAACACTATATCTTAAATGATTATATACTGAAAACAAAAGAACAAATACAATTTTGCATGGGGAAACTTTTTTCCAGGATTTAAAGAAACCCACAAACTTGTATTGACAGATATTTCCCTGAGTGTTGCGTCTATTTTTCTTGTGTATACTTTATTTCATAATTTTAAGACAGCTTCACAAACTCAGGGTAACACAACTTAATGACATTTTTATCTTTGTTCTTAACAGACAAGTCCTGTTTCCAGACACTGTTCAACCATGAGGACATGCATGAAATCACAAGACATTTGCCTGTTTTACACGTTGAAGCACCAGGACAGCATGAGAGAGCCAAAACCCTTCCTACTGCGTCAGTGCACTTCTTTACCACATCCTGACTCTTATTGTTTTTACATCACTCTGGTGTATTGTTGGACATTCATAAGTGACCTGTTGTTGGTTCTGTTCACCCCTCAGGTACACCTACCCGTCCATGGACCAACTGTCTGAAGCTCTGCCTGCTGTCCTCAAACACTTTGGGTAAGACAGACGTGAACACTTTTCAGCCGCCCTTTTATTAAATGTTAGTCTTATTCATACAGTGTACTTAAGTTTGTCCCAGTTTGACCTTTTGTCTGTGTGCTTTGCAGGATACGCAGTGTGATTGGACTAGGAGTTGGAGCTGGAGCCTACATCCTGGCAAGATTCTCTGTGAGTTCCAGGCTCATCTCTAAATCTCATTTAAACTTGAGACACATTGAGAGAACAAAAGCCAAGACCTAGAATTTGGGATGTGTTGAGGAAGTCTGAGTCGTGAAGTTGCACAGATTTCACATGCCCCCTGGAGAAAGATTTGACTATGAAGCCACTACTGATTTAAACATAAAAAAGAAAAGTCAAGAGCTGCAGAAACCAAATGTTATTGTGAGTCACTGGTAGAAATCATTAAAAACCTGTTTTTTTTCTCCGTCTGTGTGTAGCTGAATCACCCTGACCTGGTGGACGGATTAGTTTTGGTCAACATCAACCCCAGTGCTGAAGGACTTATGGACAGTGTTGCATACAAGGTTGGCATTATTTCAGATATTGTGTTACTTTTGATCCTGTCTTGTGTTTTTAGATTAGCTTGGCTGATTGTTGTAAAAGTTGTAATCTGAGTGTGATGTGATTATGTGCTCATTTCATGTGTTTCAGATCACTGAATGGACCCACACTCTCTCAGATCAAGTCATTGCACATTTGTTTGGAAAGGTAAGTTAACAATTACTTTCCCTCAGTCAACACAACAACACCGTATGTCGCACACTTCCTGTACAGAACTTTGTCAAATAAGAGGAAGAATATATTAGACTTACTTTTAAATTCATTCCTCAGGAGGAGATCCAAACCAACCATGACCTTATCGCAACATACCGTCACCACATCACAACAACAATGAACCAGTCCAATGTGAGCCAGTTCTTCCGCTCGTACAACAGCCGTAATGCTCTGGAGGTGGAGAGGCCTGTACCTGGAGGAAACATCAACGTCAGGACCCTGAAGTTAGTACAACTACAGATAAAAAAAAAGAAAACAGACAATAGTCAGATATATTATACTACAATTTTTGATGCCTTGTGTTCATAGTCGTTATTCTTTAGACTAATTTGTAAGGCGTCGTGACTTCAATGGTTGTAACAGGCTTTACAAATTCATACTTGATAATTTACCTACCCGTTTGTTGATCTACAGGTGCTCCACTCTGCTGGTTGTAGGAGATGACTCTCCTGCTGTGGAGGCTGTGGTCGACTGCAACTCCAAACTCAACCCCACCAAGACCACACTGCTGAAGGTATGATTAAAAAAGAGAGGCAAAGAACAAATGATCGTTTCAGTAAAAAATAAATCCTTATACATATTAATGTGTTTATGTTATGTGTGCTGAGATTATTTGTTCAAAATACTTTTATCAACATAATCAAGACTCAAAGAAAGTAATCAGTAGTGATACCTTACTGTTTAACCCCAACTTAACACATAGTTACTTTATTTTCATAAAGATCTCTTTTCAACTAAGTTAATTATTCAACAAAATAAAGGTTTTACCCTCTAACTGAAGCCTGCCCTTTGCTCTTCTAGATGTCGGACTGTGGAGGTCTTCCCCAGGTGTCTCAGGTATGGACTGTAGCATCTTATTGGCCACTCTGCTGGCAATACCCTGCAGAATCTGCTCTCCTGATTGGCTGAGGAAAAATATTAATCACTTTTCATTTCCTCACTACAGCCAGCAAAAGTGATTGAAGCCTTCAAATATTTCATCCAGGGAATGGGATACTGTAAGTCAACTTCTTTTTACAAAATTTATTTTAGCGGTAGATATACTCGTAAGAAAAAAACTTAAATAGTTGACAATCATTAATGTATGGTGCAGAATAGTTAAAACCTCTCTTTCTCTTATACAGTGTCCAGTGCTAGCATGACCAGACTTCGCTCACGGACAACCTCCAGCTCTAGCATCTCATCCGTTGATGGCTCTCGTAGCCGGGCACACACCAATGAGCTGCGTGGTAGAATACACTCTCATGGCACAGAGGAGAAGCGTGGGCGCTCACACACTGATGTCTCCATGGAGAGCATTTCCAACAGCAATGTGGATCAGATTATCTCTAAATCCACTGAATTGGCATGTTAGAGTCCCTCTGTGTTCCTAAATCCCATGCACTTAAACCCAATCATACCTCATTATATGCACCCACATAGCCCCTTTCCTCCTTTCCTCTTATATACATCCTTCTCATATTTGCTACGCCCTTTCAACTGCACTATCTTTAGTTAAGAAGTCACAGGTCATGTTACACAATGTGATCTTGATCTAGCCTTTTGTATCCTTTTCAACTCTTAACTCTCCATCAATATTCTTCTTTACAACCTTCCCAGTCCCTCCCTCTAACTTGTCCTTGTTACCCTGAACTCTCATTGTATTTCTCTACCTCTGTTTTTTCTTTTCTATATATTGTCTCTTCCCCGTCCTTGGTCATGTCCATGTCTTCTTTTTTTCTCATTTTGATTTCCTCCCCTCTTATATTATTCCTAGTACCACAGTACCTGCTCCAGGCTTCCTTGTGCTCTGATATTCTTCATAATGTGCACAACATGAAGAAATGATGAAAATGTGAAGATGGAGTCTTTATGCTAACACATTAATGTGAAACTCGAAACTCAAATGTGAATTCATGCATTATGACTAAAGTGAAGATGTAAACATATCCTCTAATGTAAGAAAACGTAGTGTTTATGACTTCAATTATGTATATTATTGACTATATGTGACTATGACAGCTGTGTATAACTAAACAGCAGGAATGTATTTTACATATACTTCAAATCAAAAACTGTTTGAAACTGTACTCTGTAATATAAAATAGTTATTTACTTTTACTTGTATATTAGGCTCAGTCAGTGAAACCGAATAGATAATGTACACGTCTTTGTGCTTCAGTAAATAAACATTTTAATGAAAATAATCATCTTGCACTCTCTGATGTATTCTTAATACAGCAGAAACAGAATTACTTGATGTATTTAGCATTTACTACCAAGGTTAATTGAGAATAAATGGATCATATCGTAAACCCCTCACTTTAACTGCAAGTTGTTTGCTGAAGTACTATAACTAATGCATTTGGATTAACAACAAAGAACATAATCCTGCTGTTATATCTGCAGAAATACAGTAGAAGTCAGAAGATTCCTACTCAGGCTCAAAGTGATATGATATCACAGAACATGGTGTTCACTGAATAACTTTTTTTCTCCAAACAATATACTGATTCAATTTTATGAACTCAATGTGTGCTCTAATCATTAGGAATGTGTGTGTGTCCCCTATTGTGTACCTTTACAATCTGTCCACTAGATAGAGCTATGCATCCTCCCCTGTTCTCCATAGCAGCATGTCTAAAAACAGTCAGGCATCATCAGGTCAGGTTTTACAGCCAAAGCACTTCCAAATCCCATATTCAAAACACTGTAGATTGTTTGAACACTAAATTCAAATCGCATGGATGCAATCACTCAAAAATAGAAAACCAATCATCTAGCATAGCATTATGGAGCTTTTTAATATCTCTTATGCCTCATATTTACCCTTGGCCTCTTCCAGATGACTGGATTAAAGAGTACTGTACAATAGTTTGTTTTTAATCCCTGTTTTTTTCCATCCTTGCGTGTGGTTCCTGACCTGCATACTCATATACAATCAGAGATACCTACAATTTTGATCATTTATTTATCTATTGGGAAAGAATGCTAAAAATCACAGTTAAGTGAACCATTAAATGATACATATATCTTTTAGTAAATAAAAGTGGTCACTAGAAAATAAAAATTGTTTTTGAGAGGTCCTCCAGCAGCTACATCTCTATAGTGCACCTATGGCTCTACTTTGTTTAAGAATATGTATTTTTGTCTTATCTCATTAAAAAACACTGTCTCTGTATGTTGAGAAGTTTTACTTCATACAGCATCACGCACAATGGATTCTATCATCTGCAACTTGCTCAGAGTTGATTAAGTTCTTCCTCTCTCCAATAATGTTTAATATTCTGATTCATTTTGCACTGGAGATAATTGGTTTTCCCCAAAAGCGGCCAAGTTTTGTGACTGCCAAATGTGTAAATGTGAGGTTTGCTAGAGGGCAAGCAAAATCAATGTGACTATGATGTCATGACTTTTAATCCACCCAGTGTCACCCACTCAAGTGCCACAATGTACACCACTCTTCTGCAGGGACAAAAATAATTTTGAATTGCTTTTCTGTCTGCACTTGTGTGTGTATGGAAATAAGCTAAATGTATGAGTGTTTCATAATGTGTAGGTGGGACTGTGTGTGTAGGCCCATCAGTAGATGGATTGTTTTAGGATGTGACTGTGAGACAGTGGACACACACAGATCAGCATAATGGCTATCAGCATCAAAGTCACAACAATTTTTTTGAGTGCATTTATGTGTGTTTGTGTGTACGCGAAAAGCATTTTTTCAAAGCTTCTTTTGTTTGGCTTACATTGCGACACTATGATGAATAATGTATAAGAAATCTGAAGATTTGATTTGAACACCAAACATCAGCTCATTGCACAATTCTTATCTCACTGCGCTTTAGTGAATTGTGCTGCATCAAAAAATTACTGAATCCCGCACATTAATTTCCATCCACTACAACAGATCTTTGTGATGTGTCCTGTAAGGTAGACTTGATGGCAATCCCACGAGAAAAGTAATGACTGCACCGAAGAAGGACTGAGGAAGTGGATAGCTGTTTGGTTTCTGCATTACTCAGTAATGAACAGTACACCATGGGATATTGATTTTATTCTGGAATGTTTGTCAATCTCCACAAGTCTGATCTCCTTACAGCAGTGTGGCTCTTCAGCTCATGCAGTACCTAAAATGGTCATTCTGCACAATTTTCAATCAGTTTCAATAGACGTGCAGAAAACATCATCAAAGATTTGCAGTGTTAAAGAGCAAACGACATAAAAGAGTGTAAGGCCATGTGGGCTTAGGTGTACCACTTTGGTATAGTAAATCAAAAGAGAGAGTAAACTACAAAATTTAATGAAAGTTTTATTTCTTATGTGCTTTTTCTTTCTCTTGAGTTCATTGCCATAAGTGCGGTTTTATGCTACTTTTATGTGAGCAGTATTTCAAGTTTGGACAAAAAAAAAAAAAAAAGAATGAAAGCTTTTGTGTGTAGCACGTGGTTTGTGTTGATTTTGTGGAGAAAGCAGCTCTTCTAACCCTGCTGATCCTGTCCTGTACATGTGTACTGTGTAGTGTTTTCTGATGAAAAATCTCGTCCAACTTTATGTTGACAGCCTAATGTATCACAATGTAATAAATGCTCACAAAGTCTCTTTAAACTCCTTATTTTTGTCATCTACCTTGGGGCAGGAGTTTTAAAGCAGCATAACTCACTTTATATAATTTATAGATCCTTTTGCTGCTGGCAGTGGTTTCATCTGTAGGCCGTGAAGAGGTATCATTATCAATTCCAGTCTGTTGTAAAACCTGCCAAGGGGAACTTTAAAATTTGCTTGATTTTTTTTTTTTTAACAAAAGCTCTTAAACAAAAGTTATTTGAGCATGTATTTTTTAAGATACTACTTATCTGAAAGAGCCAAACAAAATCATGAGTAAGATCACATAGAGGAGAGTAGGGTAGGATGAGCCATTTTTCATATTACGGATCACTATCATCAAGGCAATCATAGTTTTGTCTCTAACTAGTGTATCTGCATATATTTCAAGATGTTGTGCATCCCTGCAAACCAACAGAGTGAGTGTAAACAAAACTGTCTTGATAATATAGCGTGCCCAAAAAAGTAGCCTCCTATGGTCAACTTACCCCACTTATGGGGTTAAGTTGGCCATAGGAGTGGGGTAAGTTGAGCCATACCCCCCCCCCCCCCCTATTGGTCCTCTAAGTTAAAATTGTGAACTTTTATGGTAGGTTTTTGACCTTATGTTGTAGCTCATAGATACCACAATTGATGTATAAAACAAATTTAAAATGACCTTTTTTGGTCTGAACACAATTCTAATAAAACTTATGACAGACTAAATTCACTTTCAAGAGTGAAAAATGTTTTTTCTAAATAAATGTCTAACCCCTTCAGCCATGCGCCTCTAACCTTCACAGACTCCATGAATTGATGCCCATCTCCTAAATATTTGGTCACATGATCAATTTCTTTGCCCATTTCCAAGCAACAGGGGGTGGCTCAACTTATCCTTTGGCTCAACTTACCCCACTCTCCCCTATTATTGGATACTTTAATTTAAAACGACTCCCAGCTATCTCTCTCTGAGTATACTCTTGCTGCAAGTCCCTGGTTCATACGTTTTTATTAAATATTCTTACATAAGGACAATTTGGGGGCCCTTGCTTGAGCACCGGACACGTAGGACCCCTCTCCTCCTGTCAGTGAGCCCCTCCAGCTGCAGCCATGTTGGAAACGCTCAGGCAGCGGTGGTGGTGCTAACAGCTAGCGTCAGTGGACACCGACAACCGGGCACGGCGCTGTTGTGGACAAAAACAGACAGGGAGAGGGCTCATAACGGAGCGATACAGCCCCTCCAACCGGTTGTGATATCAGCGGACACATATTTAAAATTAACCTCACTGTGTGGGTAAAGGTGGCCGGTCACGAAGAGTAGCAGCGGTCGGGCTCCGGGGCGAAAGCGGGTGAGTATCGATCCCTCCGGTGGGCGGATTAAATGGGAATAGCCCACCGTTAGCCGAGTTAGCTTAGCATTAAAGGGGGTAACAGAGACAATGGGGTTAACGGTAAGGCAGTACGTGTAGGGTTGGTCTCAGTTGTTGGAGTAAGGATTTCGGGTGAAATATAGTTGAATGAGGGATAAGAAATACAGGACATTTGAACACCGTTAAGTCATTTGTATTCCTAACAGAGAGACAGTGGTGCAGTGGCCGAAACCACCCCTCTCTGTTTCTCCGCTGAGGTGCAAAGGTCCAAACCAAGGAAGATTTCTGTCATTCAGGGTAACAACATCGTGGCAAAACACATGTATTTACAACATTAACGAATTGCTCAGACTGAGGCTTATTGTTTCAAGTAGAGGGTTTTAAACAAAAGGAGGACAGCTCTTTCTTAACCTGTGCGTCTCAAGTGTTCTGGCTTGCTCAGGCTACTGCCTTGTCAACCACAATAGTGTACACTTATCTCTGTGCTAGGCCGAGAAAAATGTATTAATATTAAAACCTAACCTGGATTAAGGACTACAGATCAATCCCCGACTACGCGCAATGGGATTAGATTTATACTTTAGATGTAATGCCCACATCTAAAGAGCTATATTGTGCAGCCTGGTGAACAGCAGCAGCCCCGTGGATGTGATTTGACAGTTTTCCTTACGGGGATTAGGAGTCAAAGCTGCCCTGTCATGACTCACACAGATTTCTGCCTTCCTGCGCTCTTCCCATCATGTTTCCTGCCTCTATGTGACTGTTACCCTTCATCCCATCCCTATACATCCCCCTGTAGCCAAAACTGCAGAGTGAAGACCTCAACCTGTGTCCTTTCATGTATAGTGGGCAAAAACATTCATCTTAAACAGAACAACTAGCTTAATCCATATTGGTGTTTTTCATTTTATTTCCACTCAAATAAAAGCATGACAAGGTTTGCTTTCCCACTAATAAACATGAAATGTGATAAAATTTTCAAGCATGTACACCACAAGGCATCTAGTGAGAGTCTTTTCAGAAAATGTGACTCGTATTTTCAGTTCCCTTTCCGCGGATGACCTCAAGCTGACCCATGGATGACACCCGACAGTGTAGATGTTGTGGGAAGTTTTTTGAAATCTTTTAGAGACTATATGTATATTCAGTGCTGTGATTCATGCTCTTTTTTGTGGTTTATTTATATGTATGACGTAAATCTAACAAGTGCCCAGTAATATTTTCAGTCTATACAAACAGTTTTGATTTAAATTAAATGTCTGCTTACTGTGTAGAAATGAAGTAGTATTCTTTTAAATAATCAAGTACACTTGGATTTCATTTAATTGTCACTTAGAAAGCTCAGAGTCTCTAGCTGCTTTCTTTCTCCTCTGCCTGCCAGTTCTCCTTGCTTCCTTTTCTGTTTCTTCCACTAATCTAAGGAGGCAGGGATGGGGAAAGCAGCGCTGTCGATGCTGGATCGATCTTTACACCTGCTTGTTTTCAGACAGGAAAAGATAAAGAGGAAAGACAGACAGAGGAAGATAAGATGGAAGGCGAAAGGAGATGTACTTTGGAAAACAATCAGAAATGAGAGCTCAGGAGAGGGAGGAAGGGTTTTGGAAATGAAACTCAGCCCTCAGGTGTGTCGGTCTGATACAATCAGTGGGCGGGTGTTTCCCCTCCTATAAGTGACAGCGTACAGTACAACAAGGAAGTGGAGACGCAGAGCAGAAACACATACAGGCATCTATGATTGAGCAGAGGTTCAGTCCTCTGTACGCCGACTGACAACATGCAGTTCTGGGATTTCCTGGGCTGCACCAATGGAGGTATGGTGAATGTGTGAAGTCATTCTGATGGCTCAGGGAGAGCGTTCAGCGTTGATTGGACTGGTGTGTGTGTTCAATGCTGGTAGGCAGGTAGAGAGGGTCTGGCAGGCTGAGGGCTGGAAAGGAATTTGCGCTGCTTGCCGCTGTGCAAGCAGTTGCATGTGAAAACCTCACAGACAGGTAGAGAGTAGAGCGCAAACAAAGAAGCTGAAGGCTCTGATACAGTGTCAGCCTGCTCTGTGTTCCTTTGATAAACCTGACCGGCTGCCTTTTACGGCTCAACAGATTTGACTAATAACTAAATAGCCACTATGTTGTGATTGTTTGTATCGTTTGGCCTGAATGTTTTGGGATTTTGCTCACACGAGTGGTCTTTATGAAGCAGAATAGAAGTGTGCTGTTATGTCCATATTCAGTGCTTTCTTTTTTGACTCATTAACTGCCATGTTGTGTTTTTTGGTAAACAGTTAAAAGTCTACGAAACCTAAAGAGAGCATATAAAAAACCCGCTGTTGCAGCTACACACACTTCTGTATCTTACTGGGAGTATCACTTCCACTACAGCTTCCACATGGTGTCGTCACTTTATAGGCAAAGGTACTCACTGTTTGGGATTTTCAGACTCTCTTATTTTTAGGTGCCAGACTAGTTCAGTTTAGTAATGACTGTATGTCCAGGTTTTTTAAGCAATATTGTAATGCTAATACTGCTGTCATACAAGCAAAAATCTATCTAAATTTTCACACATTTACTGTGGTACCAGATTTTTATTTGTTAACTTAACAGAAAAACTTTACAGAATGTGTTCCCCCGACCTCTTTGGTCAAAGCCGTGTCTGGTTAGACCTGAACCACAAACACTTAAACATCAGATTGCTGTCAACTACAGAGTCATAACTATCAACTGTCACTATTGCTGTCTGCAGAGAGGTTTCACTCAGATCTTTCTCAGACCTCTGCGACTACAAGTGAAGTGTGACTGTATTAGCACATGATATACACAAAACCTCCTAATCTATGAAGGATGTAAAAGTCTTATGGTGTTAAGTTGTGCTGTTTCTTGTGGTTACTTTATTCTGCTGTATTGAATTCCAGGACAGTTCAACCTCCAACACCCATCCTGTGCCTCAGGCCAAGTTTTCTGCTGTTGCATCAATAGCTCGATCCTAGATACCTGACAGGTTGTGTCATAATCTGAAATGTAGAGAAAGTGTTATTGTTAAGTAAATACACCCATGTGTAGTGCTGTTAAACTTCCCCTGAAATAAGCTGAGTGATGTTTCTGTCAATGATAATGTCACTGCAGCAATCAGCTGTCAGAAAAATAGAAGATAATGTGGTACGTATATCTGTTGAGGTCTTGTTCTCCTGAGTTATGGCTGTCACTTGTGAGAAACAGCAAGCAACATGCTATCAGTTTGGACATGTGAACATAGGACTGAAAACACATGCTCTTGTTTTGTCATCAACAGTCTTCCTCTATTTGCATTCAGTGCTTTCTGTTTTGTTTAGCTCACTCCATATGATCAGCATTCCCTGATGAGAAACTTCCATTATGATGTAGCTTGTGTTTCACTTCTTCCAAACCTTTACTGGCACAGCTCTGAAAGTGGCTGCGAATTTGCGCTCTTGGCAGATTTGTTTTAAACATTTCAACACTCGATTGTTCCTGACATTTAAAGCTGGGGAGAAATTTGAATAATTGCCTCTAACATCTATATAATATGCAACACTTGTTTGGGAAAGCAGAACAATATTTCTTGTTGTACAGTTGTTGATTATGACTGGAAGTAAAACAGAGAATTTTAGATTTTTCTACAAACAAAATGAAACTTTTTTTCATCATGTTTCAGTTTAGAAACGGAGCACCATATCAGGATTTTGATTTGCATTCACCTGCTCAATGAACATTACCTACCCAGTTTATCACCTGACTACAAACACAAATGGTGATTCAAAAACTGTTTTATACAGTTTCGATACAGTTTAGACAAAAATTCCTCTGATTCTACTTTAGGTTGCATGGCAACTGTTTCTCATCTGTCTACTTACAGTACCAATTAACACTGAATCAAACATTTTAATTCCCAGTCAAGTCACAGTCAAACATCGGCCACTCATTTATTAATATTTACATGAAACTAAGCACCCCCAACAGAGTGGATTATAGATCGTATATATTAAGCATTGCGTTAGTATGTTCACAATGAGGACTACAATGCACCAATTTTCGACCAGTTTAGACTACCTATGAAAACTGATGTTTTTGCCTCATTGTCAACAAGCAGAGCTGTGCTGCAATTCATTTCCCAGGATTGTTATGCAATGAGGTGTATGAACTGGTTGATCCTGGTGCCACTCTTACTATTTAGAATTAATAACTTGTCAGAATCCATTATTAAACACAGCTGGGCAATAATTAAAACAGCTGGGTAATAATGCTAACCATCAGCAGGACTGTGTTCATTTGTAATTATGAAAGAAGGTTTGTCCAATAAAGGCAAAAACAGTTGTATTAATCTGAGCAGCTCTGGCCGTAAAAGTTGTTAAATTATTCTTTAACCAATCTCTGACTGACAGTCGACATATATTTTTAAGCAGCTTATGTTAGAAAAATTGCACAGAAATGAAGGGCAGAATACCAAAAGATGATGGCTGCCCTGGCTAAACCCTGTAGTCTCCATTACTAAGAGCGCTCAGTGAGGTGAAGCTTCCGTTGGAACTTGCAGACTTTGTGGTTTGGATCAATGAATTTGTGACCATTTGAGCTGTGCACTGCACTCTGAAGTAGAGCCATAAAACAGCTTGCAAGAAGGCCTGTCTTTAAAAGGATGTTATTGATGTAAACAATGACGCTGTAAACCTGTGAATTAATCACAGAAAGAATGAGAATAGAAAGTCCTACCCTGTAAAACTGTCTCAAGAGAAGTTTTCCCTCCATATAATGTCATGCACAATTGAACCAAAAATTTGTCACTCTGTCTCATCACTGTGTGTATCTGCTGCTTCAAAAGGCAAACCTCAACCAGAGCATGGTTATTTACTCAAAGAAATTGCATAAAGCAGATGAAATAGAGGAAAGAAAAGTGAGGTTCATGAACTAAAAGTCATTCTAAGAGAGTGAAGTACCTTGATTTGTTAATCTTAAATTTCTTCTATTATCTTGAGGACCAGTGCAAGAACATTACAATGAAACTTAGATCAGATGTTATTTACTTGACCAAACTATGGTTTTATATTTGTTATGTCAGTGTTGTTAAAATTGTTTTTTTTAAACACATTGATTTAGAAAAATTAACGTTTACACACAAGTGTTTTTTGTCAAGTGCAAAGATAAATCATGACAGTTGAATTTCTAGCACAGGACAGAGCAGTACTGCACTATGTTAAGCATAATTGGCACACTACTCTGCAGATTGAGCGTGAAACTTCAATTAATTATGTGTACACAAGCAAATGACCCTGCAGGATGGCCTCTGCACTGTGGCTAGTCCATGAAGATAAAGACAGATGTGGAAAAGAGGGCTTCTGCAAATCTGACCCTTCTCTGTTTTCACTTCTCCACTATTACTGCAGTAGTCCCAATACTACAATGTTATAGTGAGCTCCTGACTACAACAGCCACCTCTTAGAAGCTGCGGTGTGGTGACTTAAGTCTGTAAGGTAGCTCTATTCTCAACGAGGCTCTGCTCTGTTCTTCTCTTTTCTGACAGGCGCATCAGTGCCGAGGAGGTGCAAAAGGCTGTTGTTGTTTTCTTGATGAGAATGGAGTTGTGCAATGCCCTTAGCGTGGTGTCAACTGTAGCGTAGCCTCTGTGTTTTACAGCCAAAGGCAATCGTTTTCTACTCTGAGTGGGAGAGAGAGAAAGAAAGAGACTGTGAGAGCAAGCGGGGGGGGTCCGAGTAGGAGGGAGAAGCTCAGAGGAGTGTTTATGCGAGTGAAAAATGGTATAAGCAGTTCAGAGACGGATGTTTCAACACTGTTTTAATAACAGCTTCCAGTTTTGAGTTGTTGATTGTAGATGTGAAAGATTAAAGTCGACTTTAAAGCAAGGTCAGTCCTGTTAGCACGAAGGAAATATCACTGCCAGGACTTTGGTGAAAACCAGGGAACGCAACTCTCTTTTGCATCATACAATATTCATGTTCATATAGCGATATTTCCCTTAGGTATTATATAAACCTATGATTAAAAGGATATGTAAGTAACACAGACAGCCATAAATGTATTTACTGATTTAAGTTATAAAAGTACTTCAGCTGTAGCTTTACAGCCTTACTTTTTCACCATATCAGTGTTGCTAGCCTTTTGTATGAATGCACTGCCTATTTTGGCTCAAAATAGCTCAGTTTTCAATGCCTCAAATGTCACTTTTATGACCTGAAAATTTTATAGTCTGGGTTATTTGTGTGTGTAAGGACTTGTGCTGTGTTGCTTTCGTTAAAAGCATGCTACTTGTAGCTGACTTTTTAGGGTTCAACTCTGCAGGAGCAAAATGGATTATGTGATTGAAAGTGACAGGAGAACACACAATGGATCTGTAGATTTCAGAAACAAAGTAACTACAATATTAACAATTTATAATCCTAAAAAGTTTATTAGTCTATGTGTGACCTATAGTCTGTGTTGTCACCCTAAATGCACGAAGCATTAATACCTTGTCATTCCTCTTTGGTCTCATACAGATGCTCAAGCTGCCCCTGAGCTTTTTGAGAAGATGTAAAAGGCTTTCAGTTGAGACCAAAGTGAGCCCTTTTGCTGCAATAATTTACATTTAGAGCAGCTACGAGCAAGAGGCATAGATCAGATACTGATAAAGCAATCAAACCACAGGACCTCAACCCAGAAGACTAGGGACCATTTTCAAAATCACCTCCTCCAAAAAAGCTCACATGTTGAGATATACATCCAACCCAGACCATAATCTTTTTCTGAGCTGAGCAAAGTTGTTTTTGGTGGTTGTTTAACAGCAGCCACAAGTTATAAGGGCTTTCTGACTATTTTACTTTAGTTCTGTATGTGTGATGCAAAAAAGGGGGAGAGGGCAGAAGTATCATCACAGAGACCCTGATGAATGAGTTTCCTGTCTTTCAGGTTGCATAAAAACTAGTTTTACCTAGATTACAGCTTTAGAAGTATGTGATGGAGAAATTGATAGTACTTTTTAAATTCAATCAAAACAAAAGGGTAAATTTCCAAGATTACAACCTCACAATAAATTACAATACGTAAAATTGTAACCCCTGTATTGTTACATAGATCGTGTATATCGGCCACGGCATAAAGCTTTGTCAGCATTTTACTGTGTTAGTGTAATTTCAGCGTGAGGGAACATGGCAATCATTTGCTGAAAATGCTTTGCAAAAAGGACAAGAAGAGGATACGGTCTCACTGCATTTGAGCACAACTTTGTACCAAATGAGAAAGACATCTTGTTCAGCCTCCATTGAGTTTAGCTTATTTATTTATCTGTATTTCAAAAGCCATTTCAGGGGTTGTCTGTGCATGTCATTATTAAAATGTCTCCTGTCGAAAGTAAAATATGAAATGTCTTCATGCAACCTATCTGTACCTTAATAAACAGCATAAATAGGTTGTGTTGAAATAGTCTCCCTGCTCTTAACTCACACGCAATGGTATCCTTATTTGCACCACAGTGTTGCTTTGTGTCTGTTGCTTGGTAACAGATGTAACAGTGTAGCTCGAGAGAGTTTCACATTTCATCATATCGCTCATTTTGGTCTTTTTTTATTATTATCATTACACCAGAATGGAGTGAAGTGTGAGCGAAAAGATGAGATGTAGGAGTGCTGTGGTTTGGAGACAGATTTGGGGGTTGAATGAGGCCAGTGGGTGATGTTACTGAGGCATGACACAGCAGATCTATTATCCTGCCAAGTCATGATTGTCGCCTCACTCTGACTGTCTGGTATGTAGCTCAAATGAAATCCGCCTGATTCAGTGGAGCTGCTACACAGACTGTGAAGGGTCAGTGCTGACATGTAAACCAGTGGATGCTTAGTGTGATTAGAAATCGACCCCTGTCCATCAAATAAACCAGACACTGCCATGAATCTGATTGGGTGGTCAGACCAATTGACATGTGGAGATAAAATGATTTGTCATCTATTGAGTAGAAAATGAATTGGCTTTCAAATCCATATCAGTATTTTAATTGTATCATTATGAGTTGAGACTGTCGCCTCTCTCAATCATCATGTGACTCGGCCCTTTTTCAGATTGGGTTCTGCTCTCCTCTTATCTTATAATACCTTTTGATCTTTTTTTTTCTCCTTACATGCCTCGGGGTTTAGTCCTATCAAAGGTGTACTTGCTTTTCATTATGATTCTCTACCGTGTTCGAAGGGATGACTTAGACTTTGAGGACAGCATCACTCAGTAATATACATGTAGTGCGGCTCGCTCTATCTGTGCGTGCAAGCATGACAAATCTGTGTCTAATCATGTGGTTGATGCCTGAAGTGAGTATATCTGTTGCATGGACAATTTAATGCAAAAATGCGCTGGGGCCTGCCTGTAAGAGAGCCACACATGTTATTTCTGAACATATAGCAACCCTACAGCAGCTTTAGTGTCACGTTGCCATGGTGTAGTTCTGAGAACCTCACTGATGCCATGATTATATGTACTACACTGTATAATTTATTGTAATATTGTTTCATATGGACAAATTCATCAAGTTCATACCTTGTTTCTTGCTCTTTTGCAGATATTTCCAGGATATCACACTACACTGGTGAGTACCAGGCAACTCATAGTAAAAACTAAACTTTCCATTCTAAAAACATACAGACCATACTAACATACTTAACGCAATTCATACCTGGAAGTTTTTCTCTTTAAACTTGCAATGCAAAGGTTGCTAACACACTTTTATGAAATCCATATCAAGTTTTGACCAGAATCGGTGTAATGTTGTTATAGTTTTAACCACATAATGTAAGAAAAATATCTTGTCATGAGGTACACAGTTCCTTGGTTCTGCTTTATAGGAAGAATGGAGGTTGAACTGGATAATTTTGTACGCATAGATGAGACATTTTTATAGCCCTCAGCTCTAGTGTCTCTCCATGGCTGTTGCTAGGTAACTGTTCATCCTATGTTTTCCATGAGTGTGCTATATATTTGAAGCTGTGCTTGAACTTGTCATTCCTGAAAAGAGCAGAAACTGAATTTATTAATTGCTGTTAAATGTTCCATGGCCCTAAAATGGGAAGTCCGTGTTAGCAGAGTGAGCTGAGGTTAAAATTGTGGTAGACTGAAACTGATAATGAGGTGATGACTTCTAACCTTGGTAGAAAAACATATAGCACCTGGTGGTCACATCCTTGATAAAGTGAACTTCTATATGCTCACATAGGGTTCACACTTTCATTGGTAGATTGATTACTAAACATATCAACTAGCCTTGGTTGCGGTTTTGACCCTGGCATAGGGCTGGGCAATAAAATGATAATGATATATATCAAAAATTAATTTCCCTCAGTATCGATATGAAACATGGTCAATATGCCTTTCAATAGCCGGCATTCTGCCATGTTTTGGTAGACTACATGAATAGCCAGTGAAAAGTGGTGTTGCTCTGGGCCCGCACCGCACTAAACCAATCATGTGTATGTCATTTTCTAATTCAGAACCAAGTAGCAAACAACTGCGTAGTAGCAGGCTGCAGCTGCATGCAACCATAGCACTTTAACATGTGTTGCCGACAGCACTGTCGGTGAGAAAAAATAGAAAATGAGTGCTACCCCCAACAGAAATGCAGATGAAGGCTCAATAGATGATGACATTGTCGGCAACACTGGCACAAAATTATCAATGGTGTGAAGGTATTTTGTTTTTTTTGAGGTTGGACATGAAGCAGAGTGTTGTGCACTGCAAATGTCGAGTACATGTTCCCGCCAAGTCAGGGAACACCTTAAAGCATTTTCACCACCTGAAGCAGCGCCACGCAGCAGAGCACGTGCAATGCAAAAGGTTGCAAACCCCAAGCAGAGCAAGTGCGGAGCAGCCCATGGTGCTTGTGCAGCCGACCATTCAGTCTGCTTTCTCTAGCGCAACGCGTTACGACCAAACGTTGAAGAGACACAAAGACCTCACAGATGCAGTAGCTTATTGTATTGCAAAAGATGCACTGTTAAATTTTATTTGAGAGTAACCAGGAACATTTAAAACTGACAAATGATTCTTTTTAATATTGTGATATATATCGATATCGACTGATATCAAGAAAAATATCCTGATAAACTTTTTTTCTGTATCGCCCAGCCCTACCCTGCCAGGGTAGGGCTAGGCTGAATAGATATGGGAAGATTGATGGATGTACTTCATTGATTTCATACAGTGTACTTCAGTGTGCTACTGGAAAGAAGCTGTGATGTTAAAATGTGTACAGCTTTCATTGGCATTACAGTGCTGATACAGTGTTTTGGTTTAGCACCAAATGCAATTTTTACATCTTGTTAACAAATTAAAAGACCAAGGATACATCACTGTACTATTCGAAACACACTGTGTCACCAAAACAATGAAGTTATCATGATAAACTTTAAAGATAGTCTTAATATTGTGTGTCCTGGTATTTGATTAAAAAAAAACAAACAAAAAAAAAACAGTTTGGAACAAAATACATTTTTACTTTCACAACAACAGCCCCCCTGTTGTGCTAGAAACTGTGATTATACCAAATGGAATAATAGACATTGTGTAGTGTCAAAGTCTGCAAAGGGAGCAGAGTGTGCATGGATGGATCAACAAAACATTGATTCTGAACATATGTGACCATCATTTTCTTTATGCATTCCCTTGATAATTCCTGTAGTATCCTGGTAGTTTCTCTTGCAGCTGTGCCCAAAATGATCCCCAAACTTTAACCACAGCTTTTAGAGGCTGAGTGCAGTAGTCATGCTTTTTTTTGATACTCATATAAAGGGAAAGCTAGCTGTTGGCTACTCTAGATTGATCACTGCTTATTTGGGGGTGCGATAAATGCTTAAGCATTTATTTATTTTGAATTTTCTACTTTTTAGAAGACATGTTGCAAAATCAAGATATGTTTAAAGCATAAAGAACGGTAGATTGGGATGAGACACATGAGTCAATGCTGATGTGCATCTTTCAGTTTTTGTTTATTTCAACCACCCAAAGTTCTTATTAAAATTTTGAACTGTGTTATGAGACATTGCACATTACTTATTGTCTATGTAAAGTGCAGGCCTTCTGCAGCTGAATACATTTACAATATATACTTTACACTAGTGTGTATCACACAAAACAATCCCAATATAAATGCCAGTATTTTGGAGCTGGAAACTTTTCTCGGAAGTTCTCAAGATCATTCTGTCCTTTGGCACATCGTAGAGATTGAATTTCAGAGTGCTTTATTGTCAATGAGGAGCTGGCATGCTGCAGGAGCAGGTGAAATATGTTATGGGAGGAGGAGAGGAGAGACAGCCGGCACAGAGTGAGGACAGAGGGCAGCAGAGACCTGCTAGAGGGCAGTAGACACAGAGGAGGAGGGCGCTTGGTGACAAAACAGAAGAAAACCAGTGTTGAAAAGGGGTCAAAGAGTGGAATGTATGTTTTCTCGGGTAAACTCTAATCCTGCTAACACCTTATGTGTATGTGCTAGGTTTGTGTGTTCATGTTGAGTACCTGTTTATAAAGTCAGCGTGCTGATTAAGACAGAGCTCCTGTTATCCGCCCAATCAGCTCTGCTGCTTCGCACTGCACGAAATCTTAATGATCATTTTTACTTCTCTTCCTACATTCTCTCATCCTCTTCCCAACAAAACACACACGCACGCACGCACAAACTGCGCATGCACACACCCACATACATATAAACATCCCCTCCCTCCCTCCCTCCCTTCCCTGTTTGGTTCCAGTCAGTGAAGCAGCTTTCTTGCAGCGTGGTCACAGCAGCCCACTGTACAGGAAAAAAACACACCAGAGGAGAAACATTTGTTTTAAACATTCACAAACTTGCTCGGAGTGTTGTTCCCTCAAACCCACGCTCCCTTTGTTTTGCTTGCTCCCCTACATAATTTTACACACACAAACACGTACCTGCTAAGCCGTGCATGCATAGACACTGTATAGAACAGCCCCTCTCTGTCCACACATACTCTCTCACTCTACAGTCTCCTCGGTGCACTCATTCCACTGCTGAAAGATTGCGCTAGATATACAGTTAGTGTGTGTGTGTGTGTGTTTTGCTGCGGCAGTGTGCGTGTGTGGGGAAGATGTTGTGATCTAGCTGCTTTTCGCGCTGCTCCAGAAGGAAGCTTTGAGAAGCCAGACTGAACGACACACAGCTGATTAATTTCAAAACAGATGAGCTACATTTTTCTCACATTTCAGCCTTTTTCTCGCTTCGGGCTTCTCTCTCTCTCTCTCTCGCGCTTTTTTCTTTCTTTGGCTCCACCTCTCCCTTCAGGTTTCTGTCACTTTATGTTGCTGGCTGACATCAGACACCTGCTCTGACCTGGTTAACTCCTGCGGGCTCAGAGCATTGTGGGAAAACCACGGAGGATATGAGGCTTAGAATCTCTCTGAGGGTTCCTGACTTTTTTTTATCATCTTGCTGTTCTTCCTCTTTTCATTCATAATTTCAGTTCAGTCATTCTTTTAACTTGAATTTATCTTTTTTTTTGCTCTCTATCCACCTCTCCCTCTCTTGCTCTTCTTTCTCCTTCCTGCCTCGGTCACTTTCATCTCCCTCACCCTCACTGTGCTCCATCTCTCGGCGTCCCTCTTTGCCCTACATTTTTTTTTGTCACTGATGCAAGATCTCTTTTTCTTCTTCTTTTCATCTGGCTTGCCAACTCAGTTGGACAACAGTGTGGATTTACTGAACAAATCTGCCACCTTTCTTGGAAAATAGTGCTTTGATGTAATCATAAGGAGTCCTACTTTGCCAGGAAGGGATGTTGGAGTTATTTTTGCAGCCTGGATGTTTGACGGACATTGCACCTCAAGATTTATGGCTGCAGGGAAGCTGCCTTCCTTGAATTTCCCATCAAGGACTTATTAATTAGATCAGCAGCTCCATACCCGTGACCCAAATTTAATATTTCTTGAGGATTTATTGGACTGCAGGACGGCCTAATGCAAAGAGAAATGGTCCACCACCAACCGCAGGAGCCAGGCTTCAGTGTCTCTTTTAGGAAGCCTCTAGTCTCCTCAAGTGTCCTGGAGCAACTGTCTTCTCAACCCACAATAGGTTTGGTCTTCCTACAGTGAAGCAAAATGAATGAGTGTCTTTGCACTGATCATACATACCATATCATGTTGCGCAGTAGTAAAGGTATTTTTCTGGGTTAAAGGTCGTGACATGTATTAGACGGATTGATTTCTAAGACTCGGACCCCAAGCCAGATCCTCAAGTCCTGCAGTAATGTGATGCAGTCTTGTGATCAGTGGCTTGGAAAACCGCACCAACTGCTGTACTTCCATATATATATATATTTTTTTTTTCGTTGGTGTTGAGATTTGTTGCAGAAGAAGTTCTTACTTCTGTTTTAACTTCAACTTGAACTTGTTCTGCTGGCTGGTCCACCGTGGATGTGAGAAGCTGAGTCAGACCTCTATCTCAGCGTTATTTAAAGGTGAAGTCTTTGGGAGTATCTGTGTGAGCTGGACTTGGACCCTGATGATAGATGAGTGTAGTGGCTGCTGGAGGATAAAGTAACAGTCTGGTATATTTTCTACCTCCTGTGGGGACTCGTGCTGTGTCATCAGATTTTACAGAACAAAGAATATTTGACATTCTCCTTTTTCCTCGTACCCTGCTCTCTGCGTTATCGGAGTTACTTAAATCCCTGGGATACTGGCTCGGATCGATTTTCTCTATTATGCTTCCTGTTGCCTTGCGAGGGGGATAAAAGTTACACAATGGATACTGTCATTGCTGTAACCAACTACAGCTGCAGCAAGACTTAGTTTAACCTTTGTTTGGAAACACTGAAGGATATCTTTATTACTGTTTTCTTTAGCTGAAGAGACTTTTATGCCAGAGATTTTCCACATCTGTAAGGAGCCAGATTATGAGCCAGTGTTAGTCTGAGGCTCTATGCTGTTTTGGGGACCGTGCAGTTTTGTCTGGGCCGAGTGGCCAGACCCTGAAAAGCCCCATCTACAACAAAATGGAGAGCAGCGGCTGCATCCCTCTGTGCTGGAGCAAAGGGGCCTGCATCTACGCACAGCATCCTCTTCCAAGTATGTATTCACAAGCTAATCAGTAATAACATAGCATGTGCCAGCTGAATACAGACTTGTGTACTCACAAATAAATGGTGTGTTCGCTCCTGTAATTTTGTTCCTCATGTCAGCATTGAGTTTAATTTAGGATTTGAAAGTTTTCCTTGTAGACGGTGTGCCTTTTTTCTTCATTATCCTCATCAGTTGTTTACTATTTCCCACTTCCTTGAAATCATTTTGTTGTTCTGCCCATCACTTTTGTTAGATTGATTTAATCAACTTTAAGTACGGATGACTTCTGCATGACAAAGTCTTAATGAGACGGGGCGATCATTGCTCTATTGTCTGGGTTCTGTCCTCAGATTTTATCCTCTCTTTCAGTCATTTTTAATGACAGTTGAAGTCAAGTAAGGTTCCTGACTGTAACTTATTAACAATTTGCTATATCAGCTCGTTTCTATTTCTAGAGAATAAAAAGAACAAATTGCTGCATGACCATCTTTCAGACAAAGGAATAATACTTTGTTTTGATTTCCCCAGCAGGTTCATGTCAAAATGTCCAAAAACAGTTTATTAAAATTAACCAGAAGGTCGATCCATATAGCTTCATTTCTTCTTTTGATTGAGCTGCCAGAGCAAAATGAACAGTTTTGATTTGAGCCTTTGTCTGAACAACAAAACCTGAGCTGTTAATTGTTACCTGTAGTATGCCAGGCTCTCAGTCGTTCTGAGCTGTAATTTGGTGCAAGTGTAACACTGTGTGGGGAGATGGGAGAAGAGAGAACACACACATACATGTGTACACACTCAGTGCAAGAAATTTAGTTTGTTTTGTTTACTAAAACATGGTATTATCATGGAGGTGACATTGAGACTACTATTCAACGGTGCTTTGTATGTGTATTTCTAGTTTGTGTTGTGTGTAAAGATTCACAACAGCGCTTTTCCTCTCTCCCATGGTATAGATAATGCGCATCCTTGGCAAGATTGAGGAGAGTGTAGTCGTGGGTGGGGGGGGGGGGGCAGAGGAAATTGTTTGAGGATGAGAGAAAGATGAGAAGGAGGAAGGGAGGGAGATGGTTCAATAGGACGGGAGGATAAAATGGAGATGTGAGATGAGTGGCGGGAAGAGATGAAGAGGGGAGGAGAAGAAAAGAGGAGCAGATGAAGGGGGAAAGGACGGAAAGAGAAAGAGGGGTTAAGGATGTTTGTAAGGAGCAAAAGAAGAAGATAAAAGAGAAGATAAAATGGTGTAAAGACATGGACAAATGTGCAGAATGAACTACTGAAGAAAAGAGGAAAGGATGCAGAAAAAAAAAGGCTCCCCTAGGATTGCTCTAACCCCAGTAACCCAGATACAAGTGAGGCGAGGAGATAAACTGTCCTTCTGTTGGTACAATGTGACAGAGCTCCACTCATGCCCAGTGTGGTTTAACAGGCTGAGTGTCGCTCACTGAACCCCCACTGAGAGAGAGAGGAGCTGGTGGGCCTGGCAGACGCCTGCTCCCCTCCTGGCTGCCTGCATGGCCTAGTTGATTTGATTCCTCTCCTTTTCCTCTATTCGAGTGTGTGAAGACATGCATCATGTGGGGATTTAGTGCAGTTATGCTGCTGAGCAGAAACTGGTGCAGTGAGAAATGGTGTCATTTGTCTTGTGTTATGTAGTGCGCAGTTTCAAGAGGAATTTATGTACTGCAAGATTTTGTAGGATGTAGTGTTGGGTAGCTTAAGGTTGGAATTTTGTTTTAATTTTTTAAATGTAGCCTTTTAATGCCTGATCAAGAAGTGCTTCTTTAGCAGTGTAAAAACCACGAGTCTTAGAAAATATTTTATTTTGTAAACTTTTATTGACAGAATTTGTATTACAGCATATGAATACTTTAACCGTAACTACAATAAAACATGATTTCCTCTGGACATTGTGTTGAACAATACATCATTAAGTCATTTTTTGTTTTAAGCTTTGAACAATACATATTAAATCCGGCCAACTATAATACATAGTTACTGGTATTAGCATACAGGCACCCTTTGAGTAACAATTTTTAGGATAAATTCCCCTGAAAAACACGTTCATCCTGCATTCCTGTCTGTGTGTGATATAACCGCATTTACATCACAAAGTAGCGGCTTGCACTCACCATCTTTAATAGGATTTCTTCAAGCTGTTGGTATGTAGACGAGAAAAACATGTATGCAGTTTTGTGTCACTGTGTTTTTTAAGTCAGCGTTCGTAGTTGTGTATTACAACATTTCAGTGCTAAATAAGTAATATTCTGATTGTTGACTGAGAGAGCAGTAGTAGCAGATGGCTGACTGTGACTCTAGCTCCTCTGGTGCAACTGCTTCTATTTTAAAAAACGAGCTGCAGTCAAAATAATGCCCCCAATACATTTTTTAGTGTGGTCCTCTGAGACGAGGCGTGAGGGCTTGATATGAACTAAAGAGAGAAGCTGGTAGAACAAGTAAAAGTAGGTGTTGTGCAATTGTATCACTAAATTTGTGCACTCTTGACAGAATTGAAGATAATGCTTTGACTATCCCCTCTTGTATACACAGTGCTTCAGAGTTTCCCTTTTAGGTCAAGTTTTTAGAATATATGGCATTTTTTTGATTACACAATAAACATTAAACTGAAAACCTGAACTCTGACCAGAGCTGTCAGTTCTTTGGGTTTTGAGATTGAAGTAGTGGGTTTAGTTGTGGGCACAATGTGAAACTGAAGTGCTCTTTTGGAATAATTTAAAATGTTTTTCAGCAAATTCAATTAAGTCAGGATGAAAACTAACTTCGTAATTTTATGTATGTTTTTCTTTGTATAAATAACAGCAAAAAAAAAAAAGTGTGTAGAGTATATAAAAGTGAAATACAAGCCAGCAGCAAATACTGATTACAAATTCAATGTGTTGTGTAAAATGCTCTTCAGCAGCAAAAGCACAAGGCCCATCTGTCAGACAAAACCACACGTAGGTATTTACTTTTCCAAAAATCACAAAGCTGTGTTGAAATTACTGATGATACCCTTTTGAATTCATCATGGTTGTTGTTTTCAGTCCTAGACAAGTTGTTGGCAAGGTAACTGGTACACTGAAATGATGCTGTGGTGGTCATAATGGACTCACAGCAGTGTTGTTCTCTGTTAAAAGCCTCCATGATAATCTAGGAGTACTGTAGCCTCAGTCGTAGCATTAATTAGATGAATATTATAGTACTGTGCAGAGAGGGACATTTGTAATCTGATCTTTTAAAACCCTAAGAAACATCATACGCTCTACTGAAATATACACTGGGCTACTTTGTCTGCTTTACTAAAAAAATATTAACTCCTAGTCGTAGTGTTGTCACAAATGTTATCAAAATTGGCAGAAATGGGTTAAAAAAAATATATGCACATCTGCAGAAATCCAATATTGTGCTTTCCTAAGATTAATGTTACTAAAAAATTAGATAAGGAGGTGGAGGAGGAAGTTTCAGTTTCAAACAAGAACTCCAACAAACATCACGGCAAAGTTTTTGCTTTATACCCCCTGAAAGAATACTATATACTATTGATACAGCATTTTGTTAAGAGTGAGTACAGAGTAAAGTAATCAGAAACATCATGTCCTCCTTTACACTTGTGCCGCAGTGATTGTGCACATGCACACACAGGCGTGGGTTTCTCTGTCTTTCTTTGAAGAGGTAACTGTCGGTCAAACCCTGGAAAGCGCTGAGCCAACTTTCCCTGCTTCGGTCTCCATATTCCCAATTCTCTGGTTTCCTCTGTTCTCTATCAGTATCCCACTGTGGCCTGAATGCAACACAGAATGCGAATGCCGAATGCAGTGACATATACTTACTTCGGCTTGTTACTGGCAGCGAATCACAGAGCGTAAAAACACGGCATGATTGCTGAATTTATCTCCATATCAACTGGATTACATTAGAAGTCATCTAGAAAGGTAATTAGATCTTATCTGAGCGCTAAATATTGTGTTAGATGATGGGGAAGATCACCGTTTTTGTATTTAATTGTACATGAAATCCCCAGTTATAAACCATACATACATTCAGCAAGCCATACTTTTATCCTTTTGTCACCCCATAACAGCCAGATTTTACAGTCAGCTAAAACGACTTACTGAAGCAAGAATAACTCCGCAAAGCCTTTAGGGGTAGCCAGGGTTTGACAGCGTGACACAAGAGGCAGTGGAGAGAGTGTGTCTGGCATAAGAATAAGATGTGCTGAGATGAGCTGACAGTAAAAAAACACAACATCAAAGAGAGTGAACAGGTGAAAGAGGAGACCTAAGGCGAAGATGTGAGGAACAGCATGGTTTGTGTTTGAGTTTGCTTGAGTCTGGTAGTTAACACAGGATTGCCCTGTGAAGCACAGTAGTGGAAACATTGCTACTGTAACCTCATACTGTGAAACAAAGTAAACACGGAGCGAGCTATTTTTTTTTTTTTTTTCACCTGCAGTCAGATTTTTATTTATTTATTTATTTTCGCTTCTCGTGATCTGTGGTTTATTTGTGAGCTCATTATCAAAAAGTTTCATTTGTTGTTTAGGCTACCATGCAACTGCAGCCTCTACCGTGGACATCAGTTTGTGCGTGACATTTTTCCAGTCTCCCAGCAGCAGACCTCGGTGTGTCAGAGTTTGCTAGCACCAGATTTGGAGCTGCAGATTTGCATTGATGCAGCTGGTTGTAATAATGCAAATAATACTCCTGGTATGGGGCTTGGTCCTGCTTGTCATATATTTATCACATGACTAGACAGGTTTGCTACATACTTTTTCAGCTGGCTGTTAATGTCAGTGATTTACAGGACTGAGTGTTTGGTTAAGTAAGTGTCTGGTTGTCCAGTTTGTCCACAGTGTTTCCTTTACTGGCTGAGAATCTGTCCATGTAAAATCATCTGGTGAATGCAAAGCTGCTTTTACATTGGCTCTTTAGAATGAGTGTGTATGAAGTAACATAAAAATGTTTATAACATGTCTTTATGATTAACAGTGTAGCCTCTGTTTGTTGTCTTCAAACATCCAGATTGTCATCTTGAATGACGTTGGTTAGTTGGGGGCTCTTAAAGTTGGTGTTTTACTCTTTTGCTCCCAGTCTGCCATGTGTTTGAAGAATTTGTACAACAGTTTTTTTTAACTTACCCTTATCCCACATTTTACAGAGGCTGACTTTCATTAACCTTCACTTTTAATGGTTAGTTTTTACAAAGTCAGATCACGTAACGTCTTTCTGTCTGTTTCCTCCTCTCTTTTCAGAATATGACAGCCAGTTAGCCCCAGCTGCAGCGTCGGAGTCAGGCATGGCATCGTCTTCCTACTTGGAGCCCAACCACAATCACTCGGCAACGGGTGGTTGTGGGGTCAAATCCCGCTCTGGGATGTCTGGTGGTACCAGTGTTGGTACCAGCGGCTCTGCAGGGGGTCTTGAGCGGCCTCCTGGCTCCATGGATCGGGTCCTGAAAATCTTCCATTATTTTGAGACAAACAGCGAACCCTGCACCTGGGCTAGTAATATTAGACATGGGGATGCCACTGATGTCAGGGTAAGACACACAACCATTTCCAGACTTCCAGGCTCCTTGGTCACCGTCTCCCTGATTTCCACTTCCTTCTTTGTTGTCTCCACAGGGTGTGATCCAAAAGATAGCAGAGATTCACAAATTGCGCTGTGTGTCGTCTCTTGGCCTCCGTTTGACCCACCTGCACTCTGATGCACTTCATTGGTTACACCCTGATTTGGGCGTTTCTCATGTCAGGGAGAAATATGAGAAACAGCACCCCCAGGAGGAGTGGAGGTAGAGTTACAACATGATTGAATGTTTAACACTAACTCATTATCAAAAAGATGTTTTTCCTTTTCTCATGAGAGGTACGGGAGATTGAAGGGCTTGTTTTTTTTTTTTTTTTTTTTTTTTGCATTACCTTTGTCTATAGTATAGACACATAGCTGCTGGTGATACTTACTGGACAACACAAACCCAGTACCGTGCTGATATTAAACAGCAGGTCTGTTACCAAAAAATCCCCTTAGAGGGGAGTAAAGGATGGATTGGTTCCACAAATATGTCACTCTATAAGAGCTCCATTTGACCATACATATACTACTCTTAATAGATGTGTCAAACGTATTTTGGTCAGCCTAAGTTGTTAGCAGTAGCTCGTGCCGCTCCTAACATATTCCCAATAAAACAGTTTAAATTAGATTAAACAACTGACCTTAAATACACTCAAGCACTACAGCATAAAAGTGGTACAATTTGTCTTCAGTATTTGACATGTGTTGCCCCTTGAGTTAAAAAAGTACTCATGCAATATGTGCCCTCATTCATCCATGTTTCCCAGTTGTATTTACAGAGAAATAAATTACTCGAACAGTTGGAGTTTATTTAACCTAAACTGGTCAATCTCACATCATTACATGTGCATGACTTGAATGCAATGGCTTGTTTGTGCAGACCCCATTTGTTGCCTTTTTAATGCTTTAATTTAAAGAGCCTCATTCATCTGCTGTGTTCGTCTCATTTATCTGTGTTGTTTGAAAGACCCGCTGTCCCTTTTTAGCCTAACTCAAACTTTGCTGGCTTTTAGCCATCTGCTGTCCATATTGTTAACGGCTCCTCTTACAATTTAGCCCATTGTCCTACTGTTGATGTGTTACACCCAAAGCCATTAAAATTGAAATGAATTCAAACAGAGAGGCTTGTTCACACCGCTAACATGCTGTGCAGCCCCGCCAGTTGTTGCAGCTCTGTCTCGGAGGGCTGCAGAGCTGCAAGCCCACAGGAGCTTCTGCTGCTGCCAAGCTATTGTTAGAACGGCAGAAGTAGCCCAGGGGATGAACTGACTCTATCTCACTCCTCTCACGCTCCCTCGCGTGTTTTCTCTCATTCTGTCTCGTTCGCTCGCAGTTGCTCCTTTTTACTTTGATCTTTCTCTCCATCCTTCCCTCTCTTCATCTCTCACATCTGTGCTCTCTTTCTTACCCAGCTCTCTTCTCTCTCAAACATGCATCCTTTGCTCTCTTCTCACACTCTGTTTTTTTGCGTCATTCATTATAGAACGAGGATGTTTTATTCATTGAATCTTTTGATTTTCCTTTGTTGCCTAACTACAGGCCTGTAGCATTATGGCAGCATGAGCTTCACTACTCTGATGACCCATTTCTCTCAACTACGGTCACAGCAATATGTCAGTCATAAAGTAATATGTCACCGTAAACAATGATGGCCCATCTGGGGACGACTGTGTCACAGCTGACTGTAAATTGTAATAGCAGGAATCTCATTATACTTGATGATAGGACAAGGTTATCACTTTCAGTAAGTTCACTGTCAGCAAAAAAACAAAAGCCCATCCTACTGAGCCACCAGGCAATAATGAGGAGAAAAGAGCATCTTTCAGCCTCAAGACTTTGTTTCAACACAGGAGGTGTTGGCGAACAGCCACCCTGCTGAGGTGACTTTGGGCAAGACGTAAAATCTTCTGCTGCATGAGGGTTGTTGTTAAGCCAACATGTACGCAAAGCTGCCTGTAAGGGTAGAAGAGAAGTGAAGAAAATAATGCAAGAAATGTGTCAAAGTTGACTGTGTCTGCAAGACCCAACTATTACCTACTTATTACTCATAAGTGCCTATTCATTATTTTGGTAACTTTTATTGCTGTAAGCGTTTTTAGTATATTTCCAGTAATTCACTTTGCAGAAACTGACAAATGTTTGTGTTATAGTATTATTTTTCAGTGAGTTTCACTCAAAAATCTTGACCAGATACTGTTTGTTTTCCAGCTCTTAAACACTAAACAGGCAGTCTCACGTCTTCTTAAAGTACAAGTTTTCTCTCATCTATTCACTTGTTACCATGAGATGAATTTACAAAGCTTTTGAAAACTGATGTTGAAAAGGAAACATCTTAAAGTGTAGCACACCTCCATCTCTGTAAAAAAAAGTGCTTGTTTGTTATAACCAAAGACATCTAACTTCAACTCTGAGATAGTCTTGCTTTTTACTTCAGTGAATCTCTAGATTCGCCATATTGGGGGGCTTTGAAATGCATCAAGCTCTGTTTGTGTCAGATATGTGTATGAGTAAGCATGCTTGTCATGTCTGTGCATCAGACAGGCTGAATATTTGGAAGCTGAAGGTTATTTCTTTCCCTGTGTGGGTGCAGACTCTGCTGTTATCTAGCCAAACGGTTTAATGTCATCCTCAGGTATGAGCTGCGGATGCGGTACCTTCCTAAAGGTTACCTTAGCCATTTCTCTGAAGACAAACCTTCTCTCAACTACCTCTATCACCAGGTGAGAAAACACGACACGATCAGCTAAAAAGTGCAAAAAGAAATCTCTTCTGCTAGTGTGATAATGCTCAATAAATTTGATTAACTTTGTATTTTGTTATTTTTTTAACCTCTTCTTATTTGTTTTATTTGCTTTTTCACTTCTGCTCTGTCACTAAAACTGAAAATTGACGTGTCATTCTGGTGTTTTGGGATTATCATACAACAAAGCACATTTGCTTTATTGTCAAACTACCTTAAAGCAGCATTGGTGTAAAAAATGTTTTGTTGTCACACTCTGTTTCTCCAGGTAAAAAGTGACTACATGCACCATATAGCTGATCAGGTGGATCAAGATGTTGCTTTGAAGCTGGGCTGTTTGGAAATCAGGTAAGAAAGACACATACAACAGTTTTTACCACACATCTGTGACAAAATTAAAAAAGATAATCACATCCTCTAATGTTTTCTTAACTGTATCTTCTTCTGTTGGGGAATTTTGTAGGAGGTTCTTCAGAGAGATGCCAGGAAATGCCCTGGACAAGAAATCTAATTATGAACTACTAGAGTAAGAGAGATTTGTTTTCGTCCCCATTATTCTGCTGTTTATTTGTGTTGAAGGTATTTGACTAGTAAATGTTGTGTTCATGTCATTTTTAGAAAAGACGTTGGTTTGAGAAGGTTCTTCCCAAAAAGCCTGCTGGACTCCTTAAAGGTGGGTCTAAACCACTGTTAATGTAGAAACAGAAAATCTGATCTCACAGGCTAAAAGTCTCATTCATGTTCTGCCCCAGCATAACAGAGGTGGAAGGAAGTGACTTTGGGAATCCTTGTCTCATTCGGTCGGATAGATTTGACTCAGCCATCAACTGAACGTCTGGCAGACCGATTGATGACAAAATAGATTTCTAGCTAATTACCTGATGATCTCATTGACTGGGATTAAATCAATCCTCCTGTTGTCACTCACAAAAGGCCTTATCAGTTGTCCTCCTAAGCTGTTGGCTCGAACCCAGACAGACTAAACCCCGTAAATGTCTTTTTTTCCTCTCCGTGACAACCTGACAGGCAAAGACTCTCCGTAAGCAGATCCAGCAGACGTTTAAGCAGTTTGCAAACCTCAATGATGAGCAAAGCATCCACAAGTTCTTTGAGATCCTTTCACCCATCTACCGCTTCGACAAGGAGTGCTTCAAATGTGCTCTGGGGGTAGGTTAATGTCGATGAAATATGATGCATCTAAAACTAAATGGTGGACTTTATTTCAGACATTTTTATAAACCAGGAGGATATGAGAGTTGAGTCTATTTAGCATTGCCATAAGGAGTGGATCGTAGTCTTAAATTTAGTTGGCGTGCCAGAACTAGACAAGGCAATTAAAGTATTCAGCATTTGTTCCACTGGCATACTAAATATCATCAGTATTTTTATAATCTTGCTTTGCATTAGCTGTCAGCTACAAAATGTAAACCTTCCTCTATCCCAGAGAGCGTGTCGTGTAGAAAAAAAGAATAAAACAGATGAGTGGTTACATGATTTCAATATTTTATTTCTGCTAGTATGATGTATAGCTAATAGAGCGGGCTGATTTGATGAAGTGTGACATGTTGTTCCTCTCTCTTTCTTTCTGCTTCAGTCTAGCTGGGTAATATCAGTGGAGTTAGCTATTGGTCCAGAGGAAGGAATCAGCTACCTCACAGATAAGGGCTCAACGGTGAGTATGCATGCAAGCAACTCATACATCAGATTGAGCTTTGTAGCCAATGACAGATCCGCTGTTTCACATTTCTGTTACTTAAAATTATTGCCTGATCAATACATCTATTCTTACAAACAGTTATCATTATTTTGAGTGTGTGCTTTAGGCTGATTATTTAAACGGTTCAATGTCAACCCACTCTGCTGCTATCCACTGGTTTACTTTTTGGCAAGTTTTTCTGTCACAAGTTGAAATGGTTGCTGAAATGTCAGCGTGCATGTGGTCTGTTATTATAAAGCAGATATGTGCCGGACGAAGGCACGTTCCCGATAATATGATCAAAGCATAGCAGCCACAGGGCTTCATATGAGTTATGAAATTTTAACTTAATGAGACAGGCTGCCTGTCAAAATGTCAATAATCAATTCAATTAGTTGATCTTTGCAAATAATAAATGAATCAAACTTTGCCCTGTATCCTTCCCTCATAAACTTAATGACTTTGGTTGTTGTGTTTAGTACTCAAAAGGTGTGGCTACTGTGGTTGTAGATGTTATAAGAAGAGACATGTAATTATTCAATTAGAGTAATTGTAATAACAGAACAGTTTACAGAACAATTTAACCTTGTGTATTCTTTCTTGGACAACATACAAAGTCTTCTGAGAAGATAATATCCATTGAGCAGAGTAGAGGAAGGTGCTGTCATTGTTTTGTGTAATTATATGTAATTTTGACCTTTCAGTGTCTATCTTTGTTTTTTTTGCAGCCTACACACTTAGCCAACTTTAACCAGGTTCAGTCCATTCAGTATTCCCCATTAGAAGAGAAGGACAGGAAAGGCATGCTGCAGCTCAATGTGGCAGGAGCCCCTGAGGTGAAAACATACACACACACACACACACACACACACACACACACACACACACACACACACACACACAGACTTTTTCACTGTTTCCTTCTCGAATAAAATTATAGACCAATATAATATCAACAATTGCGTTTTGTTTGATTGTTAGATGTTCTGTTTCATTTGCATGTTCACAGTTAACCATAGATTTACAAGAGTTCAGACATTTTTACAGTCTGGTCCCTTTAATTTTGCCTTATTCTAAAACTAAGTGCATTTGATAGCCATAACTACAATTTTGCTTCATATTTGTTGGCTCGTAAAATTTACAATCATAAAGCAAATCTGTAGGAGAAAGAGGATATGATGTCAGGGAATGGGGCAAGCAACACATGGGAGGGTGGAGGCTTGTGTAGCCATCTGTACTTGAGTTTCAGTTTGTGTGTCTGTTCAGAGTGGGTGTGTATGCTTGCAGCAGGCCTTACTACTGGAAAAGCATGTGTGCATCAGTGTGAGAGTGAGTGTGTGTGTGTGTGTGTGTGTGCCCGTGTAGAAGACATTTCCCTAATAAAGCTGTCATTGTGTCACTCTGAAGAAAGTCTCTGTCCTACTCTTACACCCATCCTTGTGTGTATATGTGCGTGCGTGTGTGTGCAGCCCCTCACTGTCACCACGGCATCGCTGACAACGGCAGAAAACATGGCTGACTTGATTGACGGTTACTGCCGACTTGTCTCCTCAGCTACCCACTCTTTCATTGTCAGAGTCCACAAAGGTAAGACAAACAGCTGCAAGATGTTGATATCAGGGTTGTATTCACTGGCATTATTATGCCATGGTTGCTCCAGTTATGGTGCAGTTTATATGTTTTGTTTAGATTGAAACCGTTACTCAAAGCAAAGAATGATCTCACAGTATGAAAGTTGCCATCAGCCTCTTTCATACACTAGTCAAGTCTGATTGTGGCTGTTGAAGCTGTCACACTAAATCACCAGCCTGTCAGTGTAAAACTAGTCTTTTCTAAAAATAACAATAGCCACAAAGAAATGGTTTACAGTGATGTGGTGCTAACATGATGTGGCACCAGTCTGTTATGTGTCTGGTTTATGTGTTCATTTTGTCTCTGCAGAGGGTGACAGAGCTCTGCCTTCCATCCCCAAGTAAGTCATCAGTTGTCTTTTTGATTTATTTGTTCATCAAGAAAAAAAAGCGTTAATTATCTGTAAGACACAAAAGTGGTGTAGGCTGCTTGTAATAATGCATTACAGCGTGACTTTTTGAATCAAAACTTGAGTGGAAGTTTCTGCTGACAGAAGAAGTTTGAATATTAGTTAGTGGCTGTAGCAAAGAGTAAATTCTTGATGTGAAAGCCCTGAAAAAGCTTATGTTGTTAAAGTGTCAATTTGCTCAAGTTATAGACAGCCTTTTGGTGTTTTTAGTGCTACAATGTTTGACACTATAAGACAGCACATGACAGGATGTGTGGCTTCCATTCCTCTGCCTGTGCACTACTTATCTCCAGAGCTGATAATGGGAGCTCATGCAAAACAGGCTGGTCTAGCTTAATGTGAGCCAAGAGTGATTTTCTCATCTCTTGTCCAGAGTTTCAAATCATGAGAGGCGAATGGAAAAACGGATGGACGGAGTACGAACCAGAGCTGTCTGTGTCTCAGGTATAAATTTCTGTCACTTTTTTTTCTCTCAGTTTTCCTGCCTCTTCTCTATGTGTCTGCCTCTCAGTCTGCTGCTGTGAATGTCATGAATGACAGAGACTGCTGTGAGTTAGATAAAGGGTGCATAGATATGTGTGTGCGAACCCTCTTTCCCCTATAAAGCCTCATCTGTGTGTGCAGTGAAGAGTCCTTGTCTCGCCAGATGTCCCCATGGAGAGCTTTAGTCACTCTGTCCTGACAGTCTACTGACCTCTGACTAACTCACAGCCAGGCTGAACTTAATGAAAACTACTCTGAATATAGTGTTAGTTCAATAAAATCCTTTGCCTTTATTTATTTAACGAGTCCAACTAACTCTCCTTGTCTCCTTCTGTGCGTTTGTTTCATGCTGCATGTGGCTCCTGCAGGTCACACTAGTGGCGATGGTAAACAACATTCTTTCTCTTAACCCTCCTGAATTAGTAACTCAGTGGTATTCCTGCTCTGTGTGTCTACATTTAGAGATACTGTATGTGTGTACACTATCACCATTTCAGCCTGATCCATGACTCAACCTGTTTTTCTTCTACTTGTTTCTGTGGAAAGAACAAACCTTTCCATCCCTCCCCTTCCTCTCTCTCTCTCTCTCTCTCTCCTCTCTCTCTTTCTCTCTCTCTCTATCGTACTCTTCTGCCCTACATTTCTCATGTGCTGCTGTTTTATTGTACATGAAAATTTAAAGTGGGGTGCATGTACTTGGAGTCGGGTATGGTGACTGGTTTTTGGAAAGGTACTCCTGTTTGATGATTTGTTTCTGTTATTGTTGGCGTTTTCACTCTTGTTGTCTGTGTAGGGGTGCTCTGATTTCTTTTTACGTTGCATGCAGTGATTTTAGTCATTTACAGTGCTCTTATACCAGGAAATGTTTTAGTTTCAGTTCATGCTGGTACTTGTTCTGTTCATAACCGAGCTTTAGGTGACTATTGGGTCAGCTTGAATTTTTACAGGTCTCTCTGGAAGTTTCCAGACTTGAGCTACTTGTCCAATCTTTTTCTGTGTGTTGTCAATATTACTGAAAACTTAATGTTTCTTTGCTTTCTCTTTTCTTTCCTACATTGCGTTTGCTCTGAAGAAACAGACGACTACGCTGAGATCATAGATGAGGAGGACACCTATACCATGCCTTCAAGTAGGTAGACACCCTGAAATTTATGAACATTACTGACAGCTGATATGAAAGGTGGGCAGATGGAGGGACACAGGTGTTTTGTGCAAAGGCTTAAAAGATTTGTGTAGTACACTGTGGGAGTAATTGTTCATAAGGGCTCTGACAAGACAATCTGCAGGCTTATGGAGCGAGGATTAAAGACCATTAGGAGGCATGAATGTGTGTATGATGCTGTAAATAATATTCCTGTGTCTCTGTGTTAATTGAGTTGTTTTAGGTTTAGATGAGGAGAGTCTTAAACCATAAAAGATTGTAAATTCTCTTTTAATTGCCATCATTTGTCTTGGTCCTATCTTGTGAATATTTTTACAAAGGCAGCGAGCTAGCAGTTCTCCTCCCAAAGTAGATAATAGTAAATCATATTTAAGTCACCTTGGAGACAGATGATATTGTCATTTCTGACATCAATTTAGAGGTTAACGCAATAATTCTCAGAAAATCAGACTGAGCATCAAGTGTTTCAGGTTATCACTTTTCACCATAGCGTACCTAAAGATTTAACACTTGGAGCCTGATTAGATGTCAATTCAGATTTCAGCTGTAGATTATTTCTTTCTAGAGCAGTGGTTCTCAAGTCCAGTCCTTGAGGCCCCCTGTCCTGCATGTTTTGGACGTTTCCCTGCTCCAACACACCTGATTCAAATGATCAGCTCGTTATCAAGCCATTACAGAGCTTGATAAAGTGCTGATCATTTGAATCAGGTGTGTTGGAGCAGGGAAACATCCAAAACATGCAGGACAGTGGGCCCCGAGGACTAAACTTGAGAACCACTGTTCTAGAATATTCAATGAAGAATAAGTGGTAAAATAATGATAGAGGTTTTTTGAGTGCCTTGTGTCTACTGCTGTCACATGCAGTAGTTTTATATAAAAGGGGGAACCTCTTAAACCACGTCATACTGTCTGTTTATTAATAGACCTCGGATCTATATTTGTTATAATGAGCTGTCACAAGATTCAATAGTAATAGGAGCTTCCTCATTCTGCCTTTTCACACTAATTTGCAAGTGTTTTCATTAAAGTAAACATTTGTCAAATGGCTTTGTATCATGTTAATTACTATTCAAACTACAAGTGTCCTTGACAAATGAATGAAAGTGGAGGCTAAACGTGTCTCAGTTGCTGCCGTTCACCAGGATTAAGACTGCTGTCCATATTAAGCTCATTGCAGCCTGAAATGCTACACAGGCAGCATTTGAAGGCAGTAAAGATGGGTAATTTCACCATAACATACTATGTTTGGAAACGGCGTGCAGATTTAAGCAGAGGATTCTTTTCCTGACATAATTACCCATTTAAAGCACCTCAAAATGTCGCCTAGGTATTCTACACACAAACTGTGTCATGCAAACACATTTCAACTTGGCTTTGCTTTCTGACCATTCATGAATAATGCAGTTTAGCTTAAAGGTGTAAAGACACAAACACACACAGAAGAAAAAGAGCAAGAGAGCCAAATATCAGAAATAAAAACACCATAACCTCAACTGTCTCGCATTGCATGTAAAATCTTGTTTGATAACACTACTCTTTTCTAATTCAAATGACTTCAACTTAATTTCTAGCTGTTAATGTCTGACACACAAGCTAAGAATACATTGATGTAAATTTACCAGTTTTTCATATCTGGATTTGGCAGCTCCAGGATTTGTTGTAGTTTTTAGTCCTGGTCTATGGTCACACCAATAAAGCAAGGATTAATTTATTCTTTAAGTTGCATTGTAAGCACTTTATACATAATGTCAAGCTGTGTGGAGTTGACCAATTGTGTGTGTGAGTTCAATAAAAAAATAACTTTGCTTAAATTAACTAAAGTATTTTAACAGTGTTTTGCAGTTTTTATACTTAGTTCTTATGTAAAGTACTTATAACTTATCTGCATCATAGCCCCACCTACTGAACAGAAAATAATGTCAACAATGAGAAATAAAGATACAGAACTACTGTACTCACAGTTAGTTATTTCTGTCTCCCATCACTAACTCGTTTTCCCAGAATACTATGGACTAGATCAAGGTAATAACTGGAATGTACCATGAGTCTGGATGTTTTGTTATGGCAGTTTGATTTGGTTGTTGTTGTGACCCTTATTTTATGTTTGCCTGCAACTTTAAGATGAAATATTTCTGTTTCTGTACGGTGGTGATTTGACCCCCTTTCTCTTGATGTCCAATGTACTGTCAGTTCCAAGCAGTTTAATGAAAGGTTCAAAACAGAATCCTAGTAATAAATCAAGGATTACCTGTATAGAATAGGCGTTTTGAACAAAAAGCAGGATTGTAAGATGGATACTCCTGAAGCTTTTGAAATCATTTTCCTGCACAGGGACAAAGCTTGAGAAATCTTTTGGTGCATTGATTCCAGCGTATTCCTATTTACAACTGTGGCCTGGAGCAGGAAGTACAGCTAAACCTGAAGGTTTAAATAGATCCACACAGTATATATATATACTGTAACATTTTAAACTCAGACCACTAACAAACAGTGTTGTGCCACTCTATTGTTTAACTATAATGATTGACTTCAGGTTACACAGACAGCATTTATAGGCAAAGCATTAATTATGGTCAATCATACATTTTTGTAACTGTATGCTGCAGCCCATTCTCTGCATTTAGTTCTTTTGCCCAGTATATTTTTTCTTAAGTTGGCATACATGTTATAAACATGTTTTATGGACATTTCACCAAGTCAGAGATTTACAATTCCCATAATCCCCTTTGCTATTTTCTTATGCTGATTACATGGACAAAGTCAGGTCAACAGTTTGATGCCTGCCAGGCAAAGCAAACCATCAGCTTCTCAACAGCCAGTAATTCAAAGAGTGTTTGAAATCATAACATATAACAAAAAAGTGTTCTTACGCACCCAACAATAACGACACAAATTTATAATCAACATTAGAAATCTTTTTGGACCAAGCTTTTGAGCTCTGAATTGTTGTCAGTCACGTCTCATTTTGTACAATCCACCTGACTTTATCCATAAAACATTAAATGTAATGTGGAAATTCATGTTTAGAGGTACACTGTCATTGGCTGTTGTTTGTCTATGTTACATGGCATGTCTGGCTGTGGTTTGCTAATGCTGCATGCTGTTGACATCGAGTTATACTGATTGCCATTAAACTAATCTTGTGCGAGTCTGTGGGTGCATTAACTGTATTAATCTTGGAAATTAGGATAATCAAATCAGTAGACTTTGTTCAGTTTCAGATTACTTCCAGCAAACATGGCACTAACTATAGTTGCTCATACAGTGCCCTGAAGTTCTTAACTTCTCCTGTGATCAAAGGCAGTTTCAATAAACTCTGCAAACCCACAAGCACTCTTACAAGCTTGGTTGATGCCATCGTTGAGAAAGAAGTTTTTGTGTTATATCTCAATTTCTACTTCCTTTTGTTCTTGTTTGTGTGTCCATATCTGTGTCTGTGTGTTTATGTATATGTTTATTGTGTATCTAGCGCGGGACTATGAAATTCAGCGAGATCGTATTGAGTTGGGACGCTGCATAGGCGAGGGCCAGTTTGGAGACGTTCATCAAGGAGTCTACATCAGCCCGGTATGAGATCTCTTTCTCTCTGAGGTTCTCTTTTAACACTTCTCCCGCCTTTAGATCTCAATTACCTGATTACTACAGTCAGGTATCTTTTGTCTGAACTCATCTCACAACAGTTGTATAATGGTAAAGAAATGAAATATTCTCAATCTAATTGATTGGATTTTTGGTTGATATGCTGAATGTAGATGCTTGAATGTAGATGCTGTTGTGTTTGTGGTAATAAATTTATTCTAATTTTATTACTACTTCTTTCCTCCTTCTATTAGTATTTGTATTTTCAAGAGCAAGTATAATGACCCAATTCACTCCAGGATAGATAAAGTATTCTGATTCTGAATCTGATACTGATGACCTTTTCTGGGATTTGTTTCTTGTAGGAGAACCCAGCGCTTTCTGTGGCAGTAAAGACATGTAAGAACTCCACATCAGACAGCGTCAGGGAAAAGTTTCTCCAAGAAGCATGTGAGTACCTGTTCTGGGTTTCCCAGATGTTACCTGCCAACACTTATTCTCTTCATCTGCTGAAAAAAACGCACATTCAGCAAAGAAAATTTCGCAAGCTGCCCTTGAACTGACCTTTTCTGTCTCTGCAGTGACAATGCGTCAGTTTGACCACCCTCACATTGTGAAGCTGATGGGAGTCATCACTGAGAATCCAGTTTGGATCATCATGGAGCTCTGCACACTTGGAGAGGTAGGACATCGAGAAGATAATGTTGAATGCTTGACAGTGCCTTGGAAGCTTACATGGATTTATGCATGTGTGAAAAAGCTTGTCATCACCTGTATGAGATGTGAAAATGTGCATAAATATATGACAACAGGGGTTCAGGTCACCACAGTGAGATGTGACATTTTGCATTGTGAAAGCCAACATTGCCCACTGCTCTGTTTGTTTAGAAGTCATATGACTCAGATTTAAAAATTAACATCTGCTGTACAAATGCTGTTTACTTTTTTAATGATTTTAAGTTACTTTGGCAGGGATTCAAAAGCCTACTTTGCATGAGTAAGGAATTTTGAGCTCTGTTAAATAGGATTAAAAATCACAAAATGAGGACAAAAATGAAATAATTGTGTTATAGATTTTTTTCCCTGTATAAATGGAGAAAGTTAAACAAGGATTTCCACACAGATGAACATGGCTTTCACTTTGGTTTTCTCTGTACACACATTTTCTGAGGCATATCTCAACTCATGCACACCATATTTAGAGTGGTAGACCACTCAATGGCCACTCAACTATCAAAGTTAAGTGTACCCGCATGACTTGTTGTTGGCTAAACACTCCATGTTTTATGCAATTTTAAAAAACAACTATATTGCCACTCTTTGCTCAGAGTTTTTGACACAGTACCTCAATATCTCTCGATCTTGTTTTTTTTGTCTGGCTCATATTGACTCTCTCATTTACTTTTTTCTTTATTTTGTCCTACCCTTTCCCCTTTATTATCTATTGTATGGTCAAAATGATCACTTTTCTCATGTTTCCTTTGTTTGAGATTATTTTTTTCCCCTCTCCACAGTTGCGGTCATTTCTCCAGGTGAGGAAGTACAGTTTGGACTTGGCCACTCTCATCTTGTACTCATATCAGCTCAGCACAGCACTGGCATATCTGGAGAGCAAGAGATTCGTACACAGGTATGCATAACAAAACATAAAAATGCTTTAATTTTATTTCAATATTCAAACAATGGGAGTTATAAATTATCTCCACACAGACAGATAAATGTGAAAGCTTCTTAAACTTCTTTTCATTTTGATGTTTTATCTTCGTCAGGGATATTGCAGCAAGGAACGTGTTGGTGTCTACAGTGGACTGTGTGAAGCTTGGGGATTTTGGTTTGTCACGCTATATGGAAGATAGTTCTTATTACAAAGGTAGATATTACACCTCTGTGCCTGCTAAGTGTTATTGTACACTAATTTCCCCCTAATAACCACATTTTTTCTGAAAAAACACAAGAAAGAAAAGATTTTTTTTTCACTCATAGGACTGACATTTAGTCCACCTGATTTCTGTTATTTTCAGCATCTAAAGGTAAACTTCCTATTAAATGGATGGCTCCAGAGTCTATAAACTTCAGGCGATTCACTACAGCTAGTGATGTCTGGATGTTTGGTAAGTTTATGTTTAATTTGTGTCTTACTTTGTTGTGTGTGATTATGTCTTGACCCTCCTTCTCTGTAGTGTTTAAGTGCCAACATTGATTGAGTGTTCGTATTTTCTCTGTTTCTAAAGGCGTCTGTATGTGGGAGATCCTAATGTTCGGCATCAAGCCTTTCCAAGGCGTGAAGAACAACGATGTCATCGGTAGAATAGAGAACGGGGAGCGACTGGCTATGCCCCCTCAGTGCCCTCCTACTCTCTACAGCTTGATGACAAAGTGTTGGTCGTATGACCCCAGCAAGAGGCCGCGCTTCACTGAACTAAAAACACAACTGAGGTATGTAATGGAGAGTGGTTTGAAAGTGCGTGTGCGAGTGTGAGCCAGTGATTTAGTGTCTTGGTGAAGAACACTTTGTCACGGGGAGACAGTAAGCGGTCAGATCTTTGGGGGTTTGCATTCTCTGTCTCTTATAATTGAATTTGAAAGTAATGCAGTAAAAGATACTATAAAAGGGAGTACACTGGTGGATTATTTATTACACTGAATCAAGTTATGTTGTCTCAAGGATCCAGCGATTCAAAATCTACTTAGACATGCTGGGAATAAATCACCCCTTTAACAAAGTCTTTCCAACCCTACTGTTTCATAAAGTTACAGAAAATATTTGAGTTTTTAAAAAAGGCTCTGCAGGCTGCCTGTTGTATAAATATGATTTGACATTAACTGAATGAATCGTTCTCTCCGCTGTTTTCCCTGTGGTAGTTTAGATAAAGAAGTGTGCCGTATTAAATATTTTCAGTGTTCTTTTCACTGAAACAACAGCAGGTGTCACTGTCTGTCTGCTATGTTCATCTTGTAAGATTACCCCGATTAAGACAAAGAGCTGAGGCTACAATTACACTTCTGAGCTGAAGCAAATGTTCAAGCCTGTCTGTGAATTCCAGTTACAGAGTCATTTGAATCTTTGTGAATCAGCTCTGGTATTCAAAATCAAAAAGTTAAATATAAGTAGTTGAGCAATAAGGCAAATACAACATCCAGCTGAGGTGACATCTGTCCCATCTCACTGTTATTGAGAAGGCAGTATGGATCATTTCAGAAGCTTGTTAGAAAGGCTTTTTGATAAAAGACTTGGCTGCAGAAGAGAAATGAAACAAAAACAAAGTTAATTAAATGGATAGCACTTTGTGTTTTGTCATAAATGTAATGTCCTAAGCAGACTGTAACAGCGTGTCATACACTGCATCTAAAAAAACTGAGTTTTTGGGGAGCATTTTGAACCTCATGTTGATCCCCTCCATCTGTCATGGCGTTTTGCATTCTGTAAATCTTTACTGAGCATTTAACAGACATGTGCAAGATTCTTAGCACGTTGTCAAACTTGTGTAGAGAGTGTACAAAGACAGACAGTATCAACATGGTTTACACCCTCAGACTTAACTTTTAAAACAAGCCAAAACAAAAAGGCCCAAAAACGTTACTGTCAGCACGTTTTCACTGTTTTGGCTAATGACTTTTTGGTTGGCATGGCAACCACAGTGTTAAGATGACGGAGAAAGATCAAATGAGATATTTAGGTCACACCTTGATCTTTTGTGAAATGATACGTCATTTCCCTGATGCTAGCCTACAGACATAAACAATAACCTGGGCATGTTGTGAACAGATAAGACAGAACTAGACAACGCTCGACACAATTTCAAAACTGTCTGAGTAAGTCCAGCATATGTCAACACCCTGATATTCCCCTTTAAACGGAAAGGAGCAAACCACTTCATGAATCATACTATGCTGTAGTCATAACCGGGATAGGCAATTAGCTGTTTGTGAGAAGTTTTATCAATTATTATTACTCAGAGATTTACTCCCAAGACATATCGTAAAGATGAATCTTTTGACTCCAGCACACTTCTGAATCTCACAAAAAGCTAAGGAGAGGCGACAAAGCATTGTATCAGGAGGTACATGCAAAGAGATAAACTGCAAAAACCTGACATGTTTTATGGTGTATGCGGGAAAGTATTTTGTTTTATTATGTGGTTATAGCAATTGCTATAAATAGGTTCCTAGCAAGCAAAATCATAAAACCAGCACACGGATAACAAATTTTAAGTATATATATATTGGCTTAAAAAATGTCTCTAAAAAGTGGCATTAAACATGCTGTATATTTACTTGTGTTTAACTTGACAAGGTTAAGCAGAGGTAAAGTAGTAATGGGGCCTTTCCCATCCACCATGACTCAGCAACGCAGACTTCGACATGAACATACCTGTGCTTCTTTGGAAGTAATCTTCAGCCTCACGTCTGATCGTAAGACAGATCATAAGAGCTTAAGTAATGCTGGCAGGAAATCATTCTCATTCATTCAAGCAACGCCAGTGTCTGAATATTAGTTTTAAATCACAGGTAGGTATGCACTAGAGTGTTTTTTTCTCATTATATATCACAGTTCTGTTTCAGATACCAGTTATTACACTTAAACACATGGATGAGTTTTGCTGCTTGGAGCTTGATAAATTGGGTCTTTTTATAAAAGATTGAGAAGATAAGACCTCCACACTAGTATCACAATGACTTAGTACTAACATGTCAGTATTATTAAAGCATGAGACATCTCCTATGCACATGAATAGATCATCAAGGCTTCAGCAAGCACAGCGAGATGCCATTATTGTTTCCTTCCACATGCACATTCTCCCTCTTTCTCTCCTAAACACCAGAAACAGGAAAATAAGAGTGCATATTGAACTCCTGTGGTTTTATAGGTTTGCTTAAAACCAGCATGACTCACACCTTAAATTCCACCATCACTACACTTCCAATCCTCTCAAGGTCAGCTTTCCTCTCTCTTCTCCTCTTTATCCCTTTCTTTTCAAACTCCTCACTGCGTTTTTAATCCTCACCTCCTGACCTGTCTCACATCTGCGTTATGTCCTGATATGGCTCCTCTATTCTGGCCTCAATGAGCCTTTTCCTCCAAAACACGGAGGTCCACTCCTCAATCTGACATGTGTATTGGAGGTTTGTGGTCATATGCATTAATGAGCTGCAAAACCAGTGTGCAGAAAAGCACATGTGGGCTACATATGAAGGTTAATCTGACCACGTTAATTGACTTGTACAGTATGTTGGTGTGACAGAACCCCTCCGTGTGCCCTAGCCAGTGTCTTGGAAACCGAGTCAATATTGACCGTGTTCACTGTGGTCCCTGGCTATTATTAGGGGAAAGTTATGCCATATAAGGTCATACAGTTTGGTTTACGTTTGGTCTGGCTGGCTTTTATATCATAATATCAATTATAGGTCTCTGCTGCCAAGTATGCAGCTCTTAGTTTCTACTACAGTTTTCCTAGACGGTGGACTAACATGAGTGTGTGTGTGTGTGTGTGTGTGTGTGTGTGTGTGTGTGTGTGTGTGTGTGTGTGTGTTTACACAGTGGGCAGCTGCCAGGAGCTACTCAGCTTTCCAAAGAACAGAAAGAGAGAGAGAAAATAGTGGGTGAGAATGGAAGAGAGGAAAAATGCTAGCAGTAGTACTACTGCAGCTCTGTGCTCTCCTAAGCTTGAGACGCTCCTGGTTTTCAGATTGTGTTATCCTGAAAGTGACGCCTATGTGCAGTGAAGGATTGAAGCCTGTAGCCTCCGAGTATTTTTGTTCAGCAGCAGCAGAGCATATTTGTGTCATCCTGCCAGCAGTAGTTTGTTTTATCCTTAAAGCGATGCTGGGGTCGTTCGCAGCTATTCATGTTGACCTTCAGTTGTGTATCAGTGCAGAGTACCTGCAAAACATCATCTTTTTAGACGCTACTTTATTCTGCTAGAAGCCTGGACTGGATATATAGTTTGCTGCTGTTGGATTGGTCAGCACCTAAGGTAAAGTAGGTTTTTTTCAGGATTTCCACATTGTTTGTGCAAGTATGCTGTATTTATTGGACGCTTTAGTTCCAATGGCAGCCAGTTGTTTGACTTTTCTCCACAGGAACTTAAATTCTTTGCATGGTCCTCCTGGATTATGGAGTCACATTATTTCAATATTTTACATGGAAATGTAACTCACATACTTGTTTATCTATTTATGCAGTTCTCGGCCATAACAGATCTGTTAACTGCTAATTCAAGAGACATAGACATGCTTTTACTGTTGCAAAATACATTCTGGAGTAAAAACTGCAGTAAAGCTACAGTAGTGCTTCAGCAGTTTAATTTACATCTTCCAAAATTGGCTGTTTTTTTGCCTCAGTGCTGCAATGGAAGGGACAGAGGAGAATATTTTATCCTGGAGAAAGGAGTTCTTGTTTTTAGGGGACAGGATGCTGAAGGGATTTATTGTACTGTTCCAGTCTGATCTAAAGCTGCTGTTATGTTCTGTTATTTGACATGATGTTGACATAAAACATAAAATTTTATTTATTATTTTGTCTTCTAGAAAACTTTGGAAAACACATTTCTAAAGAGATGTATACGTTGACATCAGCAAGAGATTAATGTGGACATAGAAAAAGCTTCTAAACCCCAAACCCTGACACCTGAAACCTGTTTGATGCTTCTCACTTTCAGTCAGTAAAAACTGTATTAAGGTGTGTTCAGATGGGACGTAGGTAAGAGGTTGGAGTAGCTGAAAAGTCCAACATTAAAGCGTCTGGCTTAGCCAGAGTAAACAAACGTAACAGGCATTGTTATACCAGGTGCTGATGTAGTGGAGGTGGAGGAGCAGACAGTCAGTGTTGCCTCCAGGTGCTGATGTTATCGTCATCACGTTTTCATGCATGAGGTCATTTACTGTTACTCTGTTGGGCGAGGTTTTAGTATGTATTCATGACTAACTATATCCAAAGTTGATGTTTAATAACTTGGCTCGTGTGAACATCAAGTAAAAAGGCCAGAGACACAATGTTACTGTATGGCTTGCTGATAAACACAAAGTGAGAGCATTTACGAGCAGTTGGAGACTATTTCGTTATTTTGGCATGCACCAGTCTGTGTTTTAAAGTTGTCTGCTCTTGCTTTGTTAAACTCATGGGATCAATAAAGTTCAGCACAAAAAACTAGAACCTCTCCTGCAGACAGAGGAATGAGAAACAGATTTCAGAGATTTGTTGTAAAGGTCTGATAAAGACAGAGAAAAACATGAAGTTAGCCAAAAGAGAAATAGGCAAAGTGATAAACTGTTGGGCTAAACTGAAGGCTTAGAATAATTTAATAACCTCATAAGATATTAAAATATGATTCAAATTATCAATGTGATCTTATATTGGTTTATATCTTTATTTCAAATGTGTTGATAAAGTAAGAAGCAGTAAAGCATAAGAAAAGTTTCCTTAACAATAATACCAGCTGCCAAAGTCAACACAGCAAAAAGCACTTGGTTGAAATCCCAGCCTCCACTTTTCAAAACACTAATATCCTCACAGGTTCTTTATCAGAGAATAGAAGACAACTGGATTGCATTAGATTACACAGATGCTCATAGTATTATGGCTGGTCACTGTTTATAGATCTAGTAGTGACTATGAATGATAGATTATAATGTGTAAGTCACAGCTGTTACACTAATGTAACCATACAAGTATAGGTGAATATGTTGTGATGGAAAAGAAGGACAAGACCTGACAGGAGACTTACTTTGACAGGTGCTAGGACAATCTCTCTCACACACACAAACACACACCAGCAGACAGAAACACACAGCAGGAGACAACAGAACACTGGGGGTGGGTTAGGGGGGGACGTAATCATGTTACCAGAAATAGCTCTTACCCTTGTTGAGGAAAGGAGAGTGGAAAGAGCGTGTGACTGCTGTCATTGTTAAGAGTTTGTGTGTGTTGGATTAACCACTTCTCAGTCTCCCCAACTGCATTTTCTTCCTCTTTGAGGTTCTTGGTTTGGTTCAGCAGCAGTTTTTTTTTTCCAGGAAGCAGGTCAGTGAGTATCATTTCAGTGAGATATCGTTGGCAACATGACATAGAAACATATTGGTGGTCTTGGGATACAGGACATTGCTTTCCCTTCGAGAGGTTAAATTTGTTTTCAACAAAATATAGTGATAGAGATAGTGGTTTACTTTGTGTTACAGCTTGTCCTGGTGTAAAGAGGAGTTTAGGAGTCTAATATGTTTGAAAGTATCATTCAGGATAAAGGTTTTTGTAATGAAGTTGGACTGATTGGAGGGAACGGTTGTCACTGGCTCTCTGAGGATTATCAGATGTCTTTGAGCATCCTTGGATAAACTGTCAGTGCAGTAAGAGATTTCATCACAAAATGGAATTTGTTTTTCTAATGGCTTAATTTGTGTTTCAACGCTTTGTAGTGTGAGGAATGCTTTACAGGCTTCAGTGTTTAGCACACTGTAATAAAGTATGAAAGTGTAGAAAATCATAATCAGGTACATAGTTTTTTAAATATAACTTTTTTATTTAGAAAAACTCTGTACGGAAGTTTACCTGTGCGGAAATCAGGCAATGGCAGATGTTTCGTGGATTGTTTGTGGTATGCAGAGCATTTTAAATTGTTAAAAACTTTATTCAAGTTTCTTTCTTCATGTTTTCCTTAAAGTTATTCTTATTTCATCGTAGTGTTTTTAAGTTTCAGATGTTTCCTTGTATAAGAGCAAGAATGAAAATGTGAAAGTAGACTTTTACGACTTTTTGATTCTGCCTCTTAATGCCTCAAGTAATGAAGGTAATGGCAAAATATAAACATTTGATCCTTAGAAAAAGTGATGAGAATGGCATGTACCTGGTTGAAAGTTCAGTAAAAACACATATGAATATTTATACTCTCTTTGTACTACATCATCTTTTTTTCCAGCACTATTTTAGAAGAGGAGAAGCTCCAGCAGAAGGAGAGAAGCAGGATGGAGATGAGGAGACAGGTCACTGTTTCTTGGGACTCTGGAGGATCTGATGAAGCACCACCAAAAGTAAGACCCTCTCCGTGTGTCTTTGTCTGTGTGCTTGTCTGTCTGACTGTGTGTGTTTGGGTGCAGCAGGCGTCATGATAAAAATAGGTTGTGTTTGGACTGTTTGTAGTGAGACTCACTGATGATTGCAAGTCCAACGTTTTCTTCAGAGAGGGATTCTGTCTTTTTTTTAACTTCTATGTGGAGCCAATGACATATTTCAGATAGATATTAAATGATTCAACTTGACTGTAGATTGATTAAAAGTTTGAATCTTTCAACATGAAATATTTCTATATACCTTATATCAACTTCCTGTTTGACACTGGTTATCAGGATGAGGGCATTCCTCACAAGTCTCAGCATATAAGAAGTGGGAGGATTATTACATTAGGCTCAAACAGAAAAGCTTCATCAGAGGAAAAAGAATGTGTCATGGGAATTATAGTTGAAGACATGGGACCACAGACCTTTTCTATCACATATTTGCATTTTCTTCCACTAATTCAATCGACTGTTTATTACAAACCACTTCATTTCCTCTGAGTGTGCAGGGATTTTTCTCCTGTGATGTGATAGGATGATAATCTTTCCAGGTAAGATCTGAGGTTGACATTAAAATCAGGTACACTTCAGGAGGCTCACTGGATAATAGGTCTGGGAAAGCTGTTGACCACACGCCAGCTTTTACACATGCTGCTGAAAAAAAAACAACAATCTCGCCTTGAAAAATCAACATTTGTTTTTAAAACATAGAGTAATTTTTTTTTTTTACTTGGTTTTCGTTTGTTAAGTGGAGTACATAAACCCATCCCCCTTCACCCTGACCACTTCTACCATCCCACTCACAGTTTGTTGCCCCAGCTGCTGGCTGACTCACCCTCACCTACTACCCCTGCTATCAGCGTCTGTTAACTGCATCTAATGGAACTAAAGCCATATGTCTTGAACAGTAGTAAACAGATTGTTCTCAGGCCTTCAGCGTTTCTGTGATTTTTCAGAATGTGGTTGCAGGATTTAGAAACTGCTGCTCTTGTTTGGTTTTACTGAATAGAGAAAGGATTTAAGATGATCCCTTGAAGGTAAATGCCTTTTCATTTTGATGTTTAAGAGGCTCAGTCACTTTATGGCTTTGGTTACAGTGCTGGGTATTACTTTCTGTGCTTTGGCTCATCCCTGTTTCTCTCACCTGTCTACTACATGTCCCTGTCTTTTATGATCCCTTTTACACCTTTGTGTCCCCCCCCCTCTACCTTTGTCCTTCTGTTTGCAGCCAAGCCGTCGTCCCTCTCTGCAGCCCACCATCAGTCTGGATTGTCTGTCTGCTCCTTCTCCTCCTCTTCATCACTGCCATCCAAAACAGCGCTTTGCCTCCCAGCTTTCCCTCTGCCTCGGAAACCCTCATCCTCCGTCGCCTCACCTCCCAACTCCCCCACTCTACTCATCCTCTCTGCAGTTTCCCCATCACTTTTACTCTTCCCACAGCCTTCATTCTCCTCCCCTTCCTCCTCAAAACAGTGCTTACCATAGTTGTTCTTTATCACAGCAGCACAGTGCGAGTTTTAATCCTAAACCAACTTATCCGAGCTCAACCCTACAACCAGATGACATTGACTTCTGTTCTCCTCCTCACACCAGCTCAGACGGCAGGTTTAATGGCAGCTGCCTTCACAGGACAAATCCAGCATCATACAAGTCAAACCCAGATCTCTGGACTGCCTCCCCTCTCTGCTCCCAATCTAGTCCAAAGCTTAATTCTCCCCCCTGCAGCATGTCAAATGTTTGTCCCCACACCCTCCAAAACCCACAGCCAAAGATAAATTCCAACCTTAAAACCCTGCTCACACCCAGCTTTCACTCTGGCTACCAGCCTGATCCGAGTACCCCTCCACAACCCGACACTGACCCCCAACAACAGCACCCTGCTGTGCAGGCATGTATGAGGCACCTGATGGTCTCTCCTGCCCCCCTTTCACCCACACAGAGTGTCCTCCCAGCATCCTTTGCCTTTCCTCAGTCCTCTACCGATTCCCATCCACTTAGCCAAAGCCCAATAACTACCTACCCCCCTTTTCCTGTCCCCTGCTCTCAAAGACCCAGACCCTTAAAGGCAGGTGGTGTGCTGATAAACTGCTCTAACACGGTTTCTCTGAAACAAAAGTCTGTGACTTCTTCAAAGAATCCTGCAACATTCAACATTTCTGCCTTTTGTGGATGTAAATTTGACTTGAAAGAACAAATTCAAAGAAACTTGCAAGAAAAATAAAGTGAGTAAGGATATTTTGCCTCTTTAGAAATAAAATATATAAACTAAAATATATAAAATTTCACAATTTGAAACAAAATTGGTATCAGTCACATACTTGATAAGATGTCTTGTCAAGTATTTTCTGGGATCAAAATTCAAAATTCAGCCCAGATAACAATGTTGCATTATTTCTTTGATGTGGGCATTGATATCACAAAAACTCACCTTCCTCAGTGCTGTGACTGCAAACACAGTGTGTGTTTTTTTTCAGCTCCCTTGACTGTAATTTGTCATGTTTATGCTTCACCTGTGGTTTGTGTTATCTAACCTGGACATGCTGTTGAATGTCCTCTGTGGTGATTGAATGTACTTGCTGATGTGTGTGTGTACATGTTGAGCATTGTGTTGATGTGTCCTCGGATTATTGCACACTATTTCTAGCCCGCTGTGGATGCCTGTCCCCAAACCCACTGGCTGGCAGTTGTTGAACCCGAACAACTCACATAGTTTTTTTCTGAATTAACAACAACGAAAAATGTTGTGGTCGGCTTTTGAATGTTGCTGAAATTTCGATGTAATGACATGAAACATCAAGTGAAGTTTAAAATATTTTTCTATTGTAGGAGCTTGCAGGAATGTGTAAAGCCCAGGATTGAAAGTTTCTATAAATACATAAAGAACTTGCTCAAAAACCTAAATCTAAACTGAAGCCTGTTTACAGACAGAGCTGGCTCTCTCCCCTTGACCTGGCTGTCAGTCACTCTCCACTTAAGCTTGTTTTTAACTGTGACCCTGCTGTTGGAGGGAATATTTAGTCCTCCTGTTTTACCCACGTCACCTTTAACCCAGTGTCTTGCTGGAAATAGTTTGAAAAAGAAGCTTTAGGAAGTAAACTTTTTACTTTATAAAAAAATATACTGTGACAGTCAGAGCTGCTTCAATCATTTCTGAAGTCTTACAGGAATATAAAATGACACTCAGTCCATCCCTCAAGTTTGAAGACCGGTCACAAGTTGAATCTTTTCAGCAGAAATCCTGGATTCAAATATTCATCAAACTTCTTCTCATTATAACCAACTCTATTCTATGTTGCCTCACCCTCCAGTCTGTCTGTCTGTCTGTCTGTCTGTCTGTCTGTCTGTCCTCCCTGTGTTTATCCTGGTATTTTTAAACTGGGTATTCCCAGGGGAACCTCCTGCTACAGCGATTGCCAGGGCTGGGAATCTATTTAACGCTGATTTTAACATCTAAGATGTCATTTTTGTGTCCTCCAACTTGTGATCATGTTCACACCATGCTGTATATTTTCCCCCGTGTCTTCCTGTCTGAGAGTTTTGAAGCTGTTTGTCTTGTCCTCAGTTTTTTTGTCTTGTCTACTTCTCTTTTTCCCCGTCCTACCGGTTCCCTTTTCCCCCTCCTTTTCTTTTGCTGTTTGTTTCCCTTCTTGTGTGTCTCTGTGTCTGTCTTGCCATCGAAGGTGTGGTCCAGAGAAAGCTACTATGAGAGGCTGTGGAAGGTAGTGGTTACAAAAATGTTGTGCTAGAATTTAGCTCTATGTCAAAGAAGTTTAAATTTCTAAGAAAACTCTCACCCGCCATCCTAAGAGGGGGAAATGTTCATCAACTTTCAGCAGCTTCATCCTCAACAAAACACCAGCAACCGAGAAATGAAACATGGCTGTGGGTTCACTAAGCCCTTTTCTTTGTAGCTACTGGAGCTGTGCAGCAGAATAGAAAAGAATAAATTATGTTTCCTCAGTAGCTTGGATTAACATGTCTCATTTCTCGGGAAGACTCCCTTTGTCATGCAGATTTCGCGTATTTTACTCTACACTTGACTTGTTCAGCCTTTTCAGCAGCTGCTTGTCTCATTGTTTTTACCAAATTAGAAAAAAGGGCCTTAAAAGAAGAGGTATTTGGTGAACTTGCAGCCATTACACAATATCTACACACCTGCATCACATTTAACCAGAGATCCTAACAGTTCTTGACTATATTCAGTTTGTAGTGTTAACCTTAGATGCCAGTTTTTGTATTAAGACTAACAGCTTGCTGGACTTGCAGCCCAGTGGGGTGTCCCCTGTTTTGACCGACAGCTAACCCAGCCACACAAACAGCTCCTGGGAGGTTTGTGTGTTGATTGTATGAATGAGTCAGTGTCTAGTGTTCTTCTGTTTTGTTTTGGGGGAAAATGTTTGAACAAGCATTAAAACTGTGTATTTTTTTTAAATACATTTTTCTGCCCTGTCTCTGTTTCTTTACCTCTCTTCATCACTGTCTCCGTCTGTTTTTCTCTCTTTCTTTTTCTATCTGTCTCTCCATCTACAGCCTAGTAGGCCGGGTTACCCCAGTCCCCGCTCAAGCGAAGGGTTTTATCCTGGTTCCCAGCATCCTGGACACTACCAAGTATGCACACAGACCTGACAAACTAAATCTTTCACTACTGCTGTGCTTCTCAGACATATCTGTTGCTGTTAGTCAAAGCTAAGTGTTTTTGTAAATTGGGTAAATTTGGTTGCTAGGATTAAATGTTTTTAATTGATTAACATTTTTATTTCTTTAAGTTGAGTTTTTCTGTTATGATTTGACAAATAACTAAATAAAAGGTACGTTAACTTTTCCTGCATGTTCCTTCTTTCTTGTTTCAGATGGCCGGGTACCCTGGCCCTCACACCCTTCCCTCAGTGCCCAGCGCCCTGTACCCCCCACAGGCTACGATGCTGGAGACGCACCATGCACACACACACCCCCGCCACCATGTCCACACACACTCGCACGCACAGCACCTTCCTCAGCCACATGGACATGACATGGCACTGTGGGGCTCCGCCATGGAGGTAGGAGACAAATGCTGCACTCATAGACACACACACACACAGACACACACTCACACTCACATGCACAGTTGGGTGACCATGACAGAGAGATGCTGTCAAATGTCAGAAATAGAGCTGATTACTCAGGCAGTGTTGCTGTCATCCAACTGCCCTCAGTCACAGTCACTGTTTATTCTTTTTAATTATCTAGAGTTTACAGTCTGAAAATCTTTGTGTTCAAGTCCAACTCTGAGTGGCTGTTTGGTGTTTTATTGATATTTTTTTGTTTCTGCAAATTACATAAACTTCAAAAATGATTTTCAGACTATCTGGTAAATGTGTTGCATTTGCTGCCCAATAGTTCTGAGAGACTTTCTGAGAAAGTGTTGGGAGCAGATTCAGTCCACACATTTACATAAAAATCCAAAAGCTGAATTGATTTATTGAGTTTTAGTTTGTGTGTCCATCGTCTCAGCGCAGCTTCTTATCAGTTTGGTGTATGTGTTTGTTCTGTGTGTGTTTGCGTATGCATGTTTCCCTTCATCTTTGTCACTGTGTCATTGTGCGTTTCTGTTGCTATGCTTGTCTTCTGTTGCATGTTTGTATTTCTGTTTGTGTGTTTGTGTGTGGGTGTGTAGGACAGGGCAGTAGACATGCAGCAGTGTGTAGGCCCGCAGTGCCTGTTAATGGAGGAACAGCTGATGATACAACAACAGCAGATGGAGGAGGACCAGAGGTGGCTGGAGCAGGAGGAAAGGCTGCTGGTAACACACTCAGTGTGCACACACTAGTTGACAAATACACAATACTAATCCTTCAGTAATACACTTGAAATCTGTTATATTTGGTAGACACACTTCTGCATGTTAAATGCAAAACCATCCAACATTTCAAGTTTTTTTTTAAGCCTGGTTTTAATTTCAAACTGTTTGAATACTAAGAAACAACAGTGTAGGTGTAAGTCTGTTTGTGTGTGTATATCTGAAAAATGAGGAACACTTCTCTAAAGTCGAGAAGACAACAGAGAAACAGCCGTATCTTTAGGCTCTGGAATCTCTTTTTGTTTGACGTTGTTGTGCACGGTAAAGATCGTAAACTGTTTTGTTTTGATCTGTGGCGCTAAAATATTGTCTCTTAGTTTTGTCTGACTTTTCAGTTTTGCTTTTGCCATTTATTTTACTTCATGGTGCATGTTGTTTCTGTAAACATGGTCTCTGACACACATCACATCCTCATCGACACAAAGCTGATTAAAGTATAACTCAACTTTCCTGTGAATTCATTTAAATATCAGTATATCTAAAACCAAAATTGGTGTTAAATCCCAATAATTATTCCATCAAGACATTATTTATCCTCTCCTGCCATATTTGTGAATTACTTTGGTAATGAGCGAAAGCTTCTAATTGAAACCCAAAATCAAGCCTGTTAAAGAACGTCAATGAAAGGACTGTCTGAGAGGACTGACTGAGAATTTTTTACAGATTATGTGATATCTGAGAAAATGTTAAAGTTTTGAAATTAGCTTCTGTTTTCTGTTTTGATTTATTTTATCAGTTGGATTGGATCAAAGCACAGAAACATAGTGATGCCTAAGTCCTTAGAGCATAATCTTTAAATAAGAAGTAAGGCTAATAACAGGTTTCAGACACTGAATGTTTGTTTTTTTATTTCTGGAGCTTGAGAGGCGTAGAAACACTGCAGTTTATCAGCAGAGGTCAGCTTCATTTCGTACACTTTAAGCAGAAATCATTCTTTAAAGTGGATGCAGTTGACCCTAAACTGCTGGTTTCTTTTCTCAAAGCGTAAACTAAATGTTTACAACAAAGGTACTTACCTTCCCCCAAGATGTCATCTCTACTTTCTGGTCTTTACTTTCTATTTAGCGATTTACCGCTGCTTATCTCTTGCTTGTTTTATCCGTAGAAAACCTTCTGTTTGTTATTGAACTGTAATTTCATTTTTACTGCTCTTCTATTTGTCATGAATAAATCGTATGTTTGCTGCTATCAGATGTAGAAATAATACAGTAGATGGTGAGACTTTTCCCACATAAGGTCCTTTTCATGTTAGATGCATATTTCTATGAAGGCTGGTTGAAGGAAGTGTCTGGGGTTTTAGCTCAAGGACTTTATTGTGCATGCTTGTGTGCCACTGTTTCTGTGAATGTGTGTGTGTGTGTGTGTGTGTGTGTGTGTGTGTGTGTGTGTGTGTGTGTGTGTGTGTGTGTGTGTGTGTGTGTGTGTGTGTGTGTGTGTGTGTGTGAGAGAGAGAGAGTTTGTAGGCAGGTGTGGCCTGTGTGAATTCCAGGCTAATGATAGGCCTAGAGAATCTGACAGCCCAGTCAACAGTCTGTCTTTGACCCACAACCACGAGCTGACAACACACAAGATTGCTGAAAAGCTGGGGAGGCGAAATGTGTGTGTTGTAGGCTGAACGGTTTTTTTTATGACAGTGTCACTTCAGGGAGGGGGTGAAAAGGGAGGAGAAAGGAGTAATGGTTTGGGAGAGACGGGTAGGCATGCTCACACACTGACAGCCCCTTGGCAGGGTGCTCCATCCCTCCTCCTCCTCCTCCTGCCTTCTCCCTCCTTCCTCCTCCTCTCCGTCCCTCACTCAGTGCGTCAGAGTCAGATATAAATGAGTCGGAGGCAGGAAGCTGGAGCTGAATCTGAATTCTTGTCTTGATGAAACTGCTGGCACAGACAGTGATTCAGGCTGGTACACAGACAGGAAAACACTCGTTTGGAGAAACAGACAAAACTGGAGAGAGCAACACAGACACAACAGCTTCTGACAAACCTTACACAAACTTTTCATCAGACAACTTTGATGAACTCTATGGCAATGCTGGTCTTCAAGTCCTGTCTTGGAAAACTGGTAGGCAAGGATGTGTATATGTGCGTGTATGAGAGAGAGAGAGAGAGAGAGAGAGAGAGAGAGCAGCTGGAGTGATGGTTTTATGTACAGATGTGTGTGAGTGTGTGTGCCGTACAGGTGTTTTGTGTGTTTGTCTTTTTTCAGCTTTGCTTTTGGGTGTTTTAAAGTAGAGCGCAGTGCAGTGTGGGGAATAAATGTTGATCTAAAAAGTTTTTCTCAAGTTAGAAAAAGTTTTGGAGTCTGAACTCAAGTCCTACAGTTTGGCATCCCGCAGCTCTGTACAGTGTGTTCCTGTTTTATTGGAAGTCTCATGCAGGGGGAGTGAGTTTGTGTGTGTGTGTGTGTGTGTGTGTGTGTGTGTGTGTGTGTGTGTGTGTGTGTGTGTGTGTGTGTGTGTGTGTGTGTGTGTGTGTGTGAGAGTGTAAGTGTGTGTGTGATCTTCACTGCTGGGATTCAGTCAGTCATTTTCCTCATTCACTTAATCACTTAGAGACTGAAGATTAACCCTTAAAGAGTCAGAGCCTTTTTCATATGACAGTTACAGGTTGTTTACAGCTCTGTATGGCATGTCCTGCATGGTAGGAAGATTCTTAAAAGAAGCTAAAATGTAAAATCGTCTGTCTTACTGTAGCATCAGTCCGACAGCAGTACAGTATTTGTCAAGGAAAAACTGCTTGTAATGTAAAGAAACAAAAAAAGTGATTATCTCTTTGTTGAATCAACAGTCACATTGTCTTTGCAGAAGTTCACAGAACTTATAGTCTTTGAATTTCCACAGAGCAGGAAACTAAATCCCTCGCTGGAATATGTGAATGTCATTTACATAAACATTTGTATTTATTATTGTTTGTGTATTTAGAAACCAGACTCGAGAAGTTCCAGAGGGAGTCTGGACAGGGAGGATGGTGGACTCCAGCCACCGGTGAGTTTTCTTTTTTTTTAAACTCACTTATTTGACCGAAGTTTGTCTGATGTCTCCATCTGTCTTACTCTTAATCTACTTAGCTGTAGGAAAAGAAATAGTTACACGCTTTGACCTATAAAAAAAGGTGAACTGTTCTGCATGCACTCCTATTTAAAGTTGTTTTCACAGATTAAAATCATGTCAGCATGTCACACACAACTCATGAACAAGTGAGAGTTGATTTTTGAACGTCAGTGTTTTTAAGAGAAGCGGATGTCTTACAAAAACAAACATCCACATACTAAGTTTAACTTGCTGCTATTGGCTGCAGCGTGTGTTTGTTTGGATTTTAACTTGAGAGGATTGATCAAGCGACAGGAAGTGACCCGTTTTGGGTGGCGTCAGCAGTGAGGGGTCAATGGATTCCCACAACATCTCGAGATATTAATAGATTGTCGTTACATAAAAACAAACTTCCAGCATATTTTGTATTTCTGTCCCAGTGTTGCTCACTGTACTCAGTATGTTGGTAGTCCTTAGTTTATTCAGCTCAACTGTAAGAAGAAAAAACAATTGAAGAAAAATATCGCCCTTTAAAAACAGTCCTGATTTTTTCGAGAGTTTTAAAGATTTGACTTATCCTTATTTTTTGTTGGGTTTTTTTGCCATTGGCTTAAATTTATCATAGAATTTAACAAGAGTTTGATCAGTAATGGAAACACTTTTTAGATCCAGAACTACATTAAGTAATTTGAACTAGAACATTGTAGTGTGACTGTTCTCCTGGCTTTCATGTAATGGTTTAATCCACAGAGCTGACCACATATTTAAATCCAGTGGTTTGATGCGACTGAAGTGATTTACTCACTGACATATATCACTTTTTACCTCCACGTATATAATCTTCTTGTTTTTGTGGATAAGAGACACATTTTTCGTACTTTAGAAAAACCTTTTTCTGATTCATATTTCCCTCCTGAAAGTATCAAAGGTCTTGCTTTTTTTTTTTTGTAAAACTTTTCCCAGAAGACACTGTACAAGATCTGCATGTAGCTCTGTTCCTGATGCCAGCACAAGTTAGTAGTTATAGCAGTGAGAAGTTGCCGTGGGCCAGATATTTCTGTCTCTGTAATTCATCTCTCTGCTTGTCCTCCTCCTTCTCCAATTTGAATGTCTGTGGTTTGTGGTGGGAAAATCTCCCTCGTTTGAATATGTGTGTACGTGAATGTAAAATGCTGTAGTAGATTATTTTCGGGTGTCAGCGGTTGTCAAACCACAACACTCTGATGGCACAGAGGCTTTTTTGGAAGCGCACTGGGCTGTTTTCTCACACAGAAAAAACACAACAGAGATTCAGTAATAATACAACAAAGTAAATATGAAACAAGCCTGGCACCATGAGAGAGTTTTGTGGCATTGTTTTATGTGCACAAACATCAAATCATGAAGACAAGCTGCAACATTTTGTCTGGTTTTGAGAGGGTTGCACAAACAACAGAAGGACATATTTCTCTTTTTTTGGTTTGCCTGTGCGTCCTGACAGGATATTTTGCCAACATAAGTAACTCAGCATCAGACCATACACCACAGAAAACAGAGACACCCGAGCACTCTCTGCTTTTTACAACCAAAAAGTAGGACATGGTTATCGTGTGACATGAAAATCAGATTGGATTCCATGAATGTTTCAGAAGCAGCTGGTGGTTTTGTGCCTGTGAAGTTCTGATTTCCTGCAAAGCTCCTGATTATGTACATGACTGAGCACTCGCTAACCAAATGTTTTGTTGTTGTTTGTTTGTTTGTGCGTGCAGACAGGAAACCAGCACATATACCAACCCGTTGGCAAAGCAGGTAATAGACAGGCCTGAAATTGTCTGTAATTATGGTCACTTGACCTCAGTTGTTTTATTCTTTCTTCTTTTTCTGTCTCTGAATCTTTAAAGTATGTAGTTCACATATATACCATTACATAGCTCTGTTAGGCTCTTTCTCAGCCTCTGTATACAGACCCTCTATCTCCTCTATCTAAAGATATGCAGAGTCTGTGCGTGTGTGTGCGTCTTAGAGTTTAAACTCTGTTACCACAATATGACAAATTTGATTTTTAACTCTGCAGCCTTTTGGCTTCCTAGCAAGCAAACCAACCAACCTCTGTTTACATGGACTCAGACAGCAAGTCGAGCTCAATATGATGTGTGCTCAGAGCGTGAATATACACACTCTCAGAAAACAGAAAAGGCACTGGGCTTTGGCATTTCAGGAGGATGATTTTGATTGTTTTTTGGAATTATAATGTACATTTTTCTATTTTTTTAATCATAAATTTATTTACTAACACATGAGGGGGTTCTTACTGTTAAACATCGAGCTTGGACTCCTAAGTTTTCATTTATATCAGTGAAAAATATGAGAAGAAATGGTTTTTACATTTAAACATGGTATTTTGCAGAGCATGCAGCTCCCCCAAAGAAACCCCCTCGACCAGGAGCCCAGAGCCAAGTGGGCAGCTTGGCCTGTCTAAATACTGGAGACAGTTACAACGATGGAGTCAAGGTACACACTCACGTCCAAAAGACACACATACCCTAAAAAACATCTCCTTAGAATACACAGAAGCAAGTTAATACATTTAATAAAAGTAGGTGGCATGTTGTGTATTGCTTTGAGTGTTAACATTTTACTTTTATTTCTTCTTCTTCTTTGGCTGCTCCCTCTCTCCTTCCTCCTCCTCCTCTTATGCACTCTGCCTCTCTGTTGACCTCTAGCCCTGGCGGGTAAGCAGCACACTGTCTGTGTGTGTGTTTACTGTGCGTCCTGTCTGCTAGTTAAACAGATTTTCTTTGTTTTGTTCCCTCATTCATGTGTTGTCACTTCTTTCTTTTTTTTTTAATTTCCCGACCAATCAAAGAGCGCAGCATCAACACAGACACACATCATGTTACTAGCAGTCATGTTAACTCTCCCCACAGACTTTTCCCCTAAAATAATATCTTTTCAAGCATCATCTTGATTTGCTTTTTCTAACACATCAAATTGTATGGCTTCTACTTTAATCACACCTGAAATCTTTTTGAGCTAATATTACAGTGTTTACACTTTTCTTAGAAGGGAGTCAGTGGAGGATGATTGATTTGAACATGGATTTAAGGATGATTGAGTGAGGAAAAAGGTCAGTTGAGATGAAGCCTCAAAGAGAGAAGGGGAGCAAAGATAACAGGGTAAAAAAAGATAGTATGTAATAAGATTGATTTAGTGCAAGATAAATATTAAATAAATTTAAAGAAACAATGCATCTTCAGAAACCAGATTACGTTTTTACCTGTAAGCCCTGCAAGAATCTGTTTTTGAGTGATTGAGATCGTGAAGATTTGTCTCACCTGTGTGTTACTGCCATCTAGTGGCTCAAGTTGAGAGCTTCAGACCTTTTTCTATCCAGAATATTCAGAAGATCTAAAAAACCAAATAACCTATTTCTTTATTCACTCACGTACTCATCTACTCACTCTTAACATGCACATCTCTATCCATCAAAAGTCTATTTAGCTGTATCCTGCTTTTAACCATTAACCCTTTTTAAAAAGTATGATATTTCAAATTCTGACCATAGGATGTGCAGCTGAGCGTCACGTCTCTTAAGTTAAACATGGTCATGTTTCATCAGACTTTGCACAGGCAGCATCTGCAGGATTCACTCAAAGTTCAAAGTTATTAAAATCTTTTGTTTGTCACTGATTTAAAAATCAAGTAAAGTTCGATTTACCACAAATTTGGTGTGTCAGCTTTACCATCACGATTTTAAACTGAAATCATTTTGATAAATGAAATACGGCTCCTGTTTGTTTGTATCACAAGCAGACTCTGGTATGAATTTTTCTACCATTAAAAGCTCAAGTAAAACGAATGTTCTTAAAATATAACAAGTATAGGATTTACAGTTTGTCCAATATGGACGAGATGAAGAGCTCTTTTTTTTCATCAGCATTATCTAACACAGTTTTTACATCATCGTCACTCCTCACTGTCTCCACACACAACTGTGGCTCTCTGTCCATTCAGTCAATTCATTACTTACTGATTTTTGTCCTCCTCTGGTTCAGCTGCAGCCACAAGAGATAAGCCCGCCCCCCACCGCCAATCTGGACCGCTCCAATGACAAGGTGTACGAAAATGTGACAGGACTGGTCAAAGCTGTGATTGAGATGTCAAGCAAGATTCAGCCAGCTCCTCCAGAGGAATATGTTCCTATGGTCAAGGTAAAAAAAAAAAAAGACATTCAGACACATAATAATCTCATCTTAGACTCTGTATTCATCTGTGCTCCTCAGAGGGATGCTGCATTGTCAGAGTTTCTCTCCTAGGCTGAAAACTTTGACCGTGAAGCTGAAAAGCTTCAGAAAGACTCACATCATTCTGTTAACACGGCGTTATGTTCTCTGCGTTTGACCACTCTGACATCCTGTTTTTATTGAAAGGCAAAGTACAGCTCCACAGAGGGCTGAAACATGATACTCCTACTTTCAGATGAAGTCTGATTCATCTGTTTCTCGACAGAGCTGACCTCGTAACCTCATCAGATGTTTCTTTTCATTGAGTGGATTAATATTTCAAGTACCCTTGTAAGCCTCTGTGCCTGAAACTCTCTTTAATGACACTATTGTATTTCATTACTCCACACACTCTAACTTAGTGGGATATGTTATTAAGATTCTTTTTTAGGTCAGCTTTGCTTCATTACATTTTAGCATGTTTTTGATAAATAGATTCAGATGATTATATAGCATTCTTGAATACTTCTTCTTAAACCTGCCATCTTTCTGTTCTGAACCTTTCTCTTCACTCTGTGTGTGCTGCAGGATGTGGGTCTAGCTTTGAGGACATTATTGGCCACTGTGGATGAGACTTTACCGCAGCTTCCAGCCAGTACACACAGAGAGGTAAAACACATACTTACCAGCCACATACGCTCACTCACACACTCAGTTTATGTGTTTTTAAACTCTTATATTTGATTATTAAAATAAAAATAAAGGATTGAATCCACACACGTGCTGTATTGGTGACTCGTGTCAGAATGAGATGTAATTCTGGATTTCTTCCACAGATTGAGATGGCACAGAAACTCCTGAACTCTGACTTGGCAGAGCTGATTGGGAAAATGAAGTTAGCCCAACAATATGTGATGACCAGGTAGCTTGAAATATCATTATAAAAAGAATTTAACTTAGGTGGCTTTCCCATGCCAGAATCAGTCATAAAAAAATAGTATAAATGTGTGCTAATGGTATGTTACCACCCACTTCACTAGTGCCAGATTATGTAATAATTGAAGTATGTTTCTGCTCTGTCCTAGCCTCCAGCAGGACTATAAGAAGCAGATGTTGACGGCGGCTCATGCTCTTGCAGTAGATGCCAAGAATCTGCTGGATGTCATCGACCAATCAAGACTTAAGATGATGGCTCAGTCCCGCCCACACTAGCCCCACGAAAGCCGAGCTGACCAACGGGAGGCAGTCTGTTCTGCAGCATCACTGTGGTTCTTGTTAGCAGCGGAGGGGTACTTCTAAAGACTCATCGATGAGTGATGTCAGTGACAATATGTGAGAGTTGTTGGAGCTGACTGATTTATATTAAAGGAGGAAACAGCAGCCCTTATGTGCTTTCAACAGACCTGACGATGTTGAACCCTGTGTCAAACTCTCCACCACTGTGACTTTCCTAATACAAGGACAGAGCAAAAACCCTTCCTCAATCAGGGACTCGGCAGCTTCACTCTCTTTGAACTGGAATATAAAGATGGACCCAAGATGATTCTGATTCCTGGGCTTTGAAGAGGTTTAAACCCCTCTGACAGTAAACACTATCATGGGAGAGATTGTTGGTATTGTTGACATCAGGTGGATCTAAAGCAAAGTCAACAGAAACTGATCAGACTGTGTTTGATCTGCAACATATCTGCATGAAACTTCCCTTTGAGAATGGACTCAGACGTCAGCCAGCAGCAGTGTCAGTACATTTGTGGATATTGTGTGTTTTGACCCCCTGGATGTGAACCTTCTCCTCAGTTAAATACCTCCACATGACCATGGATTTCTGAAAGAGCAGTTCAAGCAGGATATTTCACAGGCAGTGCTTTGACTGAAATTCTGGCCAAGGTCAAGACAAATCTTGTTTGGACTTGGAGGAGCCGCCTCCCACCCTTCATTCTCCCTTTTCTCTCTTCCATCCGTTCCCGCCTTCCCACCGTCTCTCCCAGTTTTATTTATGGACCCAGAAATTGCAGAGGAGGAGACGGAGGGAGAGACGAGAAGGATTTAGGACTTGAGGACAGTCTCGCACCAGTCTACGGCCCTAAGAAAGAAAACACCATCCTCCTCTTTCCTCTCTTTTTTTGTTTTTACTGACTATTCCCTCTTTTTTTCCCTTTGTTTGTTCTTTTTCTGTCCTTCCTTAAGTCTTCCTCAGCTCTTCTCTGAGCAGGTTTCAAAGACTCCAAACGTGAAGAATCCAACTCTGTCTGGGAAAACACCGCAGACAGGAAACTCCCTACAGCACTCAATTTAGTCTGCCCCCTTTTGTCAGCTGGCTCCATGTGTTTTTGTGTTGTTTTCAACAGTCACACGCTTCATCCTCTTCTGGTTATCAGTCCCAGCATTGGCTGCGATGAGCAAAAGGAAAAAAGTGAAAAGAGGGTGGATTTAAGGGTCTGAGTGTCTTCACCCAGGAGGAGAAGGAGGACATCATATCTGAGACATATTTCTGTAAGAAGTGTTACCTCTTCTCTCTCCCCTCCTTCTCCCCTACTAACAGATATTGCTTAGTTCTTCTTGGGATAGGAGCTACAGAACACCGTCAACCTTCCCCTCAACCATCGAGGAACAAACCTCATAACTGGAACCTTTGTGCTTTGAATTCCAGGATCTGTCAGGTGTAACTTTCCAGATATTTCCCACACTAAAACAGGGAAACACTTTAAATGTGGAGCCACATTACTGGAAGAAGGAACTGAAAATACAGCGAATCACTTGTGTCTTTGTTAACACTGACCCCACATGGAGTTTGACATACTGCTATATAAAAATATACTGGTGACTGAACCGGTATAGCATGACATACAGGTATGGAGAGAGCATATTTGCACAGCACCAAAATCTAAAACAATTGATCCTTTTTTAACCCTTTTGAACCCAGATTGATGTCCATGTTTAGCCAGCAATGATTCTATCAACTATCTGGGTTGTACAGGGATAAAAAATCTTCAACAAAAAACACAAAACAATCTATTTTATCATCTTGTTGTTGCGTAAATCTGCTCATGTTGGTAAATTGTTAAGCTATACTGGTGTGTATCACTGGTGAATTGTACAGATCTCGTACTAGTAAACACTGGTTTTTATTTTGTCTTCTGGGCTAAGTCAGCCATCTTGTCAAATAGGAGGAAAAACCAATGAAATAAAATAATGACGAAATGGGAATCAGACTAACGATCTTCTTAACCATGATTATAGTTGTATTAGCACTTTATATCCTGCATTTCTTGTCTTATGTTGATTTTTGGTAACACTTTATTTGATGCCTATCTCTATAAAGAATTGTAAATATATGTATAATGTGTTATAATCACATTATAGCACTGTATAATTATAGTTATAAGCACATTATAAAGCATTTTATCATGACTTACAAGGTCAGGTATTATAATGTGTTACAACTATTAACAACTCACTGACAATGCCCACATAGATAATGCAATACAACTGTTGTTAACAGTTATAACACATTATAATACCTGACCTTGAAAGTCATGATAAAATGCTTTATAATGTGCTTATAACTATTGTTGTAAAGCATTATGATAATTTATGAGTGCTTATAACTAGTTATATAGTGCTTTAATGTGATTATAATGCATTATACATATATTTACAATGCTTTATAGAGATAGACGTCAAATAAAGTGTTCCGTGATTTTTTTATCTGTGAGCCACAAAACAGTATTTTCTTCAAACCATTCAAAAGACTTGCACAGAGCTAATCAGCCGAAGAGCTTTGAGTTACAAAAAAGGAAGATTTTTACTGTAATAAACTATAACCAACATTCACATATAACAACCTAAAGGATGTCAGTGTCAATATTTTAAATTTGGTGTGTATATAATATAACAAGTAGGCTCTGTGTCCAGCAGAATTACAGAACAGTCTTTACATACATTTTATTAAATAAGATCACATAATGATACAGTCCATACAGAAAGATATCCCATCACACAGTGTTCCTTTAAAAAGCAGCAGTTTTTACATTTTTAGACAGCATCAGGATGTTTTCTTCTGACATCAGCGTGACAACAGGAATAACACACCTGCAGTCAGCAGCAGCAGCACAGAGTGAATGTGAATGGACTCGGCTCCACTGAAGTTACACAAATTAAAACTGTTGCAGCAGTTGACAATGTTCCCGTTCCCGTTGGAGTCAACAGTGGCAGAGCTGGAGGCTCCTGTGCACGTGGCCAGGCTGGCACACTGCTTCACAATGGCTGTGGTAGCACCTGGACAACCATCACACATGGACACAGACAGTAGGATGTTTGGGTGAGTTTGACTGAATTTCTCTGGGTTCACACATTTTTAGTGGATGCACAGAGTTAAATCTGACAAGATAAACTTCTGTCCAAGCTCTTTAGAAGTACATCTGAGGTTCAAATCAGAATATTTTCATCTTTACCTAAAATATCGATGGTGGTCATGCATGTATCCAGAGGCGCCTGACACTCCTGAGTGTTCTGGTTGCATTCGTCATTGGTGGCAGAAGAACTGCACACATAGCAATCCAGTGACAGCACTGCAGCCATGAGGAAGAAAGCAAAACACAGAAGTGATTTTTACTCAGATGTTAAATAAAAATAATTGCAGTCCATGCAAATGCATGTCTTAAAGAGCTACACATCTTTTTGAATGGCAACTTAAAAAAAGTGAAACTCCACAGGACACTGACGTGAATATTTCTCACAGCTGTTTGGTTGGTTTTGGGTCGTTAGATCCACGTTCTCATATCTGATAATACAAGTCAAGGAATAACTTATCTGTTTTGTGTTTATGTGTCCTCTTCATTCTTTATTCACACTGTTTAGAACAGGGTGTTAGCGTTGACTCGAGGTAGTGATTTGACATTTTCTACTCAAAATCATAACCAAACAGAACTGACTGGATTGCTTTGCACTCATAGTTTTGCTGCCTTGAGGTGTGATTTCGCTTAAAAGTTTCCCTCTGAGTCGTGACTTCTCCTAAAGACTAAGTACTTGGAATCAAAATCATCCTCTTTATTACCTACATCAGTATTAAAAACAAACAATGCCCTGAATTTAGTTGTCAAATGCTGAAACCCCATCAGGCTGAGATTGACAAGATTTTCAGTGTCATTATGGAGGAAGAAAATTACAGGTTCAAAGTCACGTTTATGAGGACACTGTAGAGTCATAGAAGAATAACCCTAAGAATAGAAGGACAGCTACTCCCCAAAGTGGCATGTCCAAACTTGTTAGGCTTGCTCCTTTAATTATAAAGACATGTGAGTATTAAAAGGAGCTGAATACTGTCCCTCCCAGTCAGGGTTCATTGTTTAGCTCAGCTATTTCCCATTTCTGTGAGCACACGTACGTGCTGTATGCAAATTGATTGGAATGATAAAAGTAAAAGAGGGACAAAAAAAAATCACAAAGACAACAATAAAGTGGATATGATGACTGTTGTTAAAACCACTAATGGTTATACTAGGTTATCCCTAATCCTTGTATAAACTTTGCTCTGATTAGACGTTCACAGCATAAAACCTTTCAAACAGATGGTGAAGAAACAATGGGGGTTGATGCCCACACATGTGAAAAAAGCTGGTTATTAAATATGATAGATGGAGTGGAGCTTCTTCACAGCAGCATACATTGAAGTGAAAATGAAACTCCAGGAGTTTTTGTGCTATCTTTACTTCAAAAAGAGAGAACAAACAGAAACAATGTTGTAATCCTTCAATTTACTCTTGTTTAGTCAGAAGCAGGTCTGTACACTTTTAAGTTCTGAAATAAGCCTCTACCAGAAAAACTTGATCTCAAAGTTTTTACTCCAGTGAAGTTAACTAGTCTGTTTATATTCACATTTGTCATTTTAAAGCAAATAATATTTGACTTTTTCAGAGAGGAAGCAATCATTTCAGTTTTAACCTCAAATGGCTTTAGGAACCCTAAAACTGATGCAATCCACAGATGCCCACCCATGTCCCTTTTCCCCCTGATGTCATGACACAGTTTACCTCTGATAATCTTTCAAAAGACACACAAGTGTTTCTGACCTGTGACCTTTAAATCTGCAGGATATCAAACTGGAGGTTACCCTACCTGGTGAGATGAGGACAGCGAGCAGAAATAGCCTGAGCAGCATCTTTGGAGCAGGTATCACCGTGTGTTCACCACCTTAGTCTGAACTGTCTGCTGTCAAACCAGGCGTGTCGACTCTATGTGTGTGTTTGTGTCTGTGGTTTCTGTTGTTTGTTTAACAGAAGCACTTGATCAGATCGGTCCCACCCACTACATCATCCTACATCACTGCGTGGCACCCAAAGCATCTCATAAATGTCGCCTCCTTGTATGTTTAGGAGATTCCTTTGGTTTCACAGATACTCTCCTCTTATTTATCTTCTGTCAATCACATACAGGCACACAATGTAGCTTACAGAGCTGAAGCAGAAGTGAACCGAAACACTCTGTTTCTGTAGGCCGAGGAAACACAGGTTTTGTCATCAGTTACAGTATGTGCGGCTGAACCTGTGCTGCAGGACTTCTTCAAGTCTCTCAGGCTTTCTGCTTGTGGTGACGAGGCAACTCCTGTTTCTATGAGACAACATTCTTTGTGAACACGTGCAGGAGATCAGAAGTGACAGGTTGATGGGAATTACCTTGTTTGCAAAGAGAGAGTTATAGCTTCATGATCCAAGTACTTTCAAACACCCTTTTGGAGTCTTTTTTTTTTTTTATCCTACATCGTTTCTAGCTTTCCTCAGTGACGTTCAGTTGGTGAATGTCATGATGACTGATCGGCATGAAAACTGAGTTTGAAGTCAAAGATTAGATAAACAACAATATCTGTACCGTTTAGAAATATGCTAAACCTACTAAGCAAGTCATCCAGTATACTAAAGAGAAAGGCTCTACTTTAATCAGGATACTTATTGTGGGAGATGTTTGAAGTTCTTATTCAAACAAAGGAGGAGCTGTTTTCTCAAAAGCCAAAAAAAGAAAGAGCTGCAAATATTTCTCCAAAGAGTCTGTAAAGACTAATACACCAGTAAAAGTGGAAATTATTTGTATATAAGGAGGACCAAGCGAGCACTGATGTTGTGCCACCTCTGCTGGATGTGTAAATAAACTGTTTGCCTACAAGTTCATCATGTGAGAGAGTGAAATCTGTCAGTGTTGTGTTTCTGCTGCCTTCAAGTGGCCAGAAAGAATTCAAGTTTAAAATTATGAACCAAAACTAAAACACTATGCAGTCAAGGATCTTGCACCAAAGCTTCAGAGATTTATTTTCACATGGTTCTGACTCCTGAAAACAGGACTTAAGTTGTTTGCTTGAAAAAAAATGACACCTGGTTACTTAAAAAGTTATTACTGAAACTTACAAAACAATGAAACTGACCTTTGATCACAACGAAAAACGATGTACTTTATGTTTTGTTTTTTCTTTTGCACTTGGTGAACATGTAGATCAGATATTTTTGACCTTCCCTGAATGACCACAGGCACGCACATCACATCTTTACTGCGAGGAATGAAGCAGCACACGCCCAGTAAACACACCCAGCACACACCTGACACACGCTGACAAAACACTTTACAAAAAGCTAAATTTGTGAAGTAAAATGAACATTTTAATGCAAACTCAGGAACTCAGTGGGAATTAGGGAGAACTTATTCATAGATATATAACAGTACAAACTTCAGACACACCATAAGGCAGCAAGCAAGTGAGGTATAATCCCCACATCACAGAAACCAGTCCAGCAGTGACAACAATTACCAGCCTGCTGACTTAGTTGATCTGTCTCCTGATTGCATTTGTTGATCAAATAAACTAGCTTTTGGCAAAGACAACGATCAGTAGATTTGAAGTCAAAAGAGAACCTCCTTGAACCCTGCTGAGCTGAGCTGAAAAAATAAAAACAGAGTCTTGAAGATCCTCAATTTGATCATTATAACCAAGTTAACTTCTCAGATTGTATGAATAGCTGCAGTCAAAGTACATTGTTTAATCTTTCCAGTGTTTCCATATGTTTATGGGGTTACTTCTGTCTTACTTGTTTCCTGATAATAAACGGTCAATTTGTGGTCTATACAGCTGACCAGGGATCAGACTTTATGATTGGAAAATGAAAAGGGTCTTGTGTATAATATCTCAGATTATATAAATTACAGTGCATAATAATGGTAAAACTTTGAATGCCAAACATGGGTCATACCCTACATTCATTACTCATGGTTCTTTATTGTTTTATTTATTGAAGTGAAGTAAGCTCTCACAATGTCTGAATTGGTCTCTGTTTATTATCAGGGTGCTGTCTGGACCTATTTTGATTGTGAATGAAAAAGGGAGAGGAGGAGGTTGGAGGGAATTTTATTTGAACTCTTGTGTAATCATAACATAATCTTTTTATGCAGTAGTTTTCAAAATACACAGCTGATTTACAAAATCATAAAATTGACCCTTTCCAGATCATGTCCTACTTATTGTCTCATTTAAAGCCTTACCCTGAATTAAACATGAACTCTAATGTAACAGCCTCCCCGGCCAGCAGAGGGCAGAGCAGGACAAAACAAATTAGGGCTGGTACAATTTTTATTCATTGTTTAAGCTCCTATTTTGGGAAAGTTTTACTTAACATTATCTAAACTGCAGGTACAATTCCCACAAGCGTCATGGTACATCAAAATACCATTACATGTTTGCGAAAGGTAGAAAAACACCCTTAACATTTTGTTTACGTTTAAAACTTTATTTTATGTACAGTGCCACCAAGATAAAAACTTTTGTCATTTTTTTGTAGGTGTATAGATGCTTTATCAATTGATATTTCACTATTATGACCGTCACGTTACATTATGGTTATATCTGTAAAAAATAGCAGTCATGTGAAAAAGAGAAATCAAAGACAGAAATGCTGTAAAAACATAGAGCAGTTTAATCACAATCATAACAGACTATTTTTGTAGCGTAATGCACAGTAGGCTGCATTACACTAAGTTCTTATCTGCACGGACAATCTGTCAGTGTTGTATATTTTATTATGCACATGTTTTTCTGACAGGTTCTGATGATTGACTGTAAAATGTTAAGTGCATGCTTTGTGCACACATTGACATAATGTTTATCACCCTTGCAGAGTTTGACCGTTTCCACAAGAATCAAGTTTTAGTTTTCATCAGGGGGCCATGTGCGTAAGTTTTTGATAGGAACTGTTTTCTTTTTTCCTCATATTTGGAATTTGTTTGACGGAATAAGAAATTTTAATCTGTTCTGAATAACAAGCTGAATTTTCAGAGATTTGAAAATGCATCTATAACTTGAGAATTGAGTCAAACGAATAAGAAAATACTTTAACTAATAGGACATGTATATAAAAACGGGCCGAGAAAAGGCAGAGTAAAACAGGTGATAATACCTGGGCCTTTGTGAATGTGTTTATTTCAATGTGGAACTAACAGGATATAAGCTTTTTCACAGGTGGACACAAATCTACAGAGGAGACATGAGTGTAGATGGCAAGTTATGACATTCAATAAGATCCAAAAGAATACAAACCATGAAATTTTCTTTTATGGGTTTATTGACTTCAACATTTTAAAGCATTGTCTTGTGGGATAATTTCTTTCACTTCACTCACTTCACTGGGGGCTCTTATGGATTAGCTGAGCCAGACAATCAGACTTACACTCTCTGATGACAGTTTAAACAGCTCTCAACATGCATATCTGTACAGTGTTGCTTTATGAAGGCCCATATTATAGTACAGTCTTGTGATAGTATAAGCCAATTAGAGTATGCAGTAAAAACATGTTCAGATTATTTCTTTTAACTTCTCCTCTCTTATTTGTGGCACCTAACTGGGGGGTAATGATTTTATGCTTTGCTGTGATGTTCTGCTAAATGATATGCATGTAATGTTTACAGTAAAGAAAACTAAAGAGTTAAAACGTGGCCTGATGAAACATAAAATTCAATTCAGATATTACATTAAGCCTTTAAGGGAGACAAAAATATTCAATATTACTGGTATAGCTTTGAAAAAAAATCCACCCAATATTATCAGGCAAATCTATCATGCTGTAGAGGATTTTAGAGGGGGGTTGGGGTGCATGGGCTGCGTGATCACAGACAACATCTCAGTACTATTTAGTAGCAGCGCATGCCCCTTGTAATAACCCCCGTACCCCATAAAAACTGTTGTTCAGGACTGCTTACTTGTGCTTTCTACCCATTCGGCTACTGTAATAACCGTTGTTCTAGCCTACACGCAACATTTTTGTTCTCATTCATGAAACTCTTAAATCAGTGACATTTTCAGGGACAGTTTTTGCCGGGGACAGGTCATCCAATGCAGGGACTGTCCCTGGAAATCGGGGATGTCTGGTCACCTTAGAGTAAACAGACATATCAGTGCACAGACTGATTAAAACTGACATTTTCTTTTTCGTTCATCTTCAATGTTTTAATTTTTTTCTTGCTTTGCACTTTGATACATGTAAAGAAAATTAAACTCTATAATAAGCACAAGATCTTAGATCAACAAACACAACCAAGATGAAACATTACCACACACACTGCTCAGCAGCTGCATTGAAAAGAGCACTCACCACATGTGTGGACCACAGGGTCAGTCTCCCCCTGAATCAAGCGTTAGATGAGCTAAAGTTTCCACTGAGAAGTTATTTTAGGCAGCAGCAGCAGACCCTGAGGGAATAACAGGGTTTTTCACTGTGACCTCTAAGGCTGGGTTCAGGAAGAGAGGTCAAAGGTCACTACCCACAGTCAGCAGAGCTTGTTGAGAATGGTTACTTTTGTCCCGTGTGATGACAGGAACAATATGGACTGTAAAAAAGAGTTGAGGGGAAGGTCTCACTAGATACAGATGTGTGCATATTTCAAGATGTGCACACACTTCTCAGTAATACTAGAAAATACATGTATGTATTTGAGTTGAATGTTTTTGACTTCATTACATTTATATCATTAACCCCTGTGCTGATAAATGTAGAGCAGCCGTCTCGTCTGTGTTAGGGAACAATTGGTCGTAGTAGAAGAAGAGTAGTCAAATATTTGCTCAATATTTGACCAGAATTCTGTAAAAAAATGTAAAAATGTAACGTATACAACTACAGACTTTTGCAGAGTAACCCACACAGATATAGGAACAAGCAGTTTGAAATTTATTTCAAGTAGTAAGCAAAGTCATACCACGTTCCAATATATACAGATTCATGTTTACATTAATGCTGATCAAAAGTTGTGTATTTGATACACAGTCGAAATATACAGCAAGCATTTACAAAACTTTTGTCACCATGAAGGTTTCTGTTGATTTGCACTACTTTTGAACTAAAAGACTTACACTTATTGCTTGTAACAGATGATATGAATTTCACAACAGGGATAAGCTGTCAGGCAGATGTTAGAAATGACACTTAGTCACCACAATGACCTCTCTTTCATCAGCTGAGCCTTTTGTTTGGACCGGGTCAGAGTACATAGTCTAGCTATTTCAGGAACGCATCCCATAGTTGAAAACTTTCCACAGCAGCCCCAGTGAAAGGTAATAACTCGTAGAAATACTCCTTTCATTTCAATGTGAAAAAAGGGGTTAATTATTATCCTTGTTTTAATTTTCTTCGGATTAAGTTGCTTTAGTGTCCTGGTGCTGCAGCAGGATGTTCATGAAGTTTCCTGCATGGCATTGTTACATTGTTAAAGCATTTCTTCTCATAATAACAGCTGATTGGCCGATGATAAAATCATCCAGTCTCAAAGGTGTAATCACCTGTGACAACTTTCTATGATAAATGTTTTTAAGTGCCGTAATTCTACCTAACTATGCCATAAATGACACTTTTTGGTCCACAGGAAGTTACACAATAAAATCTCTCTCCAGGAGAGACACACAGAGCTATTGAATCTCTACTTTCTTAACCTCAAAAGAGGGTTCTCATTTTTAAAATTACATGTAAGAGTTTGACCCCAATGAGCACTTTCACTGTGGATATGCTGTGAGTTATGGGCCTGTAGATATTACTGCCCCATGCTCTTCAAATTCAGAGTTAATGTAACTCATGTTTTCATGCATTTACAGAAACAGTTATCAGTTTAAACTAAACTGTTCACTGTAATCTCACAAGTAGAGCTACTTCATGGCCTATAACCTCATGCCGCTGTATCCCAGCTCAGATGGTGGCCACACAGCGTTGTCTCTGGGGCAGTGGTTGTGGCAGGCGCAGGTAAGGATTGCCATCACAGGCTTCCTAGCTTTACTGTTTCCACACTGGAACTCCACCAGGACGGTCTTGGTCCTATGGGGGGTGCAGCAGCGTCCGTCTATGCAAGTGCCACAGTAGCGAGGCTTATAGGCTTGGATGCTGGTGCAGTTCTTATGGCTGAGGTGGACTGCTTTTTCACTCCTCACCATCCTCTGGCACTTACTGCCTCTCTGCAGGAAGTAAAGAGAAATGCGTTTAATAATCCTGTGTGGTATTTACTTAAAACACAACCCTAAGGAGCTCACATCAAACCAAAAATTCTAAAATAAACTGTGTAATTCTTCTCTTGGCGGCAATTAAACAACTAAAGGACAAACAGGAACTTCTTTATATAGTCCGAAATAAACTTGAGTGGTACCTTTGGTGCCAGCTGTGTCAGTTGAGTTTGGTCCTGCAGGTCGTCACAGGGTCGGATCATACACAGACGGCTCTGTTTCACCATCTCACACCGACCGTTCTTATTGGTGACTCTGGTGGACACCCCCATGCCGCAAGTTTGGGAACAGGCGCCCCACTCTGTGGTCTGCTCAATGCAGTTCAGACTGGGGTCCCAATTGTCAAAGCTGACACTTTCCTCCTGACGATAAGCTACAGAAACATAACAGAGCAAATGATTCATCAAATTATTTTGTAAAACTACAACAAAATCAAAAAATAAGTGTCAACTTTGTCATTCAAAACCTGGATGCAGGAGAATGTGTATGAAACAGATGATTTGAAAGAGAAAGATTTTTACTCTTCCTTTTCTTTGTTATAAAACATCTTCAAAATAAAAGTCTAAGGACATACTTGCAAAGCTCTTCGGGCAAACTAATCTTTTGTTGCACTGAACTGACAGTGAAGTGATCCATCATAATTTTGCTTCCCATTAACGAGTCAACAATACTTGGACTCCACTCCCATATCACAACTCCTGTGGACAGCCCAGGTTCACCTCCAGCCCTCTTACCCCCCACTCTTTCCCCATTTCCTGCACTTTTCACTGTCCTGACTGTCCTCGCTAAATAAAGACAAAAAAGCCTGAAAAGTGTATTACAGAAAAATAAAATCAACAACTCTGTCTCTTCTCTTTATGCTTCCTCCTCCTCTCTTACCCCTCCATCTGTTTTCTCCTCTTTTTACCCTCTGTGGTTTCTCTCCCTTGGACCTATCAGGTCAGACAAATTTACACAACCTTTCCACTTTATGTCTCACACTGCAGTGGCATCAACGTCAAAGAGGAATGAGCGGTTTAATGTGTGTATGTGTAAATATAGCACTCTTCATCCCAACTCAGCCTTTTTTGCTAGTCTCCGTACCTGCCATGGCAAAGCCGCCCAGTGCACTTGCTTCAGCCTGAGGCTCACACACCCACTTCTCGCAGCATTCTCCTGGCACCTGTACCCTGCGTGGCATGGGGCAGTCCGGCCCTGGGAGCATAACATCTTCGTTGCACCTTGGCACACAGGCGATCTGCCCATCCCTGCATATGCACTGGTATTTGCAGCTTGGGAAGAAAGTCTGGCCACTTTGATAGACAGAGCCATCCAAAACACACGCTTTTCCCTGATGAGCTGCAGGACAAAATAAAGATGAGTCATTTATTCAGTTTTAAACAAATCAGAAAAATGTCATTAACATGAACTGCTGATGTGTAAAATAATGTCAAATAGAAACAATGTAAAATCTTTGCTCACTCACAGGCACAAATGCCAGTCCTCCTGTGGATGTCAGCGCCATACTGACACTGCAGACCTCTTTGTGTGTCACACGGATTCATCTCAGAACACACCTGCCCCCTCTGACGGGCACACACCAGGCAGCAGACACAGTCATCCAGGATCAGGGGCACCCCAGGGGCACATATAGGGGGCTCCTTTGGACACTGGCACCTCCGAGGACACACCTGGGACAGGGCCAGTGTGAACACCTGAGAGAGAAGGAAAGAAATCAGTGTTACATGCTGCTGAAAGTCACCTGGTGCGCGGACCTCTTTATACGATTAGACTTTGAAGTGTACTGGTCAGTGTTAAAAGAGTATTTGAATGAAATTGGGGGAAACAAAGTGTTGCAAACAATACTCCAGAAACCTTAACAGTAACTTTCTCTCCTTATACAAAGGAAAATTTAAAAAAGCCCACAAATCTGCATGCAACAAAAATATGTTAGGCTCTGGAGGATGTGTCCAGGCTGCTTTTTTATGCTGATATTTCGATTTCTCTGCTCCTACCTAAAGTGCATGTCGATACTCTCTTAAGAAATAGCTAAAACCAGTTTTCTGTTGATCTTGTGATGCAGGTTTGCATTATTACAGCTTTCTTATTTTCCTTACATTACGAAGGAAAGATTGTTTTTATCTCTTTGCATATAAAATTATTGGCTTTACTAAATATCATACAAAGAGTTCTTGAATATCTGGCATATAAGATACATTTTGAATTAAAAGCGCAACTTCATTTATCCATTCATTGATCTAATAATGCTTACCTGTGCTGTTAAAAAGAGGAGAAAAGCTCTCTTTGACATGTTAGTCGTCTTTTTGTAAAGTAGAGCAGAATCAAAAATATCTGCAGTCTCAAAAGTACCAAGCGGTATCTCTTGGCGTTTATAAGAGTCCTTTGGTTCAGGGCTGAATCGTCCTTCCTCTCTCTGGCTTTGGTGTAGCAGAAGGTTGTGATCTCTTTGTCGTTCTGGCTCAGGGCTGAGGAGAGGTGGACCTTATATAGAGGAGCTGTCCTGCTGGCACCATGACGACAAACAGGAAGGAATGTTGGAGAGATTTTGCCCGGAGTGCTGCGGGAGGATGAGAGTCACATTTTATTAGGAGAGCCTTCCAAATAGAGAACTATAAACATACAGAGCGAGGTTTCTTGTATTCAACACTGAAAACTGAAGTCAATCATTTCTGTAATGTACACACAGTCTTATGACTTATGTTATGAGCTAGTGGAAACTGTATACTTGATTACATGATTATAAATTAAATGACATTGCTTCTTGGAGAGATCCTCTTTTACAGCATATTCGTGTCATCAAACAGAGCATGGTTGTTCCCTTTCTTTAGTCTCACTGACAGTGGGGGGTGACCTTCGTGCTCTCTTGTCGAACCCCTACTCAGAGGTCAAAGTGGAAAGCCCTCATATCCACAGGAGTATTGTTAGAGCTTCCTAAAATAGCCACATGGTGGAAACTTTGGTTCATCAGTAGCTTGGATCAGTAGAAAGCTGACACTATGGTGGACACATCTGGTCTGGATGTGTTTTGGTTTCTTTGAGAAGAGGTATGAGGATGGTTGGGATGAAGCTGACTGGATTCCTAAGGAGAGGGGCTGCAAAAACAAACTGTGTTTAGCTTGTAGGGGGATGAGATGTATGTGGTCGTAAGATGGGGTGATGAAAAGATGCCATGAGTTGTTCCCATATTTCTCAGAATTACACCATATAACAACACTTAATGTTAAGTGATGAGGTTCAATTACAGCAATTCAATAAAAAAAGCATATAAAAATTTAGTGTCAACATCATGGCTTACAGGCCAGAACGATGGTTTAAGACTTTCCAATTTCTGCTTGTTTGGATATTAATTTTAAATTCTCATAAAGAAAAAAACCTAAAGAAAAAGAACAGACAATTTATTTTATGTTTAATTCCATTAATATCTTCAAAGGTAAGCTCATACCCCATCTAAACAACATATTTTAAACTTCCCTGCCTATGTTTACTGACCTCTAGAGAAAAAAATGCTGTGACTAGATCTATAACTGTAACCACACCAACATCTTTAGTCGTAACTACACCAACATCTATAACTGTAACTATACCAACAAATATAACTGAAACTACACCAACATCTTTAGCTTTTACTATACCTACATTACATGAGAGAGAAAACGATCTCTATCTGCTTTATCCTGGTATGTTAGTCCAACTAGGAGTAGTTCAGTTTTAGCTGGACTCATGTGTTTACATCTTTTCTAAAGACTATTTTTATCGGACTAAGGTAGTTCATGATTTTTTTAAACAGCATGTAACCCCCAAATGGGCTAGACTTTTCTAGCCTAGTTCAATAAGATTTGGATAAAATATCACAATATCAGCAGTTCAGAGATTAGCTGTCAACTATTCTGACCAAACTGTAATCTGTTTGTTTCAGGTATCAAACCTCTTTTGCTCTCAGTGTTGGGGTGCATGAGCAGATGTCCCTGGTCTAATGCACCGCAATGCAGAATCTTTATACCTACTGGCTCCTCCCTTATTATCTCACTGACTGTCTCCTCATCATGTTGGCTTTAGGTGCTAAAAATATATTTAACCCAAAAGCAAATGTGATCAATTGTATATGATGACAGAGCTTCATGTGCAAATTACCTGGTTTTCTATCAATCTGGACGAATTTAATGGTCAAAACTTGACAAACTGAGCATCATACTGATCATAAGCTAAAAAGAAACATAACATGGGGGCAACATTTAAATTATATTTTCCTTAAAAGCTTAAACCCTTACCATCTCAAAAATGAAGAAACTGTTTTGTGCCACAGTTGAAAACATGCTACACTTGTTAGCAAAGAGCAGCACTCAGTGTTTTCAGTCACAGCAAATAACCAAAATAATTGGTTGTAACGGAAGTCCCACCTATGATAAGACAAATAGCTGATCATAGTTTAAGATTTTTAAGGTGTATAATAAAACTTCAGGGAGGGAGGAGAATCCTCTGGAAATGGGCCACTCTTTGATAAACCCTAAAAGGTAAGAAATTTCTTGATTTCAAAGACACTCTTATTTAGAGAGAAGTAAACAATAAAACCTTTCACTTATTGACAGCAATTCATTTCTATTTTGGTGTGTGATGACTTAAAAAAAAAAAAAGACATTTTTTCAGCTTTTTTCTACCATAAATGAGGCAAGCACACTTACTAAAATCTAAGTTCTTGCAGTGTGTGTGTCAGCCAGAAATGCATGCTCAGACTAGACTACAAGTTTGTAGTCTACATTTGTAATATGTGTCTTATATTTGTCAACATAGAAATGCTCAATAATCTGTGCAGTTTTCATTCAAAGGTATGGTTGTCTTCTTCAGTGAAGGTTTAATGGAAACCTTGATTTCTAACTCACAGAGTTTAAAATTTTTTGGATCGAAATATTAACATTTTGACCTGAATTAATCTTGTGATCACTGTTAACAATCAATGATTTATTAATTTTATTCAATGTCACCACATTTTTAGTTAGAGCTCAGTCGGTATTCAAGTTAATAAGCAATATGAATGCAGGCCAGCAGGGGGCGAGGGAGGGGGGACAGTCATTACATTTATATGCACAGTTAATTCCAGCTACAGTTAAGGCCTGACAAGGTGATTTAACTGGATATTTGGATATTTGACCACAATGATTGTCTGAGGCTGTGAACATTTTTCTTATCTTTGACTTCAAAGATTTATGAGACTGAAGTGTTACCAAGTGTGTAAGGACCAAATTTATAACCATGGAAACCAATGATGAAGTTCTCAGAACTTTATTCATGCTATTAACATTTTAAAAACACAACAAAGAAAGAGTAAGGGAAGAAGTGAAGGAAAGATGGATAGGAAAGTAGGTGAAAACATGTGTATGAAGGTGGGTAGGATGGTAGGTGGATAGGAGGGTAGGTGGGTATGAAGGTGGGTAGGAGGGTAGGAGGGTAGGAAGATAGGTGGGTAGGAGGGTGGGTAGGGGTAGGAAGGTGGATAGGAGGGTAGGTGGGTAGAAAGGTTTAGTGAGGGTTTAAAGATGGAGGGAAGGGGGATGAAGGGAGTCGCACGGTTCATGGACAGTTATCTTTTTTTTTCTGTCCTCTTCTCTTCCTCTTCTTCTTGACCTGTCTTTCTTTGGTCATTTTTTCCCCTTCAATCCATTTCTCCTCCTCATCTTTTTTTGACCCCTTCTCTTTTGGGGACGACTTCTCGTCCTCCTGCTCTTCTTTTTGTTTCTCTTTCTCTCTTCTCTTTTCTCTCTTCCTCCTCTTCTTCCACCATCTTCTCTGCCTCCTCTTCTTGTTTACTCTTCTCTATCTCCTCCTCCTGTTTTTTCTCTTCCTCCTCTCTTTTTTCCTTCTCCTTCTCCTCCTCTTGTTTTGTCTCCTCCTCCTTTCTTTTCTCCTTCTTTTTCTCCATCTCCTCCTCTTGTTGTCCCTCCTCTGAGGGGTCCAGCTGATGTTTGTTTGGGTGGAGTATCTGAGAAGAGAGCTGAGAAAGAAACTGTGCGTTAGTTCATTCAGTAAAAGTTGAAGTTGTTTTCTAGAGAATCTGAGATTATTTGGATCATAAATTACTGTCATATATCTGAGCTCTGAAGTACCTGCACACAGCAAATTCAGAAGTGTTAATTCAACTCCTAGGGAGTTAAATTCAACACTTTAAAAGTGTCTATATTGGTCCACACTAAATCGAGTTAAAATAACACTTTTGAAAGTGTTAAACAATTAACACTTGGATAGAGTTGAAACAACACTCTCAATAGTTGAAATCTAACACTCACTGGTGTTTAATTTTTTTTAACACCAGTGTTTAGTGTCAAAAAGTAACACTCACTGAGTTTTTTTCAACACTGAATAAGATTCAAATTATTGTAACACTATGGGAGTGTTAAATGTATTACTACTACTACTACTACTACTACTACTACTACTACTACTACTACTACTACTACTACTACTACTACTACTACTACTTATAATAGAAAATAAAGAAAACCACACAAGTTACAGTTTGAAACAACATTTATTTTGAACAAGCACACCACAAAAAAAAAACAGCACTGGCTTTGCACTACAGGTCACACAATATGGCAATGTGGCACAATATATGTTTTGTCACACATCTCGTTAGAAAACTGTTTGTCATAGGGTCTGTGATACATCAACTCCTTAATTGGGAGAACAGAAAATGAATCTTCTCTCTCATTGATGCAGTATGCATTGAAATGATCATCAAAATAAAGAGTGTCCACTCTGCAAGTTAAAATAAAAGCTTGCTCATCATGTATGATAATGTTTGTGACCTTTCTGAAAATAGGAATTTCCATATTAGTTCCAGTACAAACAAACATACCAATCTGATACTCTGTTCCATAGTTCTTCACCCAATTAGTGGTTGACACTTCCCAGTATGCATTAACATGAAAAACAGCACTTAAAACCTCACCACCTTCCAAGCTATCAACAGTTTTTTTCTTCACTGGACCAAACTCAAATCTCTGAAAATCAAAATTCTCCCAGTGGTAAGCAAGCTGTCTTTGGTGTTGTTTCACCAATGTTTTTGTGATATTTTTGAAATTTTTCACAGATCTTTTAAAAAAATTATGTTTTGCTTCAAACCTCATACACCATACGTGAAGGAGTGGACCTATTTTTCTAATACAACGTGGATAATGTAGCATAAAATGATGCTTAGGAATCAATCGTTTCTGTGAAAACAAAGATTTAAATAGCTTGTGGTGGTCCTTAATCAAGTGCTTCAAATAGTATGTCATACCGTTAGTTACGATAGGTGAAAAGACAACATTCACAATCTGAATCAAGAGGAGGAGCAGGTTCCAGTAACAGTTATCTCTTTCCAATACATCACCAAAAATAAGTGGAGCATTTCTCACAAGACACCATGACTGAATGGCGTTTAAGCCAAGATCCTTGCTTGAATCATCCATTTTCAACCCACTTGGCCTATTTTTTCTCTCAATATAACCATAGTTGAAACTTTGGATCCTCTGTGACAATGATTCCAAAGAAAGATACTTATGGCTGACAAGGTATTGAAAGGTAAGTTTGAGTTCGTACTGTACAACACCCTCAAGTAAATCGTGCATAATATCAACTGCATAGTTGTCAGAGGTGTGAAAGAAATTCAATGTATTGAGCAAGCACGTCTTTTTGACACCAAATGTTGAACCCAACATAGGATTATCCTGAAGAGCTGCACAATGTTCTGCATGGATTTCTTTTGTACGAAATATCATGCCAGGGTCATCTTCAGTAAACACAGACTGTGACTCAACCTTACTTGTCAAACAAAATCTGCAGAAATATGTAGCGCTGAAGGACTCAACAAAACCGAACAGTCCGTGTAAACCAAGGTTGTCACCTGTAACTTGTATAACAGAGCCATGCAATGGTAAGTCTGAGAAGGGCACCTGAATGCCTTGTGTTTCAAGTATTTTAAGATCGTCAACAAGAGGTTTTAGGATGTCATCAAATCCATAAGTCTTCAGGTCCTGTGAGTGAAAAAGTGCCACAACATGTATATTCATCAACACTGAATTATATTTTGGGGGCAGGTTCCTCAAAACAAAGTAAATACAGCCAAGTTTATGAATCCCTTTCTTTGAACCTAAAGGATTTGCTGTCTCAAACTCATCAAAATAGAGTTGAATCTGTAGAGCATGTTTTTTCTGAGAAAACAAAATGTTACTCTTGAAGTATGAACCATCACATATGTCTTTATAAACTCCTTCTTCGTGATGTTTGGCTTGCAAGAAACTTTCACACAATTCAGTGTTCTTGAACATAGACTTGAGAGTTCCCAGGATGGGTGTATACACAAATTTATCTGTTACGGGGACTTGACTGTAAACTCCTGTTGTTGGATCCCTGCGAACATCAAACCGCACCCCAAGAACATATTCAACAGGTTCAACAATTTCCCATTTTTCCTCAAAGAACTTCTGTCGTTTTACTCTAGTGTTTAGGGATGAGAAAGGATTTTTCAGTTGATCAAAACACTTTTCCACCTTCTTTTCCAAATCTGTGCCTTGAATTTCTGAAGTACAGCTGAGAACTGCCTCTTTCGCTTGCCTATGGATGTCATTTACAAGTTCCTCCATGGACCCTACCATTGCTTGGACTGTGCTCTCAGCAACGCCAGATGCTTGCAACTGTGCTACAACAGGACCACACATGTTTAACACAAGATTATTGTCAACAGAGAGCTGGGTAGTTGTTGGAGAGTCTGTTCTCATTGCCTGTGAAGTTGAGGGCTCACCAACTTCATCCTGAGAGTCCACATTTTTTGCAGAAGTAGTTAAAGCAACATCTCTATGGAAATGAACAAGATGCTTCTTGAAACCTGAATAGGTGCAAAATGATGAACAACATCCTGGCTGTCCACATTTTAAACGTAATGTTTTTCCAGGATATAGCCCGTGGTGTAGTCTTAAATGCTGACAAAGCAATGCAGAACTTTTGTGGTGTGCCTTACAGACATAACAAAGAAACATACTTGCATCCAAGGATATTTTATCACCTCAAGCGTCGTGCAAAAACCTTGCTCGTAGCTCCTTGACTCTGGGGCTTTCCTTGGCACTTCCCACATCAATGTTAAAAACTGTGGTTTGGATGAATGTATAGAAGTTGAGAAGGGATTCATGGAAGTTGACACTGAAGGTGAAGTGTGCTTTGAAAAGCTCATCGAAAGCTGCCAAGGATGTCTGTGCCTTGCAGGGGATGGCCTGGTGATCAATGATGACGAAGTATCTTTGGATGCTGTTCTTCTTTGTGCCAACACACAGGAGGAAGGGCTGTCCAGGTGCCACACCGGAAAGGAAGGTTTCGACACTGGCTCCCATCTTTCACCAAAAGTAAAGAAGAATAATGAGAAAATCGTAAAATGAAGCACTGCTACATTCAACTAAATAAGTCAATAAAAAAGTGTGCTTTAACACAAGAAGTAGGATAATCAGAATAATTGGGTAAGTACATTCATATTTACATACCTGCAGATATCTCAGAATATGGTCCTCAGCTTGACAGGCACTGATTTTTCCACTCTTTTTGTGGCCTTTGGAGGTAGGGGGAAGCAGGTGAAGCAACAGTAGAATGCTTGACAGGTCACTGTCCCAGCCTTAAGGAAAAACAGAAAAAAAAGTCAGACACATTCACACAAATAATTGAGATATTTTAAAGAGAAGGAGAAAATCTGACCAGACCCACCTGAGTTGTTCTGCACAGACAAGAGGTCTTCAATGTGCTCATTAGAAGTCAGTTTTTCACAGTCTGTCAGGATCCTAGGTTTGAAAAAAGTAGGCCATTTTGCCAAAAATCTGCCCGACACTTCCTCTCCAAACATCAGGGTGAAGTCTTGGTCAATCTACAGAAGAACACACATTTTTATACTTATGCAACTTAAGTATACACCATGAGTGACAATTCACTTCAAAGAAGTTCTCTTTCTTACCAAGCCAGTGATGTCAAGGAAACGTGGGAAGACATCGAAGACTGTCGAAGAGCACTGTTGATCTTGAACCAGTGTTTGGCGGTACTGAAAAGTGGCCCTCATCTTCTCTTTGATTGCCGATTCATCAGTTGAATGTTTCAAAAAGGATATTGCTTCATGACAGTGCTCACCAAGCAGCTGCTTATCTGTGCAGAGAACCTCCCTCTTTCTCTTTGGACTATCTTGGTAAGCTGTGCTGGTGGAAGATCTCCGGGACTGAGTTGCAGTGTTGCGCTGAACAGTCTTTAATCTCCAGGCCAAGTAGCCAGATCCGCTACATGGATCATAGAAGTGTTCCTGTAATATTAAAAACAAATTGTAGAGTAGATTCAGACCATATTACCACTCCATAAATTCATATACAAGCTTTTCATTTACAAACTTACATATCCATTGTCTGAGTATGGATCTCGAAGGCTGGGGAACAGAGAGATGATGCCCAAAGCATAGTTACTTCGCACAGAGATAGGTGGGCTCCTCCTGAAAGATAAACATGATATTACTACTACAATACCTATAGTGTTTAAAGATACAAATTACTACGACTACTACTACTTCTACTACTACTATACTAATGAACTGCTTTACTAATATGCAATGTTCTAGAATATGTGTGCTGATTTAAAAAAATATTAAGTGAGGTAAAAATATGATAGAAGTCTTACCCATGAATTTCAACCATGTCTGCCACTAGAAGATTTACCAACTGTCTCCTTGTGCCATCCATCAGTGTTTTCCCTTTAGCATACTCATCCAAAATAATTTGGCCACCTGGTTTTGCCTGGAGAGCATCTCTCACCATCTAAAAGACAAAGAATAAGAAAGCAAATCAACAATTATAGCCGCCATCATCATCATGTCCAACAACAAAACCACAGTTCAACTGCATCTTTCTGTGTGTATTTTAAAAACCTCTTTTGCAGATTCCCTTTCAGCATGGGTTCTCTTCCCTCCGTTTGTATGAACAATTACTGTTGCATCTGATGAATCAGAGGACACAAGCAGGGAGTCTTCGGACACTGACGAAGATGTGTCTGAGAAGGGTGACTCCGACAAAGTGTTTGAAAGATCCTCTTGAAGCACAACTGTAAACAGATTTAAAAATGTATACACAAAAGGAAAAAAATAATTAGTTCTCAACAATTCTCATTATTGACAATCCACTCCTTACAAGTCTGAGTCTCACCTGTTGACTTCTCAGTTGACACCCTAACAGTAAGGTTCCCTGCTTGCAAAAGCTCCTCAAACACATCTGCATCGACTTCTGTCCCTGATTCATCTGTCAAGTGCAGCTCAGTCTCAAGTGGAAGATCTAGCTTTTGAATGACTAATAAAAATATTAGATTTAAAGCAATGGTTAAGAAAATACAATAAGAAAATTACCAGAAATGTGCTTAACTTGTTTTTTCAACATTTTTGGTCAACTTTATAACAGTACTTGTTTACTCTTCACAGGGTATTACCATTAGCTATCATAAACACAACTCTATAATATAAGATATTTGAATACTAGATAAATACAGCAAGTATTACAGCAATTAGTCAGTTTGCACAAATATTCTTGGTTGTATTGTTAACCTTTCTGAAGAAATGTATTGAAGTCATCATAGCCATCTTCAGTCTCAGCCACTTTGACATACTTCTGCGTTTCTCTGAATCTCACCTTCACCAACATGATGTACTATGAAGAAAAAGAATACATCATCATTTACAGTATGTTCACCGTGAATGAGTAAAGACACAGGGACATTTTGCCTCGGATTACTCGCCGGATTTTGATCGTTGTAATTGTTCTGGGTCTTTTTTTTTTGTCTCCCATAAAATTCCTCGCAAGTCACGCCAACCTGGACAACGGCAGCCAGCACGATATCACTAAGCTAACCCTGCCTGCTACCATGATAGCTAACTTAATGCTAACAACACCCACACTTGTCCATACACACACATACGTGAGCAATTCTTCTTTGTACGTTTGGCAAAATATCATCTACTGAATGCATAACATGACAATGACGCTATCGTTCATAAGCAGTTAGCGTTATAAAAACTCACACATTTCAGGCATCAGCAGCTGAGGGGTGTGTGCGACTCCGGTAACAGCTGCGGCTAATGATAGATTGAGAAAATAAAATTAAGATTAAACATTTAAAAAGAAAAGAAAAAAAAAACCCAACAGCTAGAGATAAATCAAAGTAAACTACTCCTGCTCGTAAAAAGCTCTAGGTTTAGAGAAGAGATCGGTGTCGCGGCCCGGAAAGTCTACACCTGTATTCCTCTAGCTGCAACATAAATTAACTTTAGGCTAACGTTACTACCCGGAGCCACTCCGACTTTTAGCAGCTAACGTTTTCCCTAGACAAACAGGAGCTCAACCACTCGGTCCAGCCCCAGCTCTCTACCCCATCGCTTTACATTTTGCCGTGTATCGTTAGCCGACACTGTCACTCACGAAGAATAAACTTTAGCTTAGCTATACACCTAACTCGAGTCCTTGCGCACGTGCTAATGTTACTTTGCTAGCTTGAAATATAACCGTGTAGCCTATAACGTTACTAACGATTAGCAAATTGTGTATAATTATCAACACCCATGTCTCATGTACAAAATAAACATTAATGCACACTTTAAAATACAGCATTAGGCGACAACAACCACGCTAACCTTAACATTGGACTGAGCCTATCATGATGTCAGCTCATGTTACAGAGATGACTCAGCAAGATTTAATATCAACACATAAAAATTAACATTACTGCATAGAATATAAGATATTATCAAATGGCATGCTGCCCTTCATTTACTTACAGAGAGATACTTGGTGAAGTCCTGAAGGCAGCAAAAAGAAACTCACCTACCATTTGCTGATCTGCTCCTGCCCCGCTCAGACTCCTTCTCAGACTGGGAGTTGTCCCGCTTTTAGGAAAAACACGTCACAGATCCGTTGGAGAAACTCTGTGAAGTGTTGATTTTAAATTTCACACGTAACAGAGTTGATCATAAGTGTTGATTTTAAGATCAACACTCAACAGAGTTCTTTGGATTTAACTCCCCGGATTAACACCAACTCTTTTGAGGGATTAACTCTTACATAGTTGAATTGAACTAAGCAAGTGTTGAATTAACACTGTATTCTTAACGTTTAACACCAACACTGGAAAATTAACACTTTTGAATTTGCTGTGCAGGTTGCTGATCTGCTCATCAAGACATTTCTGCAGCTCGTTGCATTTGTTCCTCCAGTCCACCTCAGTCCTCTTCAGCTCCAAGTCCTTTTGGTTGAGCAGGTCCAAGGTGTCAAGATAGGCCTTCGTCCATTTCCGTCTTTGTTTGACGGCCCTCTTCAGGAGCTCTTTTGTTGACTTTAACTCCTCTTGGAGCCTGCTCACCTCCAACTTTTCAGTGGCCAGTTGCATTGCATTCTTCTCCTTAATCTCAGCCTGGAGGTCTTCTTTGCATGCTAGCTCCTTTCTCAGATTTTTTTTGAGACTCTTTATCTCCATCTCTTTTGGAGCAAGAGCATTCTCAAAAGTCCTGGTCACTTCCAGCTCCTTCTTTCTTGCACTTTCCAGGAGGTCGTCTTTGAGCTGTAGCTCCTTTTTCAGGTGTTTTACCTCCTCCTCTTTTCGGGCCAGCAGGTCCAATGTGTTTTTGTGGGCCCTGTCCATCTCCTGCTCTTTAAGCGCAGCTTTAAGAAGGAGATCATCTTTTACTCCTAGCTCCTCTTGGAGCTCAGTCACAATGGGCCTTTTTGTTTCTACCTGTTGGTCCTTCAGCGCTTTATTTTCTTCTTTGAGCACCTTCAGCTCATTAATGGTGGAATACAGAGTTTCTCTCACACGCTGAGTGATGTGACTGTCAGAGGACTGAAGCTGAAGTTGCTGCAGCTGTACAGCACTCAGGTAGTAAACAGGAAAAATTCTGTCAACGATGGCACAGCGACGATGCAGATAAAAAAATTAAGATCTTCGATCCACTTTGACAACAGGCAGAAAGATTTGCTCAAAAAGTTCACAAACTTGAAACTGCGATAGTTTCAGAGGTCTGGCAAAGGTTAAGTCGTTCTTGTTGTTGTAGAGAATTGATCATTCACTCTAAAGACAAAGTGAGATGCTGCTCGGTCAAGTGTTTAAAATATCACCATGCATTTTGAACAAAAATACACTTTTGAGTGATAATTTATGGCCCAGTAAAGGGTGGTAATGCAAGTTAGACCCAGACCTGGTGAGACAAGACCCCGGTGCTTACATGAGATGAACACAATCTCAACTAGAAAAGTTGCATTTCCTTGCAGAAAATGCGTGGAAATGCTGTGTGCTGAAAGCTGAAAAAGCAATGCAAAAGTTGCCTGAAGAATTGAAGGTTTAAATGTAAAATTGGTTAAAGGGCTAAAGAAGAAGAAGTAGAAGTTTGATGAAAGTGAAAATTGTTGCAATACAAATACTATGAATGTGCTTCAACAATTAAAATTGCATTCATGCTTAATAAGGCTAGAAAAACTGTCTGAAATTGCAAAAAAGGGTATGGAAGAAAATTAAAACACAGAAAAGTGAGAAGTGGCTGAAGTTTAAGTTGTAGTACTAGAAGTAGTATGATAATAGGTAGTTGTAGCAGTGATATTAGTAGTCATGTAAGCAGTAGAAGTAGTTTTAGAATAGAAGAAGTAGAAGTCAAAGCAGTAGAGCTCGTGGTAGAAGTGAGAGTAGAAGTAAAAAAAACATTAAGAGAAGCAAGAGCAGTGGAGGTAGAAGTGAAGATACAAGTTAAAGTGATATAAGTAGTAATTGTAGTGGTATAATTGGGATTTTGTTTGAAGAATTAAAACATACATAAATAATGAGAATGATTTTGAAATGGGAAAAAATTTAAATAATTAAAAGTCCTTAAGTGTTAAACAGGTTTGAAGTATCAGAAAGGTTTGAATCAGTTTGAATGAGTTTGGATTTGTCTGAAGAATTTAATAATGCATGAATAATGAGAATAATTTTAAAGTGGGGAAAAGTTAAATGAATAAAAATCCTGAGTACACCCCATAATGTCCTCAATGAGCTGAATTTTTGGAGCCCTGAATGGTTTCTGTAGGTCAAAGTTTGTAGTCCTCGCTTTGTGGGCCTTTCTCATAGACCTCACAAAGCAGCAAGTACAAGAATGTGTGTGTGTGTGTGTGTGTGTGTGTGTGTGTGTGTGTGTGTGTGTGTGTGTGTGTGTGTGTGTGTGTGTGTGTCTCATTAATGATTTTATCCTAAACAGCTGTGAGATCAAAGGCATTAACTGACCTACTGTTTGAATGAGAAGCTGCTGTACTGCAGTGCATTTAGGGCCTCTGAACTTCTTCACATAGCGTGATTTCCTTAAATTCCAGAATGAAAATAAGAACATCATACAAATCCTCCGTCCTTCATGAACACAATGATGTGTTTTTCATGTCTGTACTCCAAAATATGTGGCCACAACAGCGAGTTAAAAAAGTCTGAGCCTGAGTGACGATCAGGATTTTCTTGGAGAAAAAATACATTAGGGCTAATGGGAGAGATTTCCGCCTATTTGGACAGTTGGTCACCTGCTGGCCAAGGGGTACGATTTAATGATTTGAAACCTCTTTTGTGAGAAGCAGGACACATATACCTCCATTTTGATGTATTTTTTTATGGTTGTGGAGTGAAATTTGTGGGCGTGGGAGCGATATATTCGAGTGAGGTTCTGTCGATCAGAGACGAGGTCTGCACTCTAGCTTTTCAAATCGTCACTCTAGCCTCTCCAATACACACCCATTATAAAGCCTGAAAATTTGCTGAAAACCACGAGGTGCATAAAGCTAAATTGTGGAAAAACTGTAGGAGATAGCATAAAAATGTCAATACAGCATATTTAGAGGAGAAGATTGTGAACATTTTAAAGCAAAAATGAGGTCTCTAGGTGAAAGTATGCTGAAGTTATAAGGCTGAGAAGGTGGAGGAGTAAAAGGTAGAATTTGAAGATTTCCACATTCATTTCAATAGGAAAAATTTTGCACAAAAAGTCAAAAATATCAAAAAGTATAAGGGGTAGAAAAGTAAAAATACATACTTGTCCTGAAGGAGAGGAATAGTTTAAAAGTTGAACGGTTGAAATCGGACAAAGTATGAAGGAGTTGAAAAGTTGCAAAAAAGGTACGGAATAATAATAATAATAATAATAATAATAATAATAATAATAATAAAAATGATGATAATAATAATGATAACTAGAAAAATTGCATTTCCTTGCAGAAAATGCGTGGAAATGCTGAGTGCTGAAAGCTGAAAAAGCAATGCTAAACTGCTAATAAAACATGGAGAAAGGTATAAATGTTAAAGCTGTTGAAGGGGTGAAAAAATTGTTTAACTGGTTGAAGGACAAATAGTATGAATATGCTCTATAAAAGGAAATTTTATTCATGCTGAAAGAGGCTAGAAAAATGTCTAAAATTGCACAAAGTTTGAATGAAGAAGGAAATTGCCTTAAAAGGCAGGAAGGTGAGAAGTGGCATAAGCTTAAGTTGTAGTACTAGAAGTAGTATGATAAGTAGTCAAGTAGTGATATTAGTAGTCATGTAAGCAGTAGAAGTGGTTTGAGAATAAAAGAAGTATAAGTCAAAGTAGAAGAGAAAGTAGAAATAGGAGCAATAGCAGTTGAAGTAGAGGGGGCAGTACTAGTTTAATGGACATTAGCAGTAGTTGTAGCTCTAGAGGTAGGATTTTGTTTGAAGGATGGAATAATGCATAAATATTAAATAATTTTAAACAGGGAAATTTTAAATAATTAAAAATCCTCAAGTATCAGAAAGATTTTAAGTATCAGAAAGGTATGAATGAGTTTGAATTAGTTTAAAAATTAAATAATAAATCATCACTGAGTGACTTTAAAATTTGAAAAATTTAAATGAATAAAAATCCTAAATACACCCCATAATGTCCTCAATGAGCCGAATTTTTTGAGCCCTGAATGGTTTCTGTAGGTCAAAGTTTGTGGGAGGAGATAGGGGCTTAATCTTTTTCAGGTGCTCTGGTGAAGGGCTTAAATGCAACACTCAGTGCTCTGTGTACTGAGCCTGGCTTCATGTGTCTCATATGGCCGTTAGAAGCAGCTTTCCAGTCAGCTGTGTGTCTCCAGGTGCACTAATTGGTTGCCATGGCAAAGGAAGATGTAACACTGCAACAGGAGCGAGGAGGCTTGAAGCTGAGGAAATGGCTCTCCAGCTAGGCCCTAATGGTCAACCTCTGTATATATTCATGATAAGGAGCTTGTGAGAACCCCACGACTCTGCCGAACATATTGATACAATTAATTAACAAAATCCTCAATACACCCCATAATAGCTTCAATGAGCTGAATTTGTGAAGCCCAGAATGGTTTCTGTAGCTCAAAGTTTGTGGGTAGAGATAGGTTTGTGAAATCACACAAAGTTTGAAAGAGGAGAAGCGAAGCAAAAATCGGCGGAAGAATAATAATAAGAAGAATAAAGAAACAGGAGAATAACAATAAGTGAAAATGCTTAATCAGCATTTCCACTTAATAATAATGAAGAAATAGGAGAATAACAATAAGTGGAAATGCTTCATCAGCATTTCCACTTAATTATTACCCAGCCTACAAAAGAAACAAACAAATCCACTCTATATAATAAATCAATTCATTAATAACTATTGAATCAAAAAGGATTTAAAAGTGCTTTATTCAGCTACAAATGGATCGTTTCATGGGCTTCCATTGGCAACTGATTCTTATCAGCCCACTAGTGGACCGAATTAACAATAAACCTTATATGTTCAAGTCTCAAAGAGTCCCAATTAGCAGGGGACTAGGGAGGAGGGACAGTCATTACGTTGTGTCTTAAGTTTACAAGAAACAGTCACAGAGTTCAGACAGGAACTATGAATATATCAGCCCAAACTTCAACACTCGACCTGAGCATCACATCAGCATGAATGCTTTGTCTGCATGTTTCATATGATTATTGAGACAGGCAGTTACACTGAGTATACATCTTGTTTCTTGTAAACTAAAGACACAATGTAATAATGTAACCCCTTGCACTTGTTGTGTTATATCTTGATGAGGTGTGTACCATGTGTAGGCCCAATCAAGCCCAAAGCAATATGAATGCAGGCCAGCAGGGGGCGAGGGAGGGGGGACAGTCATTACATTTATATGCACAGTTAATTCCAGCTACAGTTAAGGCCTGACAAGGTGATTTAACTGGATATTTGGATATTTGACCACAATGATTGTCTGAGGCTGTGAACATTTTTCTTATCTTTGACTTCAAAGATTTATGAGACTGAAGTGTTACCAAGTGTGTAAGGACCAAATTTATAACCATGGAAACCAATGATGAAGTTCTCAGAACTTTATTCATGCTATTAACATTTTAAAAACACAACAAAGAAAGAGTAAGGGAAGGAGGGAAGGAAAGGTGGATAGGAAAGTAGGTGGAAAGATGTGTGTGAAGGTGGGTAGGATGGTAGGTGGATAGGAAGGAGGGTAGGTGGTTATGAAGGTGGGTAGGAGGGTAGGTAGGTAGGAAGTGTCGTGGAAGTTTTCTCCTTCCGTTGCTGCTGGTGAATAATGAAATAGAGACTTCTGCCGGCCGACAAGGTTTTATTTTCTTTGCAAAGAAAAGGTCGATCTGGATCCGAGCGGGTAGATCAGAAAAGACCCCGAATCTAGGGGAATACAGAATATTTATACCTTAGGACCGCCTCCCAGAGGGCAAGGAATGGGGCTTAGGTGTTGGCACCTTTTGTTGTCTGTGGGGACTGTTACTTCACCCCCCTGGGGTGGTGGTGACACCTGAAGCATCCTGCAGGATGTTGTCTGTTGATGTCTAGACATGCTGATTAACTGATATGTTGATTGGAAAGTCTGATGTGAGGGGCACTTCAAGCAATTCTTAACAAAGACATTAAAATTACAATTACAATTCTCCCTTTTGATTATTATTAATCACTAACAAAAAAACAAACTTAAAAGTGAAAATAAAGTAAAATAGAAAAAAAAAAAAAGGGAAAAGAGAGAGAAAAAAAAAAAAAAAAAACATATTACAACTCAATTATCTGGCGCATTAATTCACATAGATTTAAAATGTATTTTCATGGCAGTTGTTAGGAGAAGAAGAGGGAGAAGAAGAGGAGCAAAAAGATCCATCCTTCCTCAGTTGGTATGATGTTGAGAGTGAGTCTGTGTTGGATAACTGCTGTTCTAGTTGCAAACATTTCAGTGTTCATTAAGGTGGGAGCAGCTTCAGTTCGGTCTGCTAAGGAAAGAACAAACTAGACTAGTCCATTGATTTTGTTTAGGGCTGCAGTCGTTCCACCTCCTAGAAATAGAGACCATCCAACATTGGCATTGGGAGCAGTCTAGGGGTCAGGTGATGCACGGTGCAGTCAGGTGGGCTAATCAGCGTCGGATGAATTCACGGAGTTAATTCCTCATGTCGTCCTCCTTTGCGTCTGTTAATCTATACGTCCTTCGTCCACACGTCGGTCGTCCTCTGGTTGTCGGGGTTGGTGGTTTGGATCATCTGTTGGCTTCGGGACCTTCCTGCAGTGGCTGGCGTGAACCCACGTTGTTCTCTCAGCGATCTTCACAGCGGTATGTGTCGTCAGAAGCACCTGGAATGGACCTCGCCACCGTTTGGAGTGCCAGTGCTTCCTTCTGAGGTCCTTTATCATCAACCAGTCGTCAGGCTGGAAGTCGTGGAGGGATGTGGAAGCTGGTGGTGGAAGGGCTGATTTCACCTGCTGGGAGATTTGAGAGAGAGTGCAGAATAAGCTCTTGCAATATTGTAGCATGTCATCCTGACATAGGCCAGTGGAGGGGAGTGGCCTGGTTACAGGCTCCACTCCAAGGGACAGAGGTCTGCCAAAAAAGAATTCTACAGGGACTCATGTTTACTCTGGCTCTTTTCCTGATTATCATATCCATTAGAACAATCGGCAGAGCTTTTTGTCCATGGCAGTCCCGTTTCGTCACAGCATTTAGCCAATTTTATCTCAAAAGCCATTCTCTCATTTGACATTACCCCCACTGGCAGGGTGATATGTGCAATGTTGTCTGAGGTCAATGGCAAGAAATTCACTGATTTGGGTTATTGCAGAATTTTCCGAAAAATGAGAGCCATTATCGTTGTTCAGTTGGTATTTCCCATCTGGGAGTGATTTCTGTTCACAGAGCCTTTGCTACCACTAGGTGATAGCTCTATGAAATCCATCATTAAGTGTTTGAACGGTCTGTCTGGTGGTGGGTGAGCAGCGTGTGTGATTGTGTTGGTTTTACCTGCGTTTTGCGTTGCACAAATCATACACAATTGACAAAACTTCTGCGCATGAATGGAAGATCCTTTAGTGAACCAGTGTTGGGTTATGGCACCCAACATTCCCCCTTTTGACACATGGTCCAACCTATGTGTCAATTTTGCAGAATGAGGAAAGAAGTGTTTAGGTATGCAAGGTTTATTATCGGGTCCTCGTTATACTGCATCCTTTTGTGTGGCACTACAGCGTGCCCACAGCGCCTTTTCCTGTGGCAAATGATTGCATTACTGTGATAGAGGTGGGAACAGTGAAAGGAATCAATACCAATAAAGGATCAGTGATAGGTGGCTGGAGTGCGATTTTGTTTTTGCAGCGGCATCAGCTCTAGCATTTCCTAGAGAGACAGGGTTTGAGTTGTTAGGGTGAGCAAGACATTTACAAACAGCAGTTGATTCCAGGAGCAAAAGTTAGCAACAACAGCAAAGCCGCCTGTGTTGCGACCAGTTTGTGGGTTGTGTGAGGCAGATCCATCTACAAAAAGAACCAAATAAGGGTTTGTTAAATGTGTTTCTTGTAGGTCTGGTCTTGGGGAGCAAACCTGTTGGAGGATAGCAACACAGTTATGTTGTTCTTCATTGTCTGGTGTGGGGAGAAGAGTGGAAGGGTTTAAAACATTGCATCTTTTGACAGTGATGTTAGACATTTCTAGAAGGATTGTGTTGTATTGTAGCCATCGTGCTGTGGAGAAATTAGAAGTTTTTTGTTCAAGTAAAATCAAAGACACAGCATGTGTCAGTAACATCATAATAGCACACAATAGCTTGGGAGACCATAACTGCCTTCTCAGCCGCAGCCACGGCTTTAAGGCATCTTGGGAGTCCTGCTGCTACAGGATCCAGTTTTAAGGTAAAATAAGCTACAGGGTGTAGCTTGTTCTTGTAGCCTGCAACAAAACAGAAGCCATGCATTCATGTTTTTCATTCATCGTTTGAGTTAACGGTTCTGGTGAATATTTGGAGCTCTGGGTTGGCCTGCTGCATTTACTGCTTGCAGATCCTGAACAAAACGGCATTCTGTATGTTGATCTTTGTCTCTGATTTTCTTAACAAGGAACAAAGGCGTGCGCACTGGAGAGTCGTTACAGGGAACAATTACTCCTGCTGCTCTCAGGGAGTCAAAAACCTGGTGTTATGCCATCGGTGGCTTCTTGTTTAAATGGATCTCAAGTCTTGCAAAGTTTGAAGTCTGATTTTTGGAGTAATGATAACAGGTCTAAATCTTTGATGAGGCCAACATCATATTTATCAAAAGCCCACAGTGTCTTAGGGACTTGTTGCAGGGCTGTGATAGGTTCAGTTTGTTCTATGGACAAACAAGAAAAAGGTTATAGAAATGCTTTCAGGTACCAGCTGGATTATTCTCTGAGTGTGCACGACAGATGTTAAACGTTTTGAGTAGCACTGCAGTGTCTGTAAAAACAAACAAACAAACAAAAAACAAACAAACAACAAACAAACAATAAACGAACAAACAAAAAACAAAAGGGTGGATCGATCAGATGTTTAATGCTATTTAAATGGGCCCAAATCTTCCCAGTCATCTATGGGATCTATGGGACCGAATGGTCCATGGTGTACATGTTACTTTGAGCTGGTGTGAGGGAGACCAATATAGCACATTTGTGTCGTGCCCAAAAAATATGTGCCAGTGTGAGTTCTTCAAATCTCATCTTTAACCAACATTCCTCGTATGGCTCATCAGGTCCGGGTGACACATGAGAGGTACAATGCAGATCCTCTGGTGCCATAAAATCTTTGCAGCTGTGGAAATTGTTTTCCTAGCTGAGAAAAACTCAGAAAAGGTTGATGGTTTCAATATCCATTGATATGCATAATTTAGGTTCAGGATATGGTAGACAAAGGAGTGTGAAAAGTTTGGTGGCAGATCAGGTAGTCTGCAGACTTTGACACCTTCTGGGGTTGAGATTAGACAAAGGCTCAATTTGCATATCAAGTCCCTGCCCATCAGGTTAATAGGGCAGACTTCAGAGAGCAAAAATGCGTGTTTGAAGCTTGAACATGACCCGCATTTGAGTGGGACAATAATGTTCTCTTTAAATGTTTGACCTGATGAACCAATAGAGTATACATGACTTAGACTAAAACTAAATCGACTAAGAATACACTGTGTTGTTCTGTGATGATAAGCATTTGTTCTGGAAACTCCTTAAACTGATCAGATGTGTACTGAACATATGTTAAAACAATCGCATGTGTATTGTCTGAGCTCTCTATGGATTGTGAATTGATGTGATTGGCATGTGTGTGTGAGTGTGATGCAGTACCTTCTTCCCTCTTCACAAGTTGGTTCGGCTCGTCAGCAGGAGTCCATTCCTTTCAGACAACCCCCAACCATTGTCAGTCCGATTTGTCTATTGCGTTTGATGAGGTGTTGCCAGGGCAATCACGTCTCCAATGTCCATGTTTGCCACACAAGAAACAGACATCTCCTCGAGGTCTTCTATCCCAGTTTTTGTGATGGCCACGTCCTGTTCCTCTATGGCCAGGGTAGCGATGTCCATGTTCCTGGATTGTGTTGTACATGGTTATTGCTGCCAAGTGAAGCTCTTTCTGTGTTGTCTCTTCTTTTTTTGTGTTCTGGGAGAGTATCTGGTCATGAGCATGTATGGCGTGTCTGCGAAGTTCAGACAGGCGTGCATCATCCCAACCAATGCAGGAGTTTTTTACAGCTGTGACAATGTTTGGTTTCAGTCCATTTAAGAAACTGTTACAGAGATGAATTTCCCACACATCTGGAGTGTTTCCTACTTCCTTAGGTGGTTGAAGGCCACTGTGAGTGTTAAATGTGTCTGTCAGGCGGGTGAGATATTCATCAGGGTTTTCACCAGTCTTTTGTTTGCAGGCAGTGATTTTCTCCATGTTAATTTTAGCAGGAAAAGCTTGGGTGAATGCGCTGCAGAGTTTATTTACAGCAAGTCTATACTGGGCATTAGATTCATCTTCCCAGGTGATATGTCCGCAGCGGAGATCAGCGTTTGGGAATTCTTTAGCTATTTTTTGCCAGTCTGTGGGTTTCATCTTGGTGATCAGGAGTCTCTTCAGTTCATTCATTGTGGGTTTAAATTCTTGGCAGAATGTGAGGAATTGTTCAGTAAACATTTTACCTGATGCTGTGGGGTTTGGCAGATGTTGTGAAGCGGCTGTGATGTCCTCAGAAGTCCATGGGCGAAAAACCAAAGTTGCGCCTTGTGGTCCAGATACTTCAACCATAGGCATGTTGAAGGCTGTCTCTTTATTGGATTGGCGTAGTCTGTGTGCAATTGGAGAGGGGGGTTTGGTTGTAGAGTCTTGTGATGGACCAGGCATTTCAGGACGGGCTGTTTCTGAGCTTGCTTGTGGTTGCAGCCTGCTCTTGCTGGGTGTTGCAGAGTTGTACCGTGGTGGTGCTGAAGGGTGGTAAGGTGGGTTGCCGTCAAGGTCTGGATCCAGCTTCAGAGCCGCCAACTGTGGATACAAAGAAGAAGAGATCTGCGAGTTCTGTGTTCTTTGTTTATGTGAATCTGGCTTCTCAATCGTTTCAACCTTTTCGCATGAAAAGGGTAGTTGTTTTTGCATTAACTTTTTATTTCTTATCTCTGCTTCCGTTTTCCACATCTGTAAACATTCTTTTTGACCTTCAATGAGTTCTAATTTTCTTACAGACACTTTGTTTTTCCTTCTCATTCTTTGTTCTTTTGCCTTCAGTTCTTCTTCTAGTTTTGATATGTTTTTTAAACTGAGGGATCCCCCTGTTGGGAATCCAAACTCAGTGGTCCAGATATTTAAATATTTTAAGCTTTTGTCCCCACATTTCTTTCTCATGATCTCAACAATCGGCCCTTCCGGAGGTCCCACCTCCTTGGAAAGCTTGCACCCCATCCAATGGGTTTGTCGCGACAAATTCCACACAGACGTCTCTGCGCTTCGTATCACTTTGTTCAAATGCTAAGTGGAAAAAGCACCCCCTACCCCCACTTCGTTTTAAGAAAGGCTACAAGTGGGAAAAAGCATTACTTTCTTTAAAGATAACAGGTAATGTAAACAATTACTTGTCTGTTTAAAAAAAGAACATTACTTCGTTTTTTTCTCCAAGAAAGGCCACAAGCAATGAAAAAAGCATCCCTTGCTTCGTTTTTTTTCCAAGAAAAGGCTACAAGCAGGAAAAGCATTACTTTCTGTAAGGACTACGAGCAATAAAAATCATTACTTGTCAACAGACTACGAGCAATAAAATGTAGTACTTGTCGCCCCCAGGAAAAGTACATCACTTCGTTAAGCTTCAAATGATGAGAAAAGCACGCCAAGTTATGGAGATCATGAGAAAAAATGTCATGCCTAATTAAAAACCAAATTTTAAAGAAAAGGAAAGTCAATATTTCAGTGCTCACCAGATGAATTTGCTGAATTTTGTTCGTGGAATCCCAGCGGCAATGATCTGGGGCGGTTTTGGTCAGTCCTCCCTTCTCACAAAAGAATTTGAGGTTTGGAGGCTGGAAATCTTTTGTTTTTCCAGGATGGCCTGTCACTGTCCATGCTCCAGCCCAGACGATTGCTCGAGGGATCCCACTTCTGACACCAAATTGTCGTGGAAGTTTTCTCCTTCCGTTGCTGCTGGTGAATAATGAAATAGAGACTTCTGCCGGCCGACAAGGTTTTATTTTCTTTGCAAAGAAAAGGTCGATCTGGATCCGAGCGGGTAGATCAGAAAAGACCCCGAATCTAGGGGAATACAGAATATTTATACCTTAGGACCGCCTCCCAGAGGGCAAGGAATGGGGCTTAGGTGTTGGCACCTTTTGTTGTCTGTGGGGACTGTTACTTCACCCCCCTGGGGTGGTGGTGACACCTGAAGCATCCTGCAGGATGTTGTCTGTTGATGTCTAGACATGCTGATTAACTGATATGTTGATTGGAAAGTCTGATGTGAGGGGCACTTCAAGCAATTCTTAACAAAGACATTAAAATTACAATTACAGAAGGTGGGTAGGATGGTAGGTGGATAGGAGGGTAGGTAGGAAGGTGGGTAGTGGGGTAGGTGGGTAGGAAGGTGGATAGGTGGGTAGAAAGGTTTAGTGAGGGTTTAAAGATGGAGGGAAGGGGGTTGAAGGGAGTCGCACGGTTCATGGACAGTTATCTTTTTTTTCTGTCCTCTTCTCTTCCTCTTCTTCTTGACCTGTTTTTCTTTGGTCATTTTTTCCCCTTCAATCCATTTCTCCTCCTCATCTTTTTTTGACCCCTTCTCTTTAGGGGACGACTTCTCGTCCTCCTGCTCTTCTTTTTGTTTCTCTTTCTCCTCCTCTTTTCTCTCTTCCTCCTCTTCTTCCACCATCTTCTCTGCCTCCTCTTCTTGTTTACTCTTCTCTATCTCCTTCTCCTGTTTTTTCTCTTCCTCCTCTCTTTTTTCCTTCTCCTTCTCCTCCTCTTGTTTTGTCTCCTCCTCCTTTCTTTTCTCCTTCTTTTTCTCCATCTCCTCCTCTTGTTTTCCCTCCTCTGAGGGGTCCAGCTGATGTTTGTTTAGGTGGAGTATCTGAGAAGAGAGCTGAGAAAGAAACTGTGCGTTAGTTCATTCAGTAAAAGTTGAAGTTGTTTTCTAGAGAACTTGAGATTATTTGGATCATAAATTACTGTCATATATCTGAGCTCTGAAGTACCTGCAGGTTGCTGATCTGCTCATCAAGACATTTCTGCAGCTCGTTGCATTTGTTCCTCCAGTCCTCCTCAGTCCTCTTTAGCTCCAAGTCCTTTTGGTTGAGCAGGTCCAAGGTGTCAAGATAGGCCTTCGTCCGTTTCCGTCTTTGTTTGACGGCCCTCTTCAGGAGCTCTGTCGTTGACTTTAACTCCTCTTGGAGCCCGCTCACCTCCAACTTTTCAGTGGCCAGTTGCATTGCATTCTTCTCCTTAATCTCAGCCCAGAGGTCTTCTTTGCATGCTAGCTCCTTTCTGAGATTTTTTTTGAGACTCTTTATCTCCATCTCTTTTGGAGCAAGAGCATTCTCAAAAGTCCTGGTCACTTCCAGCTCCTTCTTTCTTGCACTTTCCAGGAGGTCGTCTTTGAGCTGTAGCTCCTTTTTCAGGTGTTTTACCTCCTCCTCTTTTCGGGCCAGCAGGTCCAATGTGTTTTTGTGGGCCAGTTAATTCCAGCTACAGTTAAGGCCTGACAAGGTGATTTAACTGGATATTTGTCCTTGTCACAGTTTACATTCACTAGCCAATAATATAGTTGCTCAGTCAGCATGATTTATGTCGACTGATAAAAACACATCGCTTTAACGGCACCATACTGTTTGGTTTGCATGATAGGAAAGTTTAGTCTTTTCTACATTATTTCTTGGTCTGTTAAAGTTTTCTTACAACCTGGCTTCCTAGCAAAACATCAATGCTATTAAATTTTTTGCAAACACTGAAGCAAGAGCATTATGCTAGGGTTGGTTTCACTTCAGTCGAACCTTATAAATATATATTACTGTAACTAAACCAACATCTATAACTGTAACTACACGTCATCTATAACTAACTTAACTCAACTCAACTTTATTTATTTATATAGCACTTTACACACAACAGAGTTGATCCATAGTGCTTCACAACAACACAGAGGAAAAACAAAACAAAAGAGGAGAACAAACAGACGACGAAGAAGAGCAGACTGAGTGACAGATATAATAATAATTATAGCAATAAAAATATTGTTTTCAATACCATCACTATCATCATCATTCATCAAAGTAATAATAAATAACGATAATAATAATAATAACAATAGCAGCAGCAATAATAATAACAATGATAATGACAACACAGATCTACCGACCTACAGAGCTCACAGAGCCGACATGGGAAATGGCTGAGCTTTTGAAATTAGGGACAGTTAAAAGCTAGGGAGTAAAAAGTGGGTTTTAAGATGAGTCTTAAAAATCTCATTGGTGGGGGAGAATCTGATGGTGGGAGGAAGAGAATTCCACAGTTTTGGGGCAGCGATAGAGAAAGCTCTGTCCCCATAATGCTTAGTCCTGGATCCTGGGACTGACAGAAGTCTTTGGTCAGATGATCTTAGTTCTCTCATTGTGTGATATGGGGACAAGAGATCTGTGACGTGAGAGGGGGGCAAGACCATTCAACATTTTGTAAACAAACATCAGGGTTTTAAACTCGATCCTGTAGCTAACAGGCAGCCAGTGAAGGGAGGCAAGAATGGGAGTAATGCGCTCCCTCTTCTTAGTTCTAGTTAAAACTCTGGCCGCTACATCTATTATTGAACTATACCTGCATCTACAACTGTAACTAAACCTACATCTATAACTGTAACTATACCTTTCTACAATAATTTTATTAAATAAATATTATACTTCTCTATTATGCTTGACAAAAACCCATGTACTTTGTTGTGACCGTGGGAAGAGGAGATGTTGACCAAGGCAGGGCTATAAATCTTACATCAAGAAGCCAAGACTATTTGCTAACCACTTGCTTAACATTAGATTGAAAGTGTTTTAATTCCCTTTAGGAAGAACTACACTGTATGACTGGAAGCTTTTTATTTAATTTCAGACTGATCAGAGGATATTAAGTCATGATGGGAGTAAGTCAGACTGAAGAAAAGATGAGTCGATAGAAAAGAAAAAAGGGTCAACCTGACAAACCCTATGTGAGATATTTTTGACTGTCTGATTACTTGTCTGACTGAGGGTGCTTTTTGTCTGTCCATTGTTTAATACCCTGTATTACATTCATATGTATCTTTAATCCAAACTCCAAATAGGCCACATCCTCCAGTGGTAGGAAACAACTTTAAACTGTGGTTTGACACAGTATTTTCTAAACGAATACAGATTTTATATAACAAACCTTTAACTACTGTCTGCCCTCATCCTGCTAGCTGTTGGTGTTAGACTCTGCTGTAGGGCTTTAGGTTCTGCCAAGCTGTGAGGCCACACAGTAGATGAAGCCGCTGAGGGCTCACTATGATTCGCTTAGAGTTTACACCTACAGTCCAAAATCATTAATGTTTAAATCATACAGTAACAAATGTGGTCAACAGTATGTGTGGCATAATACAAAGAGGATTCAGGAAGCCAAAAATGTTTGATGTAACTCTTTTTGTTCTGAAAAATTAGGCTGAGCACAACTCACAAAGATTAGGAATGATATCAGCGATTCAGATTTAAGGAAATCAGCCAGTAATCATGCTTTGATTAACAGAGCTACTATGGGAAACTTTTGGATTGTGTTAGATTTTTTGTGGAAAAAGATAGCCTTTATTTCTTTGTCCTGTAAATGTGACAAATGTTAAAATAAAAACCTCATTCTGTTGTCTTTTAACAGTAAAATGTTTCACTAATTGTAAGTGACTGACATACAAACAGTTTGTTTTCTTCAGCCTGCTGTCAATCCTTTAGTCTGACACCTACCCCCTCACAGTGGTTTCAGACACTGAAAAACACTTTGAAGAAACATTTAGCCTTATTGTAGATGGTCTCTTTTGCTTTTGAAAGTATCATTCAGTCTATTTCTCAACCAATTAAAAATTCCTTATAATGTCTTTAAATTAGCTTTGTATATTTGGCTTCATTTCACAGCAATTTAGCATTAATCTAATTTAGTAATCCTAATTAATGATGCTTTTTGTCTGCTTTTAAACTACTGTACTGGAAATAAAACAGGGATCGGATAATCTGAATCCACTGATTATATGGATGCAAAATCAAATGATCCGATCATGACTTGCATATACATACACTAAGTTTTATTCAGATTAGAAGCACTTGGACATGCACAGAGTTGTCTAATTTTGCTAAAACAACCACAGCAGAAGAGTTACCCCTGTTCTGTCTACAAACCACCAAATGTGGTAGTGGCTCACTCCATCAAATTCAGGATTTTTCCCCCAGTTAAATATTGTCACTAGTTTGCGCCCTTGTGTACTTATTTTACTGTTCTGTCAAAGGTTGCACTGTGCATGCAGATGTGACATCATTACGCTGTATGTACGCCTTGTTATGTTACCGGAGGAGCAGACACGACACCTGCGGTTGTGTTTTATGCCAGAGTGTTAATAATGAAACTTCCTGTGATCGAGTGAAGATCGAGTCAGGTAAGAGAGTCACAATTGGAATAAGTGTTTACATTGACACATTTCAGAATAACAATCGGCTTAAACCACCCCTCTCGATCGGGATACAATTTCTTTCCGATTGAGCCGAATTGGATCAGAATCTTCCGATCGACATGTTTACATGACGCATTTTTATTCTGATTATTTGTGCCCATGTAAATGCAGCTAATGAGAGCTTTACAGTTTTATGGTTGCCAAAAGCAAACTCAGAGAAATATCTCAAAAAAAAAAAAAAAAACACCTCATCTTTAAAACAGAACCTTAAACAGCGTTTCATTTGTCTAAATATTGTTTTATCCAGTTCATTTAACGTTCGTCCTTTAGTCCCAAGACATATGACTCCACAGTGAAATATTTATAACTCAGAGTAAGTTACACAAATATTGATGAAATTTAAATCACTGTTGATTTGTACATGTTGATAGATTCAAAGTGGGAATGGCAGCTTTATGAGCTTTACAACCACTGTGTAAAAGCATTACATAGGCAGCTGCTGGGAAACACTTTGTTCTTTACTTGGAGTTCATCTCAGGTTATTGCCAGGTTCATGTTTAAAGGTCCTGATGACAGTGTCTGGTTGTCGGCTGAAAGGCTCCGTAATGAGTGTGCAGGTATAATGTGTGTGTGTGTGGTAACAGTTTACTTTCTAAGTCCTTTCCGTTTGTCTTTCCTCGTCTCTTTGCCCTATTTTCTCTTTTTCAAACATTTTCAGTTTACATTACATTCTCCATGGATCCGCAAATGAAAGTGAAGAGGTTTTCATTATTTCAATTTTCTCGCCAAATAGCAGTCAGGTAGAGGGTTTTACGACTTGGGAGGCCACCACAATTCTCTCACTCAGGGTTTATTTAATGTACGCTGATATATATGAGCTGAGACACTGAGGTGGAGGCAGATGCGTCTTGCAGTGGGTGGCAGGGGTGGAGACAATATGGAGCTTCAACTAACAGAAAGGTAGTATGGAAAAATTCAGCGATGCAGTTTTGAAGAAGCCTTATGGTATTCTGCAATGGACAGGAAGCCGAGAGAGGAACATTTTTAAGAAAATCACAAGGCTCTCATCAACTCTACAACCTTCATAACACCTGAACTATTTCAATGTTGCACATTCCCTCTTTGCTAACTCAGAAAACCATGACTTTAGACTGACAGCTTGATTTTGAGTCTTCATAGATCCAGAAATAAAAGATTTAACATAATTTGGGAGTTTAATCTTTGTAGTTAAAGAAGATATGACCCCTGGAGAAAGAGATGGTAAATTAATACAATTCATTTGTGTGATTTGCACGCAACATCCCTGCATAAATTACTGAAGTTGGGCCACCCTGTGAGATTGTGATACTGAGCAGCAAATTTAATGATGAAATTTATGGTTATGATTATTTCTGGTGCAACAGAAATAAATTTTTGAATATGAGCAGACATAACCCTGAAACCTACTACATCAGGAAGCTAATACCAGCCAATAATATATTCATTTATGCCTGGCAGATTTAATGACATATTGTGACCTCATTATTATGGTCTCTACTTATTATTATTATTATTATTATTTTTATTATTATTATTATTATTGTTATTATTATCATTATTATTATTATGTCGTTCTTGCGGGAATAACAGCAACAAATTTCCAGTCTCCTACTCCTTTGTTTAATTTTGGGAATTCAGTTGTATATTATTTGCATGATCGACTTTGATAAAACTGTAACTGACTCTCAGAGGCAGCAAATTTTCTGAGAACAGCAAGTGCCTGAGGACAGGGCCCAGCTGGATTCCACATGACAGTGACAGAAGCAAAAAAAAAAACAAAAGAACTGAATCAAGAGAAAACCTCTGGGTGAAAAATTAATCTAGATC